TCAACTGGTACGTAGGAGTTAAAGCCTGGGTGTGTATTAATCTGCATCTTATCTCTATAGCCTATCCAGGGTTCCTGGATCAGAACTATGTCGATCTGATCTGCCCAGCAGAGCTCTAAGAGAGCTGTATGGGCTGGGCTCCTCTTCCCCACATTACACTGGGCAACTCGTAGTACCTGTGGGGTAGCTGGCCTGAGCCTATAGCTCTGAGTCGAGGTCGAGGTGGGTGTAGGCATTAAAAACGTTATAGTCAGGCTTCTGGGCTACCCTCTGGCTCCTGCTGCTGCTTGGGAGTGGATGGATAGGGCGGTTGCTAGGGGGGGGGAGGGCTTCAGAGTCTTCAGCCTCATCCCCATCCATACTGCTGCTCCCAGCTATACTAGCAGTATCTGCAACAATAATCGAGTCTTGCGTAGGTGTGAGGGGTCGAGGGCGCTTAGATGTAGCGCTTGGCCTAGTCTCAGCTTGCTGTGTGCTGCTTCCTGGGGAGCCAGCCTGGTTTGCTAGGAGGTCGTTAGACGCCTTCTCTCCAACCTTCCGGATCCCTCGCAGTTCCTTCCGGGTTGGAATAGTAAGGTTTCTGTTAACCAGTAAGGGCCTAGCTGGGCAGTCTGCATGGCTTGCTGGGAAGGGCCCATGACAGTTAGCACACTTAGGCCTAGCTAAGCAGATTCCAGCCTCATGAGTATCTAAGGGTTTGCTACAGTTCTCGCAGAGGGGTTTCCGGGTACAGTAGCGGTTTGAGTGAAAGCCTTGGCAGCCAGGGGAGTGTCGTTTAGGGATATGCTTCCTTGGGGGGAGCAGACGAGCAGGACCTGACTGTCCAAACAGGCGAAAGCCTTCCTTAACCCCTTGAGGGAGGGCGATAACCAGGCTTTGCGTAGCTGTAGCTAGATCAGGGCTATCCCGGGTTGGGCGCCAGGAAATAAGTCTTTGCTTTGTCTTCAGGAAGACCTCTTCCTCTATTTCGGATTCTATGCTAACCCTGCTACCATCGAGGCTAGTAAAGTAGAGGGGGCAGAATGGGACGATATACTGATGCCACTTAGTGGGCACCTCAACCTTCTCAGCTGTAAGGCAGCTTTTGATCTCAGGGGCTCTCTGGAGAAGTAAGGCTTGGATCTCCTTGTTCTGGGGCTGAAGTGAGAAGCCTGTAGCAGTATGGCGGACCTCAACTAGGTCTTGCGGCTGTAAGTTAAGCTCTTTTGTCACCACCATCTTAACTGAGTGAGGGGCTAGGGTTCTGGAGGTAGGGATGTGTTCTGCAGGGAGCCGAACTAGTAGGCGGAGGTCCTGGGTCTGCTTAGGCTGGCGTGTGCGGCTGGTGGCCCGCCGGCCTGCTGCTGGGTTCAGCCTGGGGCCGGAGCCGGAGCCAGGGCCGATGCCGGGGCCGGGGCCGCTAGCGGCAGAGTTACTAGCTGCCTGGGCATACGTTTTTCCGGTGCCGGGGCCAGAGGTGGGTCCAAAGATTTCTGCAGTTGCAAACTGGGTAAAGGTATCGATGAGGTCCTGGGCTGTAGCCTTCAGTCGTGCTGGGGCCGTCCCAATGAGGGCATCTAGGCCTCTAGCGAGGAGGTCCAGGGCCTCATCTCGGAGGGCCCGACCCTCTCGAGCCTGTTGGAGGGCGGCAGTGGCCGATCGTGGCCCCCTTCCCAAGGGCCGGATAGGGGGGGGCGTGAGGCCCCTCGGTCGTGGAGGTAGGGAGGTAGGGGGAGGAGGGGTCCGGGGGAGTCTATGCATAGAGGATGAGAGGCCCCTAGGGGATAAGCAGAGTTAGCTCAAACACAAAACAATACTTACCAAGAAAGATTCATATTTTGTCCGAATTATAGAATTCCTATTCTATAAAAAGGATAATTTCCGCGCTATGAAGCTTTGAACAGTGATTGTTCAAGACAATACCCATCGTGTTCATTCTATTACCAGATCAATGGCAAGTAACGCCAGGCGTCTAGTCAAAGCCTAAACTCCGTCACTAACTGCAACCGCCGCTTTCAACTCTATCCGGGCTAACAGACACTTAAGAGATGGTCTGAAGCTGTCTGTTCTCATTCATAACAACGTATTGAGCCATTGATGCTCATGCCTCGTTGTATCAATAGATGCTTCCAACGGCTTTTCAAATGGACCTGTGGGGACGATCCGACATGAACCACGCAACCCAATCGTGCTATTTTCTCTGGGGGGCCAATTGACGACGATAAACATCTCCGCAAAATATTCGCTTGAGTCAGCGTGACTACTCTGCAACCAGCCAAATGACAGCCTTCTGCTCATATCGTCGTTCTGAGAATCCACAATAGGACCGAACTACGAAAAGCCAGATCAGTCCGACCCACGATAGACCGTCTTTCTTGGTGCCGATGATGATTCTAGAAAATCATACGAGAACAAACGATATGAAAGAGGTTCGCAAATAGCCAATCAACAGATAGTTACTCCGCCCTTTGAGCTTACTATGAGTGGGGATTTCCTGTAGTAGTGGTGCCGGCGGAAAACTGGCGGAATACTTTATACCACTCAACCCCACGATGACGTTCCGCGATCATGATCAGACCAACGGTCTTCTTGGCGGCACTAACAACAGTGGGGTCATCATCGGCATCAGCGAGAAACAAATTGCTTCACCGGTGAATGATGCGAAGCAGGAACATTCTTTGCGCCCGAGATTTTCTTCGATACTTCAGTCAACTGTCAGCAAATATCCATGTGCTCAACTTCGAGCTCGAATTTCTCTATTACTCGGATGATCGACTACGTAGAAAATGCTGCCCGGAGTGTTTGCCGGACAGTTCCCCGGCTACACAGAATAAACATCCCTTACCCCAGGCCGGGCGCCCACCAACCTTCCCCATTCCCCAGTGTTCCACTGCAGTGCTACCCCGGCCTAGCTACCCCTCGTCTCCAACTAACAGGATTGGGTTTGGCGCTGCATGTTGCCCAAAATTGTGATCCGGCCGAACGTTGCATCCGGTGCTTCTGGCACTGCGGGTTAGCTGCGGAAAACTAATCCTGCAGGTTGATCGTTACTCTTTTGGCTCCCGGGTGCAATGTTGGAGGAGTTGTTTTTCTTGCCCTGCTGATCTTTGAGAGGGGAACCGCCGACAATTTTGACGATGGGTCGTGACATGAGCGGATGCATCACGAGATTCTTGGAGACCCGGACGAGCCGCATATGCAGGTAGAAAGTGACATAAATACCGGTTCTTCCGCCGTGAAAAAGTCAAATGGAAGCCAGGACTTTCGAGAACATCGCACTTCTCTGGCGAGCTCATCCAGCATCCAATTGTCATTGGTGATTCGACCTCTTTAGCCCTCAACATGGCCGGTAACAACTGGCTGAGGCATTTTGCCTTGGCTGCTTCCGCAACAGTGCTTGTTGGTCAAACATCAGCCCAGAATGCCTCCGCGAATGGTAAGCCCACACTGATTGTAAATTTCGGTCCAGCAGCGCTGACCTTGGTAAGGAATCGTTGTTGATGGCACGTCCTTTGCCCTCAATGGTGACCACACGTCGTACCGCTTTCATGTGGATGAGCTCACTGGCGATCTTCTCACCGACCATTTCGGAGGTTCGGCTACTGAGAGTATGGCAATGCTTGCTCCAGAGGTCAACGGATGGGTGGACATGATCGGCCGTGTCAGACGGGAGTACCCTGATCTTGGCCGTGGGGACTTCAGAGTCCCCGCACTGCAGATTCGCGAGACAGCTGGGTACACCGTCAGTGACCTCCAGTATCGATCTCACAGGGTCGTCCAGGGCAAGCCTGGCTTGCCTGGACTTCCGTCCACGTTTGGGACTGAGAACGACGTCTCAACGTTGGTCGTTTCCCTCTTCGACAATTACAGTTCAATCGCTGTCGATCTCTCTTACTCAATTTTCCCGAAGTACGATGCCATTGTGCGGAGCGTCAACATCACCAATGAGGGCCAGGGAAACATCACGGTGGAGAAGGCTGCAAGTCTCAGCGTGGACTTGCCATTTGACGACATGGAGTTCCTTGAGCTGAGAGGAGACTGGGCACGAGAGGCCATGAGAACCCGCCGGAAGATTGATTACGGCACGCAAGGGTAAGTTCAATCCAACTACCCGATATTGATCTGCCAAGGGAAGTATGCTGACTCCACTCGAAACTAGGTTCGGAAGCACAACCGGGTACTCTTCTCATCTCCACAACCCTTTCCTGGCACTTGTATCTCCGGATACGACCGAATCTCAGGGTGAAGCCTGGGGATTTTCCCTAGTCTACACAGGTTCATTTTCCGCCGAGGTTGAGAAAGGGTCTCAAGGTTTCACTCGGGCCATGATCGGCTTCAACCCTTACCAACTCTCTTGGCCGCTCGGACCAGGAGAGACTCTTACAACGCCTGAGGTTGTCGCCATCTATTCCAACACAGGAATTGGTGGCATGTCTCGAAAGTTTCACCGACTCTACCGGAAGCACCTCATGAGAAGCAAGTTCGTCACCGAGCCTCGCCCGGCATTGCTCAACAGTTGGGAGGGACTCTACTTCAACTACAACGAGAGCACCGTCTACGACCTTGCCCAGGAGGCTGCACAACTTGGCGTCAAGCTGTTCGTTCTCGATGACGGCTGGTTCGGCCAGGAGTACCCCCGATTGAACGACACGGCCGGTCTTGGAGACTGGACGGTCAACCCGACTCGCTTCCCGGATGGCCTGCCTGCTCTTGTGAATAAGGTCACGAATCTGCAAGTTACCAATTCTTCCGACAAGTTGCAGTTTGGTCTGTGGTTTGAGCCCGAGATGGTCAACCCCAACTCGACTCTTTACCATGAGCACCCTGATTGGGCCCTCCATGCGGGGCCGTACCCTCGCACGATCCGACGAAACCAGCTCGTCCTTAACGTGGCTCTTCCTGAGGTCCAGGAGTATATCATCGCATCAGTTTCCAGTATCCTTTCCAGCGCTCCCGTCACATATGTCAAATGGGACAACAACAGAGGTTTTCACGAGACACCTACCCCTGGCATCGGCCTCTCCTATATGTTGGGAATGTACCACGTCTTTGAGACCCTCACTTCTCGCTTCCCCGATGTTCTTTGGGAGGGTTGCGCGTCTGGTGGCGGCCGCTTCGACCCCGGTGTTCTTCACTACTTCCCTCAAATCTGGACTTCCGACAACACTGATGCTCTGGATCGTATTTCCATTCAGTTTGGCACATCCCTCGCCTACCCGCTCGCTGCCATGGGTGCCCACGTCTCAGCGGTGCCCAACCACCAGACCACGCGTACAATCCCCATCAAGTTCCGTGCTCACGTTGCCATGATGGGCGGTTCCTTCGGTCTCGAATTGAACCCAGCCGAGATCTCTGACGAGGACAAGGTCCATATCCCAGAATTGCTGGCTCTCAATGAAGTGGTCAACCCAATTGTGATTGGAGGTGATCTGTGGCGATTGAACCTGCCTGAGAAATCCAACTGGCCAGCTGCCATGGTCATCTCCGAGGACGGGTCCCAGGCTGTTCTCTTCTACTACCAGGTCAGATCCTGGTACAACCACGCCCTGCCAAGGCTCCGCCTGCAAGGATTGGACCCAACTGCTTCTTACTCGTTGGACGGCAACGGCACCTACTCCGGAGCAACTTTGATGAATACTGGATTTCAGTACGCATTTGAGGGAGACTACGACAGTCGTGTGGTTATTATCAAGAAGACTTAATGTATATTTTTGTTCATGGGCTTGAAGCTAAGGCTAAGACCATAAGTAGGGAACTATTTCAATCTACTTGTCTTCCGAACGGGGAAAGCTTCAGTACCTGTTTGTTGGTACGATGTTGAGGTGTCTCGTCTTGACTAAAACACGCCGGAGGGTGCGTCTCCTTAAAGATCCCATGGGCGCTTCCTGGGACGCTTAACCAGCCCAGACTGCCGATCCCATTCAGCTCCGTAAATCATGATGTCGTAGTAACGGCACAGCGACTCGCACTCCAGATACATCCAGTCATCTTCAGGATCGTGCTCGCTCGCTTCAGACTCATCGTCACTGTCTGTCAGGTCTTCGTCACTGTCCGAGTATTCCTCCTCAGAGTCAGGAACTGGGGTCTCTGCGTTAACGACCTTGACAAAAGGAATGGATGTTTCCAATGAACTCAGGCATTCTGCGTCCACATAAAGATACAGGTTGAATCGAGCGTAGTCGCGGCTATCGTTGGCTGGGATGTCTTGGCTCTCGTCGCTTTCATCTGGAAGAGCATTGGCCCAGGATTGAAATCGCGTCAGGACCTCTTGGATAGACGCGCCATCCAGAGACTCTCGATCCTCTATGACAGATATCCGGAAAGTTGTTTGCATCTCGTCGCGTTTGCTTGAAGAGTCTCTCGCGATGAAGTCGAAGGCTCGTTGTCTGAGGTTGGAGATGTAGCGTTCCCAGAGCGGCTGATTGTCATAGGTCGTGCGATAGAGGTAGAAGCCCCAGCGATAGATGCCCTCGCGGGACAAACAAAGAGTATCGTAGACTCCGCGGAGCTCCGTGTCTTCTAACATGGCTGTTTACCCGTAAGGTAGGGATGAACAGGCTCTGTCAATGAAACTGAGCTGAACTTCCGTGCAGTCTAAACTATTAACTTTTGATTAGGAGGGGTGAGGTGAGTGCGCTAAGTGGAGAGGAAGGGGACGTAAATATTGGTGTTTCTGACGAGAATTGATCCGGCAATAGTATTCTTCAAGCAAGTGATTTGCAAGGCACTGTAAATTTATAGTCAAATCTAATTTAGCAAAAGTTAGTTCCCAGTGGCGAGGTTCGTCAACTCCGTTTCGAACTCTCTTTCGTGGCCTCTCAAGGTAGCCACAAAGACCATTCTTACGCAATGGCCAATTCATGTTCAATCGCCTGACCCAAATTTCCACCAGGAAGGTGAATTATTGTCCAAAGTGTCTCACTGGATAAACCACTCCCGCTGGCAACTTTTACACCGTCTCAGATATCTTGAGTTATTGGGCCTGAATATGAATAATTATGTGACCCTTGCGCGCTTCAACTACCATCCGTGCATCGTCCAAGACCTCGTCTTCGTTGCAGTCCATCGCTTTCATTAAATGTCTACATGTAGCTTTGACCAAGTTCAAAGAGACTTAAGTTAACTAGAGGTAACACAACATCGTGTCGCAGCGGATGTTCTCAGACAGTTGTTCAAACCGACATCCTTGGTTCCTTTTGCCGTACATCCTGCCATCCCCCTACTGCAACCTTCCACCCTTGCCTAAGCATGGCCTGGAGCTTCGTAAATTGGAGACCGAGTACAAAGATGGCCAAAGTGATAGGGACTGTAGATGCTATGTAGGTGGTCCAGGAGTGGTCGTCGGTCGCGAAGAGACCGGCGCTGAAGATGGTCTGCGTAAAAGTCGCAATCAGTAACATCCAGATTCATGTTGCAGAACTTGAAATCAAGTGCAAATAAAGAATCTTACCGCTATCAAGCTCGCAGGCGCGAAAATCAGCGCGACTATGGCAATCATGGTAGTCTGCGAGGCCTCCTTATGTGCCGTCATGTTATGGATCTTGGGAATGTTGTCAGTCACATCAACATGGATGTTGACCGGGTCTCCGAATTAACGAAAGCCGTCTCAATGTCTGGACAACGAAGAGACAGGGGAATCTTTCACCCCGTATTCTTTCAAGACTCGAAGTACTTACCAACTCAATTTGCACAGCAACGCGGTCTCTGAGGCCCTGGATCTGAGTTCTTCGACTCTTGGTGTGAGTCAACTGGAACTTGACCGTGTTCAGCATTGTGGTTTGGATGTTCTTGTTGGCCAGTCCTTCAACGTTGCATATCGAATTTCTATCCTCCAGCAGACCCTGCAGTTGCCTCCACGCTTCAATCTCCTCGTCGACGGCCCTGGTGGCAAAGACGAGCTGGTTGTTGCACCTGTGTAGGAGGCCTATACACTCGTAATGGTCCTCGGGCCAACAGACCTTCTTGGTGAAGAGTGGTTCCGGCTGACCCTCTACCGGCGGGGGAATACACGTGTTGGTCTCCATTTCAATCTTGACGATATGGTCATCCAACTCTTTTCGCTTCACCTCCGAGGCCTGCCCAATATCCCGAAGCAGCGCGACAAGAAAGGCCAGTGGGTGTCGCCAGTCGAGATCTACCGTGCGAGCAAGGATGTTGCTGACCACCCTGCAGAGATCGTCCCGCTTGCCCTCCAGTAGAAGGCAGGTTATTGAGCACTGCTTCTCAACGACTCGGACTCTCATCGAGAGGAACGATTGCCTCATCGGAGACTTGGAGGTGGACAAAGTGACGAATATTGGGAAGTCAGTGATTGAGTGTCATGATCGTGCGTCCTTGGAGTTACATACCGAGAGACTTAACCGGACTGTGAGTGATTTCATCTTGCTCCTCGACCTCATCGAAGCTGCAAAACACCCCATGGATGGACTGAACCACTTCCTCGCTCATACTGGGAAGCTCAAAATCCTTGATGATCTGTCTGAAGAGCATACGATCGAGACTAATCTTGTGATGGGTGTCGTATCCATATCCATGAGCACCGCTTTTGTCTGTGAGCGTGGGGCTGACGTGGGTGCTTAAGAAACGTTTACTTACACGAGGGTAATGGAAGGGTATATATTATCTTCGGTGCTACCTCGCGCACGGTTTGCCGAACCTTGTCCAAACTCCTGCGTAGTAGTTAGATACAGTCTTGATTTGTTAGGCTCTTAACACAAGCAGACCCCGAGGAACCTCAGCGATTCGTCCCTGTTGGACGGCAAAAGTGGACGGTTCAATGTCACCCGCAAGCAGTTACCAGCTGAACAAGTTAGCACAGCCTCATCAGGAAGGCACGCGAAAGTTACTCACCGCTACTGACCGGGCTCTTGTAACAATAAAGGCTTGCTTCCTCTTGCTCAGAAGCAGCCAGAAATACCCTGTCTTCATGACTGACTGAGTCGGTTGGAGCTCTCTCGATATAGGTGGTTACGCTGTCAGATTGCTTCTTTCCCATGGCGAGTGACGTGTATTATCACACAATCAGAGGCAGTATTGGGTTTGAGTTCTTGGACCGGCTTTTTGCGTTATGAGGTCGCGCTCTTTTGGAAGACAAGGAATTCTGTTGCTGTTTCTTTTTCGGTCGTTTCTTGTATTTGAACCATCAAATCATTGCCCAATTTAATGGAAAATCCAACGTTTCATTAGTCCGAAAGAAGGACGCATCGGGCGTGGATAGAAAGAGAATCGGATCAGGCGGCTCAGTTGAAGCCAAATCAGGCTGCGGAAAGGTCTGGGCTGCCGCGGAACCCATGTCGAATTTTAGAACACCCTCTACGATTGGATGCCTCGCTGCACCATTGCTTCTCGCCAAGTCAACGAAATTTCAGCCTACTGGTTGAACGTCCAATATTTGGGGGAAACGGTGTCAGATGGAGGACCACGGGGAGGCTGTGTTGGGAAGGTGATGCGTTGCCAATGTTCCCTGTTAGGGGAGGTGCAGCTAAGCAACCGGGAATATCAGCGGAAATGTGATAATCACGTATTCTCTACTCAGATGTGGCCCTTTCAAACTGTTCGTATACAGTATGTGGTGATCATGCTTTGAAATGTTCAAGTAGGCTGTGTGGGTCGGTGACAGAATCACGCTTAAACATGTTACTTGCTGCAGGCTATGCCGGAAATTGCAACCAAAATCACACCGTGATTGATGATAAGGCTCGGCTACGATTTCCGCCTCTTCGGATCGATATTTCATTGAGGTTTGTCCAAATTGCGGATTGAAACGTAGGTCATAGGATTTCCCCCCCGCAGAGAAGGATGGCAACTTTACGTCGTCAAACTGGTTGTTTGGCAGGCGGGGGTGGGGGGGATTATTTTGCTCCATCCAGATGATCCTACCGGAGTTTGGAGTAGTAATCTGTTCCGTCATGAACAGCCAATGTTCAGTGTTTCACGTCCTTTTTCTGATGCACCTTTCCTTCCCTCCGTTGTAGTTTGTCGACCATCTCCTGAGCCTAAAGTGATGTTCTGCGTACACATCCGTCATAGCAGCCACCATCTCTTTTGGGCCCAAGACCTGAAACAACCTATAAATGATCATTTTTTTATCGGATCCTCAGTGCTCTTAGCAGCAATCTTGCCACCATCGTGAAGTTGATTACCTGAAGCTGACTCTAAATACACCGAGCCTCGAAAGTCACTTGTATGGATGCGGCTTTACCCACACGTAACCCTTTCGTCAGAAACATCATATCCATTCTTCCCTACCCTCAACAAACCCTTATTCATACTCCTAATGCTCTAGGCGTCAAAGGAAGCTAGGACACTTCGATTTGTAAAGTCTGTTTCTCCCTGTTTCACGCGCGCATTTCAAGCAACGATATCAAAACACGGCAGACGCTATGGTGTGTGATGGTCTTCGTTGTATCGATAGAGCGTCCACAAATACAGTTGCTACAATTATCGCACGCATAACTAGGTCAACCAATAGATTGCACGAACGTTTTCAGCTCGTTCTTCACCGGCAACTTATACAGCCCGCCTCTGAACAACTATGCATAGTTGCACCAGGTCTGAATCTGAAGACCATGTCATCTTTGCGCGGTCACACTGCTCTCCTTAAAGCCTGTCGGGCCTTGTTTTGATCCCAACAGAGTATTACTTTCGGATACTGAGGTTCCGTCTCTGGCACTGCGATTGGGCATCGGGCACTAAGCGCAGACAAGAGGTGAAGTTCATTCCTAGAGCTCATAGCTATCCTCTATACGCGGGACTTCGTTGCTTGATTTCGAAACATGCTTACCTGCCTCAGCGACCAGTAATCGTCCAAGCAGAGTTCCATGGCCATGGAGAGCACAGATGATAGAGTCGATTTTAAGTCAGGTTCAGCGAGTCGAGTTCTACGGAGGTAAATAAAGAAGTAAAGATTTGCAGACCGGACACGATGCTTCCCTTGGTCAATTTGCTGTTTCAGCGGATCCCTTTGCGTTTGGTGTGAAGATAGGCATGCCCACCCGAGAGATGATGATAAAGCAGACGATGATGACGACGAAGACAAGGCCACGGGAAATTCATTCGCCAAATACAAATAACACATCACTGGGAACAAAGTGTTCGTATATTTCAAAGCTTAGACAAGGTTTGAGATTTGATCAGGGGGCTCAAGCTCAGGATTTCATCGACTTGGGATTTGTATTTACCTCGCCACAAGCAAACCTCTCTCTGTAATTAGAGATAGTAATAGTAATATACATTAACTCATAAGTTATTATTATCTGTCAGATTGCCTAAGGTCTCACTCTGTGTGACATAACAGCAATGGAGTCATGAAAGCAAGAAAAGACGGTCCGTATGCGGAAAGGTTTCACGGCCTGCATTGTGCGAACAACCACGATGCCACACTTGGCGAATGATCTTCCCGTAGGATCTTAGCTTGAGTCTGACTTCTTAGCTTGGCATCCATTGTAGTATTGTTGGTCCGCGCCGCTGTTCCCGGCATCACTGCTACCTTTCGGACTGTCGGTGGCTTTCCGGAACCGAAACCGAAAGCGGGGACCACGGTTTAGAGAACCCACAAACTCCGCCCGTTCAACGTGTCTCAAGCCGGGCCAGCCCGTTTCTTTTCCCCGCTTTCCTGCGGACTTTGTGTGTTCTGCTTTGTAAACATGGTAGCAATGACCTCATCTTGGCAGCGGGAGCGAATGATATTCGACTTCCCAAACTAGGGGTCCATTTTACGCTTGTTGTCGCTTGCGAGATAAATTCTATGTAAACCACAGACTTCTCACTATATGACGACTGATTGGCCTTGAACATTTTGTTATCATTACCTTAGTCGGTAGAACAATCTTGTCACAGTTTTTCACGCAAAGTACTTTCACCATAGTGTTCCTGTCGATAAGCTCAGCACAAGAATGAAGTTCGCGGTCGTTGGAGCCACCGGGGAGACCGGAACTTCCATTGTGAATGGACTCCTAGCATCTCCAGATACGCAATTTGTACGAGTTTGAGAAATTTGATGGTCGCCAGGATCGTTGCGTATGCTGACTGACACGGAACAGGACGTGACCGCTCTCATCCGACCCGGCTCGCTTGACAAGCCCGAGGTTCACGCCCTCAAAGAAAGAGGCGTCAAGATAGCTTCCACCGACCTCACAGGACCTGAGGATGAAATCGTTAAGCAAGTCACTGGCTTCGATGTCGTCATTTCCGCCATCGTTGCAGACAGCCTCCTTGATCAGCTCCCACTTGCCAGCGCGTCGAAGAAGGCCGGTGTCGGGCGATTCGTCCCCTGCTTCTTTGGTACCGTGATGCCGGCTAGGGGAATGTTGTGGTTCCGTGACCAGGTATGACTTAGTGTCCCTGGCGAGCCTAAGAGACGCAACTAATAAGCTTTGACGCACAGAAAGAGGATGTCTTGAACCATGTTCAAACACTCTACCTTCCCTACACCGTCATTGACGTCGGCTGGTGGTACCAGATTACCCTGCCTCGCTTGGCTTCCGGTCGCATTGATGCTGTCGCCAGCCCCTTTGACAACTGGATTGCAGGGGATGGCACTGTCAAGTCTGCTATCACTGACCTAAGGGATATCGGCAAATACGTCGCTCGCATCGTTGCGGACCCTCGTACCCTGAACCAGAAGGTTTTCGCATACACCCAGTTGATCTCGCAAAACGAAGTTTACGATCTCATTGAAAACTTGAGCGGCGAGAAACTCGAGAGACAATACGTATGTACCTCCTGTTCTCATCTCATTGAGTTTTAGCTGACATAATGAAGCTGTCGTCAGATGATATCGAGGCCGCGATGGTGAAGGCGAAGGATGACAAAGCCAACCCTCACAAGCTGTCTGTCTTGCAGTACCGCAAGTCTTGGGGTCTTCGAGGGGACAACACTCCCGAGTATGCCCGTTATCTGGGTTATCAAATCGGCAAAGAACTCTACCCAGATTTGACTGGGAAACCATTTGAAGAGTTTTGTAAAGAAGCGTTGGATGGAAAGGTTGAGCCCATTTTCCAGAAGAAGAGGCGCGAGATGATTGAAGCTGCTCAGAAGAAAGCCGCGGCTGGGCAAGCTTAAAGTAGATACTTAACAAAAATAACGTGAACGAGTTGAGATGAAAGATTATACGGTTTTCGTCAGACAGATCTTGGAAACCCATGAGGACCTGCCCCTACATTTTGGGGTAAGTAGGACATCGAACATCGAGCCATTCAATGCAAGTATCCACAAATAACCTAACAGAAAGTGATTCTTTAGAAGCTCTCTCAATATCTGTTTTATCGCATGCCGACGGGTCGGGGAATTTCGGCGACTCAGACGTTGGCTGGGACTTGGCTCGGCGAAGTTCACCGACACACCTAAACCCCACAACCCGAGCGCTGCGGAGAACTTCGCCGGCCTATTGGTCACTTCACAAACATTGGCGGCAAAGCCGTACTTCGCTGAACAACCGGATCAAATTCCGGCTCATCGGGACTTAAGAATCCGATAGCGGAAAGTTCTTTGATTTGAAATGCAATGTTCTTGCTTCATGTCGAGCATCGCTGCAATACAAAACATAGTCATATCCTGCTCGATCAAGTACATTGTGTTTACAGCCTGCTCCTCTTTTTGTAACAACATCATCTGCCTTATTGCCCAATAAGTGTTCTTTGATTATCATTGCGGACTTAGCCTTTTCAGAAATGGCTCCGAGACATATCAAGAAGCCCAGTGCCGCCACTTCAAATGGCACTGCCCCAGCTCCGTCGGTAGACGTTCCCAACGTTGTTCGAGGGGTCATCAACGACATCTCGGCCAACGGTGACGCTGCTGTCCGCTTATACAGCCAGAATTTTGATAAGTGGGAGCCCAAGTCGTTCAAACTGTCATCAGATCAAATCCAGGATATCATTGCAAAAGTCGATCCTCAGACCATCAAAGACATCAAGACGGTCCAGCAGAATGTGAGGAGATTCGCACAGGCGCAGAGAGACAGCATACGGGATTTTGAGATTGAAAGCGAGCCGGGTGTATTCCTTGGACAAAAGAACATCCCTATCGAGACAGTTGGCGCCTACATACCGGGTGGCCGGTACCCCCTTTTGGCCTCAGCACACATGACCATTCTGACTGCAAAGGTCGCGGGCGTTCCCCGCGTAATCGGGTGCACCCCTCCCATCGCTGGTCAGATTCCCAGCGCTACCGTTGCAGCGATGCATCTTGCCGGCTGTGATGAGATCTTCATTCTCGGCGGCGTTCAGGCTGTCGCGGCCATGGCTTTGGGAACCGAGACCATAGCGAAGGTCGACTTCATCGCCGGTCCCGGTAACGCATTCGTCGCTGAAGCCAAGCGTCAGTTGTACGGCGAGGTTGGCATCGATCTTGTGGCAGGCCCCACTGAGATTCTCATTGTCGCCGACGAGTACGCGGACCCAATGACTGTTGCGACAGACTTGGTCTCTCAAGCCGAGCATGGTCCAGACACCCCGGCGGTTCTCATCACGTCTTCTCAAGAAGTGGCAGAGAAGACTATCCGCTACGTGGATGCATGCCTGGAGCATCTATCAACCAAGGGCATTGCTGCTGTTAGCTGGAAAGATCACGGCGATGTGATTGTCGTCGATGACTTGGATGAGGCTTATAAGGTCGCCGATACCTTTGCTTCGGAACATGTCCAGATACTCACACGAGAGCCGCGAGAAGCCCTACAGAAGATGAAACAATACGGCGCCCTCTTCTTGGGTGAGAAAACATGTGTCAGCTACGGTGACAAGGTAAGTCAGCGTCTGTCTCGTTTGATCCAAATACTAATGACTGTAGTGCATTGGAACAAACCATGTTTTGCCAACGAGAAAGGGGGCTCGCTACAGTGGCGGCCTTTGGGTTGGAAAGTATCTCAAGACATGCACTTATCAAGAGGTCGTCAGTGAGAAGGCCAGCGGTGAGCTGGGGCGGCTTTGTGGTCGCGCTGCTCGGGCCGAGAATTTCGAAGCTCATGCTCGTTCTGGTGATCTTCGGGCGTCGACGTATCTGAAAGACTCCATTTCGTGGATCAAGACTGCAGAGGATGATGTCCGAGCTTAAGGTAGCAGCGAAGGATGTTTTGTCATTATAAGCTAGAACTATAGATTACAAGTGTCACAGTAACCCAAAACCCATGTGTTCAAGATCAAATGTTGGCAGTAATGATTCCCATCCTGCGTCAGGCCCTTCAGACCCCATGTTCGGGTCAAACGTCGGGTTCATGAAGCCTGAGCTCATGTTACCCAGGGACGCATCGATTGGCCCCATTCCCCATTGGAAGCTCGCATCGCCTCTTGCTGCATCCCAGGCATTTCCAGGCTCAATGGACATGCCTAGACTCGTCTCAAGCTCTTCGTGCGCCTGCTGCATGGACATGTCGTCCTGGAGCAGCATTCCCTCGGCCTGAACTCCAATGCGAGCTTTGGGACCTGTCGACTGATTTGATAAGGCGTTCTCACACTTCGCAGCGAGGTCCCGCAGGCCTGCACCCATCCAGTGCACGAGATGATAGCTCGTACACTGGGCATTCTGGCAGAAGTCTGCTACTTTTCGAATCGCACCAAAGGTTTCCTCTGCGTTCAGGCTTTTGTCATGTTGACTCGTTGCAAGCTTGAGCAAAAATGAACAAGCATATGCAATCATGGTATGACAGTAGTGAGGCATCCCCACGAAAGCAGCTCGGATATCGACGTCGTTTATAATGAGCTCCACAATGGCGCTGGCACTGCTCACGGCAACTTGAGCCATGTCTGAGTACTCTAGTGGAACTGGTTCACCGCCACAGTGAGACGATCGGCCGCGATAAACGTGAGAAGATACGAAGAGCTTCGCAAAGTGGTAGTGGAGTGTAAGCGCCTTCAGTGGAAAGTTGCCTATTCTCTCGTGTGGTCCTGTTCACGTAGTCAGAGCCCGGTCGCCACAAGCTGAGTTGCGAGATGAGAACTCACGATATCGGCCTGTCCAAGCCATGATCCACTGGTCAAGTTGACGATTGAACCCCTGCAGTTGGCTGTGAAAGTGACCAGGGATGCAAACTTCCACGTTTGTGCCAAAGATTCCAGTGACTTTGTCCAGTATCAGAATCATCTCGATCTGACTTGCCAGCCGCACGTCGGTACTGTTCTCCGGGACTGCGTTCAGGTAGGTTTCCCACTTGTTGACTGAGATTTGGTCTCCAAAGCTTGAGGGCCTGCCATAGAGAATTGATAGATGGCGGTCGCAGATGTAATAAAGGTACCAGACTCTCAAGCACTCTTGTGCCTCTTCTCGGCTCCCGAGCTGGAACCTGTGCGGAGAGACTTTCTGAATAGTGGTAGCGCCGATGACAAAGTCAAATGCCTTCCCAAGTTGGAACTCCATAGCTCGGCGGATGGCTAGGCCTGAGACTGACCACGCCATGTCGCTCAACCAGAATGAGGCGATGCGTAGTCCCTGGAAGTCACCCATGCTCACTTGTGGGGCAAAGACGAAGTTGGTAACAAGCTTTCGAAGCTCTAGGCTGCAGGCGCGGTAAAGCGATTCACCTTGGGGCTCATGGAGAGCTGACACGGTGCAAATGGCTGTGAACAGCAGCGGCGACGCATTACGAATACCATCCAGGTCTTGATATATCGTAGTGACGCCATAGAGATAATGGTCCGTTTGGTCCAAGAACTTCTGAACAAGGCGTTTGGCATCAACGAGATTGATCTTACCTTCTGTAACCAGATCGCGAGGCCCGTTCATGCCAGCCGGTGTTCTCTTGTTCGTTGACGACGGTGATACTTGACGAGAACGTAATGATTCGAGCCGCGTGATCTCGTATAGAGACTTGATGGGTATCTGGGTCAAAGGTTCTACCGACGCTCTGTCTTGAGTCCGCATGCTCAGTGAGTCGCCCGTTAAATGACCACCACTCTGTGAAAGTTGATCCGATGCGACGGATGCCGAGGGACTTGGACTTCGTTCCGTTTGCGGGAAGACCGATCTCGTCCTAAGAGGCCCAAGTGCTGATTGTTTCCTGTTCGCCAGGATATTGTTGATTGCATCGCGTAGCGTCTCAAGGTCTTCAGCCACTGTCATCCTAGCCCATGATGTCAACAGCAATAAAGAATAAGAGGAGACGAAATCATACTGGAGAGCTTCATTGCCGCTAGGTTTCCAGTATTGTGGGATCTTGCTGAAATGGCATTGAATGCCTCTCTTCTGGCACCTTTGGCAAGGGGTGCCATCGTCACTCGCTCGGCACCGGACCTAGTTGCGGGGTCAGTACAGCTCCGCGGCGAAAGGCCCAGGTTTCAACCTTTTGCTTCTGGCATGGAATGCAAGCTTTGTTGCGGGACTGAGGCAGTCGTCTCAGGGGTTTTCGAGCGCTCTCGGATGAAGAATTCATCTCGGACAATTGATGGAAGTAAGACCACGGACACACATGCCCTGGATGAACTCATCTACAGCTAGGTCCATGGCTTAGAAACAACCGAAAGTTTCTCGGTTCCAAACTAAGCAGCTTAAGCGCATATTTGGCAATGTATGCATCAACCCGGACTTGTCAAATACTTGCATGCCAGTGATCCCTCGTTACAGCCATATACATGACTAAGCCATCATCCGATAGTAGTTCGCGACACAACAAGTGGCAGGTGTCAACTCAGTCCACACCAAAATAAGTGGCACACTAGGAAATGTTACGTTCATATGGACGTTCTAAATAGCACGTGGGCAGTCGCTTGCAAGATTTCTGTTTTTGCGACCAAAAGCACGAGTCTTGTTCATGACTAAAAGCCAAGAGATTGAAGTTGGTTGCGGGTCTTAACACCGAGCACCGAAGCGTGGATGCTCGGCTACATCGGAGCTCGCCTGTTCACTTACGATTGGTACGAATGTCTCTTCAGCCCCTGCATCATCGGGGCAGTAGTCTTTCCTGCCCTGTACCACTTGATTCTCGTTATCGTCAGCATCATGCCTGACAAGTTGGTTTTCTTCTTGATAATTGATGGAAACTTTGGCTTTGAAGCCGAGTTTGAGCATGGTTGCGGCTTCGGTCCATGAGGAAGGCTTGACTCGACTCAAGAACCCTCGACGCCCCAGAATCCGGAGCCAAACCGGGAGTCTGGATACTGTGGGGGCGGTTCTCGGGACGACTTTAAGTTCAAACCGGTGGGGATCTGCTAAAATATGCTAAAGCTTAACGCAAAGTCCTATCCCAAGCTTCAAGCCGTGACACCGGCCCGGTCCACGACTCGACCATCTCCTGATTATCAGATTTTATCTGATAAAGAGCGCCAGACGATTTTGTCTTTGTAAGATGAAAGATTGATAATGATAAACCCAAGAAAAGCTCTGGGCGAGTCTTGGGCCTCCTGCTCATTTGTCACCTCCTCGGAAAGATTTCCCGAAGTCAGGTCTCTCTTTCCTCGTGTCCGCGTATGACTCGAGCCTGGGCCGGTCTCATTATTCACGGACGCCATCTCCCTGACCATCAGTGGAGTTCGCTTACACTTAACCTGCCAAAAGGGGAGCCATGCGGCAGGCCAGACAGGTTCGCTTGACACCTTCGGTATGCTTTGAGGTAACGCTCCCCAAGCGTCTTGGCTATGTCGCCCAGTCAGAACCATTTGTCACAATATGTCAGCTACTACACGAGCTCCACGGAGCTCGGATCTTCACTGTGAATAAATGCGCCATTAGGCAGGGATTCCAGGGAAGTCCCCACAGCAGGAGGCCAGGTAGGTGGGATGGAAAAGTTTTATCAGATTCGGAGATAATCTTATGGTATGGATCTGATTGCGCCGTTGCTGTTTGATATACCTCCGTCTCCCTTCTTTGGTGCAAAGCTGCTCATCCGTCTTTCACAACCATTCGCCCATCCGCGTAGGCAGTTGCAAAGATGTCAGCTGAGAAGAGTTCCGTCGGGGAGAAGATCCGAGGTAGAGTTGTACTGAAGAACCAAAGCCCACATTGGTACTGACTCAGAGGCCACACAGTCTTCTTCCTGGGTGACGAAGCAAAGAGCAGGGAAGAGAGAAAGCTCGTGCAGAAGATTGGTAGGCAATGTTGACGAATGAATTTGTAGACTGAAGCTGACAGTCACATTAGACTTCTTCATCCTTGTATGTGACCGCATTCGGTCGGTCGCAGGAGGGCTCTCGACTTACAACGTTCACAGACTTACTGCTGTCTAAGTTACTTCTTCAACTTCCTCGGTAAGAGCCGCCTCACTCACTTGGGACCGATGAATTGGATAGTGAGCTTACCTCTCCAATGCTGAAGACCGTGCTGCCTTCGCCAATGCATATGTAAGTTCCCCGGACCCATCATCTACGTTATGATGTTAATTGTCAATCCACAGGTCGCCGGCCTTCGTGAGGCCCTGAACATGAAGGGCCATGACTACAACACGGTCCTCTCGGTTACGACTGCAGGGTCAGTCGCTTATGCTGCCACCTCATTTTCATAATATGCTGACACGATTACACAGAATGGCCATTGGCCAGATTCCTCATGGATTGATTATTCAAAAGATTAAGCCCCGCATCTGGCTTCCGTCCATGGTCGTTGTCTGGGCTGCCCTGACAGTAAGCTTCACATGATCGATTGCTGCATGGCCAAAACAGGTACTAAACCCCCGGGTAGATGATCAGTGCAGCATGCAAGACAGTCACTCAGCTTTGCGTCGTCCGTTTCTTCCTTGGCCTTGCTGAGGCAAGCACGTACGCCGGCACCATCTACATCATCGGCTCCTGGTACAAGCCAAAGGAGATCTCCAAGCGGACAGCCATTTTCACAGCATCCGGTCAGGTCGGCACTATGTTTGCTGGCGTCATGATGGCGGCCATCTACAAGGGCATGGGAGGACTCGGTGGTCTTGGCGGCTGGCAGTGGGTTTTCCTTATTGGTAAGCAAAGCCTATTACCTCAGCCAGAGAATTATACTGACAAAATCCTAGATGGCATCATCACGCTTCCCATTGCCTTCTTCGGTTTCTTCTTCTTCCCTGACATCCCGGAGAACACCAAGGCGACTTACCTGAGTGAGTCCGAGAAGAAAATGGCTGTTGCTCGTCTGCCTCCCATCAAGGAAGGAGGACATAGCATCAACCCCTTTTCTCTCATGAAGCGCTTGTTCCTACAGCCCATGTTGTACGTCTTTCCTTTCCCCTTGCGTGCTGTACAAACCTCGCTGACCTCACCTAGTTGGATCTTGGTTTTCTGGTCTCCTGTCTGCGCTACCCTTGAGGCCTATGCCGTTCAGAACAACTTCCTTATCTGGCTGAAGTACCAGTCTTCGCACTTCACTCAAAGTCAAATCAACACCTACCCACTCGGTGTGCAGGCCGTCGGTATCGCGTCCAACATGTTGGCCGCTTGGCACATGGACGCTACCGGTACCCGTGTCCCCATGGCCGTGTTGGCTATCTTCTTGCAGCTCATCTGCGCCATCATGCTTCTGGTCCCAACCCTCCCATTTGCTGGAACCTTCTTCGCCTTCTACCTATCCGGCACGGCGTACATGGTCAACCCGTTGATCTTTGGCTGGGCAAGCATTATTCTTCAGCGCACTGGCGACGACGCGGTCCGCAGTGTGACAGTCTATTGCATGAACGTTCTCTCCTTGACCTTGTATACGTTCTGGGGTATCGTATTCTACGCGGCTGATGAGGCCCCATACTGGAAGAAGGGTGGTATTGTTATGATTGTTTGCTGCTTCGTCATGCTGGGCTATGTCTTTGTTGTTCGGAAGGTAAGCTACGGTGCCTTATCGCGTCAACTAGGAGAACGTGTCGCTAATATTTTGCGCGATAGCTTGACATTCATACACTTGAGAAGTATGGAAATCCCACGGCCGGGGACTCAGAGGCATCGCCTGAGGTCTCCGCTAAGACCTCGGGTATTGAGTTGACGGACAGCTTGGAGGGCAAGAAGAATGTCAGCTCCGAGAAGGTTGTTACTCTGTAACAATCATAACAGACTTGCAGTGTCGGAGAGCAACAACGCCGGGAAAAAAAGCCTTCATAGAGAAATTTTTCCGTGGCAGCATTTCACGGATCGTAGCAAAGGTACATGTATACACAAATCAACATTAAATTTTCACTCATTACTGCGCGCAATCTTGTGCTGCAACGATAAAACATTAGGTTCTTGGGCAACCCAACACTGTCTACCTCCGTTGTTTGACGGCCGTCACACAAACTGAGCAACTGACACTTCCGGGGAGATGTAACCCGGCTCCGGTGTCTTGAAAACCTCACCGTACATCATTCCACATACATAGGATGAGCCAATAGTATGGAACACTCTGTCTCTTCCTTCAACTGGCCTTATCACCAGGGGTGTCTGGACAGATGGAATGATGCATATCAAATCGCCGGGCTTGATCAACGGGGTACTTGTTCCACTACAACTGGTTAGCAAGCGAATGGAAGTCAAAGCATACTTTACAGGAAATGTTCGCACATACCAGTACCCCTTCTTCGTGCTGAAAAACTTCTCGCCTTTTATGCTACTCGCCGTACGTGGTACGAATGGTATGAAGTGAGTCTTAGCCGAAGCCCACTGGTTGAGCCACTCGTGCTTTTCAAGGCGATCCTGGATTGTGGGACAGTGTTCTTTGCAAAAGTCGCTGAAGCTCCTAGCAATTGATGCGGGATCCTTGTCATCTGCGTTACATGCGTGTAAAAGGGTGCTGGCGAATGCGAGAGCCTTGTCCGCATAGGCGAGGTTATGACTCCTTTCAGTGGCCTCCAGCAGAGCCCAGTATTCTTCCACGATGCTGAGCCGGTTGAAAAGTGCTGCTTCTGTAGCCAGACGGTGGGCATCTGCATCCTCGGCTTGCGCACCACCGTCCAGGGACGGCTCTCCTCCAGCTATACTGCCACAGAGGAAGACTGTGTCAATGATATAGACAGACGTCTCAAGGCAGGAATCAACTACCCGGGGTTGAATATTCGTTGCCTGGGTTAAAAGGCTCTCGTCTCTGCTTGCATCGTATCTGCCATTCATCGTCCAGGGTCGACGAGCATCTAGATAGGGACACCAGGATGGTCCCTTGGAGAGATCTTCAGGAACCTTGTGCCACGTTAAGCCAAGAAACCGAAGAGATCGTTCGCTGAGGCGGGAGAAAAGAAGGAGTCTCAACTCCGTCATGGTTCTTTCGTAGTCTGCCTCCACCAAAAGCTGCCCGTCGTCCGACTTTGCAAGAGGATGTCCAAGAAACGCGTAGACGAAATCCCGTGGGTCCGTCGCCTTCTGTATGTGTCTGGCCTTGAACAGCACGTCCTGAAACTCCGGCTTATTTGTTCTCATCACCTGCCGTGCGGAAGTGGTGAGGATGAAAGAAGATCGATACCACGACTGGTCAACGCTCTCGGCGTACGTTGCCCAGACGTGGTTGAAGAGCCCGGAAATAAGGCCGGAACTGAAATAAACGCCAGGGAAGTCGTTGCCCGTCTGCGCCCACGCCTGGGCAAAGTCCATGATCTCAGTAAAGTTGATAGTTGACCTGCCGTACGCCAGGAGTACCTCTCTAGCAAGACCGACTTCTTGTAAGACCCAGACTCGCCCGAACCACGGCTTCTTGAAGATCTGCACAGCAGGTAGTAGCCTCTCGCCAGTAATGAGACCATAACCTCCCTCATCATCTGCCGGCTTCCAGCCACTGCCGTCAACTATTCGAAGTTCCGTCATATACTTCGCGGCAAGACGATTGTAGTCTTGAATCGCGTTGAAAGCGATTCTCGCAGCCTCGCCACTATGTCCGTCGTCACCGAGACAGATGACGACTCGCCAGGCATGCGAGTATATCTCTCCCATCATGTTGACATGAAATGCCTTTTCTTGGAGATCGCGCTGGTTTATACAGAGCGCGTCGACCCATAGATGTCGCGGACGGTCTGCATATCTGACTTGGCGGAGAGACTGGACGAGGTTTGCCGTCACATCAATCTCAAGACCCTGACAGACTACGGAGTCGGTATCTTGTGTGCTCCCCCAAACATAAGATATTGCTTCATATTCTTGATTCTGTTTAAGTATCATTCGTTTTGACGTTTTATAGCAGCCATGTCTTACCTGCAGATTGAAATGGTGTGAGATACAATGAGCAGCTGACAGGGTCGTCGTAAGCCCCTGGCTCAAGCAGTAAGATGCGAGTCCATTTTCCTTCGGGTAGGCCGTCGTAGAACGAGTAATGCTCAACTGTAGACATGGTTGGTTCCGGACTTTTCTACTGGATCATGGACGCGGAGTGACATGGAAAAATTTGAAGAATCGAGAATTGGATGGTGAGCCCAGCTGAGATGCGTCCATCATATCAGCTTACCCCTCTCTAACCAGCCCTACCCCTGTCAGTTTTATCAATATTGAGGCCTCGTAGTGGCTCAGATGTTGACATACAGTGGGCCCACGCACTCAGATGCTGGAGGCCAAAAGGATCTTTTGTTGCCTCAAGGAGACAACGTCGGCGTGGACAATGACTGCAAAAAGGACCACCTAATCTTACACCTTATCATTCTTGCCAGAGAAACAAATTTGACTGAAATCTTCGGGTCGAGCTGGTTCCAACGTATCAAAATATGCCGGGTACTTGTATCTATCTTTGATTTCCACGTTAAACTAGGATAACAGCAATGGCGCTGGTCCCAGTTTGGGAACACGAGGGTCGGCCCTGATCATTACTGAAGATGATGAGCATATTGTGATTTAACTAATAGTCCGTTCTTGTCCCTTGGAAGACACAGCTTAGTAGAGAATAGCATACATACATACAGCGTGAGGTCTTTCTTGTGGCTGGCTAACAATGCAGGTCTTAGAAAAAGAAAAGAATACGTCCATGATGCAGCCAGCGGTCATCGTGGTGGCTGGACTAGGACGATTATTTGAGAGGGGTACAAGTGGTAGAATAAAACCCCTCAAAACCCCACAGTCTGGTAAATCTCATCCACTTAAGCCAACAAGCTGTCCATACTTTGTTCTCAATACTCGCCACCGCCCTCTGACAACAATGAACCCTCTCCAAGCCGATCAGAGGATGTCTGATGCCGAGGAGATCCTCGGGTATGACTTCAAAGACCCTCGCTGGCTCTGGGAAGCGCTACAGGCTGCAGGGTCTCCGGTGACGAGGGTGGGCACGCGGAGTTTGCGCAAGGGCAACAAGCAGCTCGCGGGACTCGGCGACAGGATTATCTCGGTCGTAATTGTCATGACGTCCGTCGATGATAACATTAGCATTGGTATTTACTATTTCCTCAAAGAAGCCATCATTCAAGTACAGGAAGAAAGGCCGCAGGCCTATTCTGACTGCCGAAACAGGCAACACCAACGCCCGAATCCAAATGTGCGCGAACAACGAGCGTCTAGCTAGGCTTTGTGACGCTGTCGGTTTGACCCGGTGCATCGTCAGAAATCCGTCCCAGCAGGGGATGGTGTCGCAACGCACTAAAGCTGACACCCTGGAGGCAGTAGTCGGCGCAGTCTTCAAGGACGGCGGGCTCGACGTTGCCGAGGAGGTGATTGAGCACCTGGGCATCATTGATCTTCTGGTAACGTTGCAAACTCCCTCAATATCCCATACCAAATCTGTGAGCAAGATGACCCTTGACAGTGTGCTCTATCTAGTCTGCCCCCGGAATCCCTCGGTTGGGTGCATCCGACGCCCCGGGAGGAGGTCCACATACGGAGCCGGGGGGGACAGCCCTTGCTACTCCACCGACTTGGTTGGCGGCGCCTTGCTGAGTATTCGACCTGGCTAGCCGTTGAGATCAGATACTCCGCCAAGGGTCCTGTGTGGTGAAGTCAAGCGCTGCTCTTTCGGTTCCCTATGTGGACTTCCTCTGGAAACCTCAGATGCACTTGTACGAGGGACGCGGGGGGCATGCCGGATGGAGAGATTTCGCAGAGCTGGGCGGTCCGATAGACCCCGCCCAGCTCTGCGATAATTGAGGTCTTCCGTAGAGGGCCGGATCTGCAGGATAGTGTGCGGCGCCTGCGAAGTTGGACGAGAAGACCTAATTCGCTTGGTCATTCAGGTTATGTGACCAGATTCGGCACAGAGACAACCAAAGGTCTACAAGGTGCGATTTGCAACGTTATCTCGGAGCCTCTCCTCTCTAATTCTCGGTCATTCAGAGATTGGCTGGCAGGGAAGTTTCTGGAAGTTGGGGTTCTTGTTAGATGGAGATAAATATGCTTAAAGGGGATGGGTTGATGAGGCGTCTATGAAAGTATTGTCAACAAAAGGAGGAGGAAGGATTGGGAGGGAAGATGGCTCCAGACACTCTTTACGGTTTCTTTTGGACTTTACCATTGGTCTATGGCTGGCTCAGTACACGAGAGTCACAATGATGAGCGGCATCATATCCGAATGTCGCAATATTTTCTATTTTCACGGCTTCTGGCAACAAGGTCATTAGAAATATCTTCGGCCAATATAACAAGAGCTTGGGAAAATTCCAAGCGATTTCCACACATTGTTCTGAGTAGTAAAGCCCCCGAAGAAGCCCTACGGACTTTTCATCTAGTTCCCTGAGATACTCAGGCCATGGCAAGCTGTGCGACATCTGGGCACATGGCAAGGCAGATATTGCTAGCATTGGAGCATAACGCTCCATCAATCTGACTCTGCGCCTGATACCACGCACATACTATCGATATTCTGCCGTCGCTTGGTATTGTCGCTTCCTCCAATCGCCTGACTCTATGCAGGCAATAACAGTCAAGCGCTTTCATCACTCCCAAGTCTCACTATTTCCAAGCTTTCCTTCCGCACAAGAGCAGGATTATGTGAGACAGAAAGCTCACTCCTCTATCGAACAGGCGACTTCAAGTTGCCCAAGGCGGAATAGATGCCGATCAACGAGGCGCCGCAGCCCGCATGGCCAAGCCGCCAGCGCGATCCTCTACGTACCTCCCGCGGCCAGCTCGGTAGACGGTGAGACCAGGTCGAATTCGAGAGGAACCCGAGAAATACGGTCGCATCCCTCAGAAAACAAGGTTAAACACAAATAAGATTTGCCTCCAGTCAGCCTACTTCTCAAATAGACGCGGCATCGAACCGGGAAGATGGCTCTTCATAATGGCCATGTTCCTGATCACCGCTCCCGTGACACCCTAATCTCACACTGATCCTCTGGAGGCTCGGCAGCGGCTTGGGGGTTCCTGCGGGGAAAAGCACAACGCAGGTCGCCCACTACACGCCGGGCAAAAGCTGGGAGCTTCGCATCGGCCCTTTATCCTTCCAGTACGCATCTTGGCGCTCTCTGGCCAAGTCCCGTTTCTTGCCTCCCGAGGACACAGGAAGGACATATTCCATCAGCAAACTGCCAAGAAGGGAAGCCGCAAGTCATTCCTCCCGGCGTTTGGACGACAAGAGACCTTAATTTAAGCTACTTATTATAGGTAAGATAGCTTGCCTTTGCTGAACTTTCGACAAGGTCCGACGGAACCTTTTTCGCAGGACGGGGAGCAGCAAACTACCAACCGCGGGAGCACCGGCACGCGGACGCGGCGCTAGACAGGAATCCCAGTCGGCGGAATGTCTTGACCTACGTCGTTTTAGATCCTTCGCGACCGCGCACAATGTAGGCAGCTGGTTGAGTGTGGCCTGTCTCAATTGTGTTCTGCTAATGGCTGCTGTGCCACAATTCTCCCCCGCTGGTGCCTTCTCATATGATCTGCAGAAAGTTGGGTTTTGGGTCTTGCTGAGCCGCGAAAGCTCTCCATTCTGTCTATTGGAGCCGTCAAGCTGACATCTCATTTACCGCATCATTGTTAGTGGCATGCAGGTCAGAAAGCGTGTGGGCTAACACACAAAGGTTCCTCAGATGCCGCTGCAGCTGTCAAGCCTGGCATATGCTCCAATTGCTCCTCCAAACCCCTGCTCCCCCAGATTTTCCCTCCAGCTATTGAATGCGCCGAGACCAAAACAACAACACATTCGTCCTTTCGCCAAGCACACCGACGGCACGCCTCGCTTTCGCCCGGGGCTGACGCGCAAAAGTACGATGACGCAGGCCATTGCGCAAACTGGAAAGGCGTTCATTCAGGCTTTCTTGTGTTGGAGAACAGTCGTCCAACCAAGAATGAGGTCTAAACGGTTTAGAGATTGGGGGTGATGGTGGTGGTGATGATGGCCAGGAGTATATCTTCTGTTGAAGCCCCCCTTTTCCCGTTCCTGTGATCCAAGAAGAGACCATCGGGACTTTTCAGTCGAGGAATCAACTGTCTTACTCCGACTTCCTTCGTTGCCTTCTCCCGGCCTACCAACTTCGCAGGTCGCGCCCAGTCCATCGCACCGGACACTTCAACGAGCCTGAGCAGTCACGACGATGAAATACCAAGTCACGCTGCAGAGCGCACTCGCGCTGCTCGTCGCATGCACATCCGCAGCACCACTCAAAGGGATCGACCGCGAAACAATCCAGGATGAGTACGACTTCATCATCGCAGGAGGTACGTGACATCACCCCCGTCGGCCTCGCTCTCGCACCTTACATGTCCCTCATCCCATCCCTTTCCTGCATGTCAAAGAATACCAAGAAACCCGAAAAGCATAGTCTAAACAACACATATCACAATCGAACCATATAAAGGTCGAAAGGCTAACCTGCACCACCCACCCCTAGGCGGCACCGCCGGCCTCGTGCTCGCCAACCGGCTGAGCGAATCCGGCAAAAACCGGGTCCTCGTCCTCGAAGCGGGGCCGAACCCGGACGTCGTCTCCGCCTACAAGGCCCCCGGCGGCAACCAGTTCCTCGGCGGCACCGCCATCGACTGGTCTTTCTACACCACGCCCCAGGAGCACCTCGACGGCCGCATCCTGCGCTACCACCGCGGCCGCTGCCTCGGCGGCTCCTCCGTCACCAACGGCTTCTACTACGGCCGCGGCAGCGCCTCCGTCTACGACGACTGGGTCCGCGTCGGCAACCCCGGCTGGGGCTGGGCCGACGTCTACCCGCTCTTCATCCGCGGCACCTCCTTCAACCCGCCCGACGACCACGCCGCCAAGGGGTTTGACGTCAGCTACAAGACCTGGGACCCCGCCGCGTACGCGGATGGGCCGCTGCAGCTCGGCTTCCAGGGGTACGTCCCGCCGTCGGGGGTGGGCTTCATCGAGGCCGCGGCGGAGGCGCTGCAGATTCCGATTGTGAAGGACTACAACACGGGGAATAGCACCGGAGTGAAGCAGGGGACGGGACACCTGGACAGCAAGTTCCACCGCAGCTCGAGCTACGACTCGTACCTGAAGCAGGCCATCGGCCGCAAGAACCTTGACGTGCTGTACTTCGCCCCCGTGTGGAAGATCAACTTCGACACCACGGGAGCGAAACCCAAGGCCACGGGGGTCGCGTTCATGGACCACCCCACCGGCATCGTCTACGAGGTCTCCGCGAAGAAGGAGGTCATCGTGAGCTCCGGCGCCTTCAACTCGCCCCAACTCCTCATGGTCTCCGTAAGCCACTCCCCACTCCCCTTCCTATCATGACCTTCACTAACACCAAAACCAGGGCATCGGCCCCTCCGCTCAGCTCTCCAAATTCGGCATCACGCCCGTTCACATCAACGAGAACGTCGGCCAGCACCTCAACGACCACTCCGTCTTCTCCATCATGGCCCTCTCCACGCCCGAGTTCTCCACCACCGACATGGCCGCCACCTTCGCCTCCCTGCGCGCCGCCCAGGACCAGTTCGCCGCCAACCTCACCGGCGAGTACACCGCGCCCTCGGGCATCACCAACGCCTTCCAGCGCCTCTCCGCCGACGAACTGCGCGCCATCGGCGCCGAGCCCATTCTCGCCGCGGGGCTCGGCAATCAGTCCCACATCGAGTACCTCTTCGAGAGCGTCTTCTACCCCTCCGGCCCGACGCCGTACTACACGCCCAAATCCAACGAGACGTACATCAGCCTCACCGCGTCAAGCATGGTCGCCCTGTCCCGCGGGAATGTCACGCTGCGCTCGAACTCCATGGCCGAGTTCCCCCTCATCAACCCCAACGTCCGTCTCTCCCCCTGCCCATCTCTCACGAACACAAAGCTAACTTTCCCAAAAGTACTACGCCCACGGAACAGACCGCAAAATCGCCCTCGCCTCCTTCAAATACCTGCGCAAGATCCTCGCCCACCCGCGCATGTCCGCCTTCACCGTCGGGCCCGACCACGGCGAGGTCTCCCCCGGCGCGGCCGCCGTCGCCGAGGACGACGAGGACGCCGTGCTCGCGTACGTCCGCCAGAACACCATCCCCAACTGGCACGCCTCGGGGACGAACCAGATGCTCCCCGAGGCCGACGGCGGCGTCGTCGACCCGCGGCTGCGCGTGTACGGCGTCGACGGCCTGCGGGTGGTGGACTGCTCCATCATCCCGATCCTGCCGGACGTTAATATTGTGGCGAGCGTGTACATGGTTGGCGAGAAGGGGGCGGATCTTATCAGGGAGGATTGGGGTGATTTGTAATCTGCAGATGGCTGTGATATGTTGTAATTAGAGTGGGATGTCTTGGAATATAATGTGTTGTAAATGAGTTTGGGTTTTCTCATACGGTGACGATGTTGTGTTCGTTGAATATCGTGAACAGCTCATGGTGAGCGTGATACAACACGCTCACAAGCACCAGAATCAAATTCGTTAAGGAAACCCAGCGTTTGCCTCATCCCGCAGCATCCACATCGCAGATGCATCCATCACCCGAACGACCAGACGACATCTCTACGTACAGTTACATCCCACCACCGCCAAGATTCTTCCCCATGGCCACTCTGCTGCCATCCCACGTCCATCTCACCTCCTCCCATCAAGGGTGAAAGGAATACAACTCCCTCTTACAAAGCCAAGACCACAACGCCAAACAACAGCTCCTCCATACAACCCCTCACCTTCCAAATCCCAACTCGCAATGCCGGCATCCATACTCCATACCATACAAAGTAGGTCCATAACCAATGCCAATGCCGCGCCGCACCGTCTTCGCCGGGTCCCTGGCGTCGGAAAACCCGGCCCCCAAAGCACCAGACTAGACAAGATACTATCTATCCGTACCTGCACTACCATAATCCCCCCCTACCGTCGTCCTGGGCCATCGGCACGGGTCGGCAACCGCCAACGCCACCAACCAGCACCCCGTTCCCCCCTGCCCTAAGAGGCAAGAGGCCTCCCCTCCCTACAATTCTCAACCCTCATCCCGGCGTCCCTCGAGAGCAAGCACGGAAGCAAGGGCTTTAAACCAGGGGGGGTGGGTGACCATGGTGTGGAGGATCTGGCCAAACACATGGCTAACCAGGCGTGGAAAGCAGGGACCCCTTCGCAGCCGGAAGGTGGGAATCCTCGGGAAATGCCAGGAGATTTCCGTGCAATGTTCCTGCGATCTGGTCGGGGTGGTGAGCTAGATTTCAGAGAGCAAAAGACCAGGAGCTGATCAAAGCTGAGAAGAAGAGCCAAGGCGTTTCATTGACAGGCGCGCTGATAGGCTATTCGGGTTTTGCAAGGCATGAATGAGTGGAGTGGAGAGGATGCGGACATCGGCTGAAAACCATGCGTTGAGCACTTTCCTGAGGCTGACCACGCGACGTTTCGTGCTTCAACCGCTCGCCGGACCCATTGTAAGTGCCATGGGCGTAACGGCAAGTGTTTGCAACCAAGACATCACGGAACGAGGGCACGGGAGGAACGAATATGTTTGCAGATTCTCTTTATTGTTGTGGAGATCGAGTTGCGGGAGCGCCCAATCTATCTAGTACACGATGGCGACTATGGCCGACCGTTGAACTCCATCTCTTGCTCGCCAATGATAACAATCATCAATCATACCGAACCAGCTTGGCTCCTATAGAATTCTTTTCATCCGCCACAGATACAAAATAAACACAAAATGTGAAAGTAGATGCCATCCCGGTTAGGGTGTAGTAGTGATTTCCCCATGTCAACCCCAACGCCATGTCCCAGATATCAAGCTAGTATGCACAGGAAATGGTGTATCGCACGCACGATGCCCGTAATAAAGGTGCTAAAAAGAAGGTGAAGTAGCGAATGAGCAATTAGAGGCAGAGAGACTCTAATCTCGCGAGGACAGGCTCGAGGCTGGCGGCGATGCGTTGCACCTTGGCCATGGCGACACAGGCATTTTGCTCCTCTTCCGAAGCATCCACGAGCTCGTAGCGGGCAAGGACCTTCTCGCTCTCGACACCACCGAAGATCTCGACGTGGGAGAAAGCCTCGGTGTCCAGTTCGATGGGTCCTTCGGTAGCGGGGGCAGGGGCAGAGTGGTAGAGAGCAAACTCGGGGTCGTTCTCGAACTCGTCGTCGAAGACCTCCTCAGCGACGGCAGCCGGGGCGCTGACCTCAGGAGCCAGGGACTTGGGAGCCTCGATGGCGGGGAGCTCAATCTTCTCATCATCGGACTCGAAGTGCTCGCCGACAAAGTTGGAAGACTTGCCGGAGAGAACCTCGGTGTCGATAGAGACAGGGGCCTCGGGAGTCTGGACGGTGAAGACCTGGGGCTGGTAGTTGAAGTCGGCGTTCTCCATCTGGAGCATGGAGAAGTCCATGTTCTGCTCAGGGATCATAGCCATGCCAATCTGCTGCTGCTGGTTGTTGTAGGGGTTGACGTCCTTGGGGATCTGGCGCTGCTCGGGCTGTCTCTCAACCTTGACGGCGGGGGCGGGCTGCTGGGGAACAGCCTGGGGGTTGGTGCTCAGGTGGTCAAGAAAGTTGGAGAATGAGGGAGAAGACAGGAGCATGCGGGTAAGGTCCTGGAGACGCTTGTTCTCGTCGGCCAGGGCACGGTTGTGGGCGCGGAGGTCGCCGTTCTCGGTGACCTTGTTGGCAATCTCGGCCTCGAGCTGGGTGATGTATTCTGCGAATTGTTAGCGGGATCCATGTGAGCTGGTGGTGGTGATGGTGATTGCTTACCCTTTCTGCGGGAACGGAAGGCGCGGGCGGAGACCTTGTTGCGGAGCTGGCGACGCTCCTTGCTGCTGAGCTTCTTGCCCTCCTCGCTGGCGAGCAGCCTCTCGTCCTCGTCCATGTCCTCCTCATCCTTCTTGGGGCGGGGCAGGTTCATGAGAGGGGCCGGGTTGCCGTCGTCGGAAGCGGGCTTAGCACGCATAGAGTTGAGGAGCTGGGTGATCTTCTGCTCGACGATGGGGTCGGTAGGCTGCTGGCTCTTGGTGCGCTGCTTCTGCTGGCCCATCTGTTGGCGCTGCTGCTGCTGCTGGATGATCTGCTGCTGTTGCCTCTGCTGGGCCTGGGCCTTGGCGAGAGCGGCCTGAGAGTGCATGCCGGGCCAGAGTCTGCCGACGTTGCCCTGCTGGGAGGGGACAACAGGCGACTCCTGTCCGCCGATGGCAGTGGGGTTGACGGTAGAGTTGGGGAAGAAGAACTGGGACTCGGGAGGAGAGTCGAATTCCATGTCCATATCCAAGCCAGTGGAGTTCTGGGAAGGAGAGGTGTTGAAGTCAAACAGGTCGTTCTCGGGGCTCATTCCACCGTGGAGGTAGTCCAGGCTGAATCCACCGTTGTAGCCAGTGATCTGGGGGTTGGCCTCGTTCACGGCCAGGGTGTTTGCGAGGGCACCGGGGACGATGCCGGTCTGCTGCTTGTACAACTCATACTGATGGCTCGGGCCGGTGAGAGGCTGTGATGCGGAAGGCAGAGTTGGTGTCGCGACGGAGCTGACTGATGGGCGAGAGAAGGTGTTCTTTGCGGTGGCAGCGGGAGACAGGGAGGGAGACTGGTACGAGACGTTGTCGTACTCGCTGAAGTCGAGGAGAGCGTCGATGTTGTCGGTCATCTCGTCGGTTTAGAAGGGTCGAGCCCTTTTGGTGTCGAGGTGGGATTGTTGGATAGAGGTGGCAAACGCCGTCGGTGTGATCGTGGACCCGATTCGGTTCCTAGTAGTATACGCAGTCGATGATGAGGCTGGTGACGATGGGATCCAATGCCTCAGGACGATGTTTCGTTTGGTGGTTTGGATAGTCGGAGTTGGTTGAAGTGATGAATGGAGAAAAGGGAAAGAAGAACAGGAAGTGACGGACAAGAAAAGGTAGTGGAGGGTAGATGAGGGAGGGGGGTCTGGGCAGAGGATGTATGGATTTCTTGGTACGGGGGTACAGCGCAGGACGGAACAGCCAGAGGACAGGACAGACAGGACCGGGGGTGGACGGTTGTCAGTCCTGAGGAGGTAACGGGGGCAGGGTGGGCGTCTGTAACAGAAAAAGGGAGTGCAGCGCACAGGGCACGGGGCTTCCGTTTCCTCTGCAGTCACTGAGTGAGTGGCCGTTCCGTCGAGACTGAGAGAGAGACAGAGTCTTCGGAGGACCAGGGTCAGAAAGCGGGCCAAGCGGGCTTCTGGGCGGGCTGAACAGGGATGCCTGCTCGCTGGAGGAGGGGGGGCGCTGATGGGAAGGAAAGAGGGACGCGTAAGCCGATGGACGAGGAGCCCACATTGGGACTAGCGCAAAGAGGCTAGGAAGCGAGCCCGAGCCAATGGATACCCGGGCACTTGGCTGACGGCTTTTGCCTTTCCTTCAGCGGTGTTGCTGCTGATGCGGTGCTGATTCTGATGCTGATGCTGATATCGATACGCCGTAAGGTAATTATGGCAGGTGCTGTTGAGCCTATTGCCAGTAGGTACTTCCTGCCGTTGTTTTCTACGATGACCTACAGCAGGTGCACTGGAAAGCAAGAGGCACCCAACGTGAGGCAGGCGCTGGTCGTGTGCCCTTTCCCATAATCATAATGCAGCATCATCAGGCAGTTGCTTTTCGAATTGCTCTTGCCGTGCCCGGCGATAGGATAATTACTAGATGACAGGCAGGCACGCACGCAGGCAGGTGCAGGTACTTCCGTCCGTACAGCAGGCAGGAAACATTGCAACCTGGGGGCACTCGTACTAGACGCCGATGCACCTGTCATCAGCCAATGGCAGCCCGTCGCTGGCACAGAAAGAGGGCAGGAAGACACGTCTGCGGCCTGAGGATGACGACGCCAGCTGCCCTTTTGGGGTGCGCTTACGGCTAACCGTCCTAACCAATACTGCTTTTCTGCGTCCTTTTGCTGAGGCCGCGACTGTCCCGCTGCGGTGGAATTCGACGAGGCCTCGTCACTCGCGCCCGACACCCCCCAAGAGACCGCTTGTTTTGATATCAAGACAGCGCAAGCCGCCGACTTTTTTGCTATGGCGCCATTGGATGCACCCGTACCGGCCAACTGCTGACGACGACTCCCCCACGAAGGTGCCTGCCGATTGACTTTTTTTCTTTCAGTTCTGTTGAATTTATCCGTGATTTGTGTGCCATCACCCACTGCGAAAATGTGTGCGATTCCACTCCGCGAGAGAGGTTTTTTGGCAGATACTGACGACAGGACTGGCGAGGAAGCCTACGACTGGAATGCCCATCATTACACGGCACAGCACGTGGCTGCGTCGTCGACGTCGTCGGTGTCGGTGTCGTTATCGCTCGCTTCCATCCTCGCGAATTGTCAGCAGAAGCAGTTCGAATTGTCCCGAAAGAGAACTCGAGGAACACCAGACTCGGGCCCGAGGGCGGCGCTGGCCTTCAACTGAATCCCGTCTGTGGCTTCGGGCGCAACACTGAAATCCGAGAGCGACAATACGATGCTGAGCAGCCGCTGTTCAACGACTCACTGCCCGACGGAGGCGGCGGACGGAGGGTTGTGACTGCGCGGCGCCCCTGTTCGCACTCGCCTGGTCTGACAGCAGGTAGCGGTACTTCATCTGTCACTTTTTTATCGTTTGAATCAAAGTACTGGCTACAAAGCTGCCGCGTTCCGGGCGTGGCTGTTCCAGTTGGCGCTCTGGCGTTGGCGTCGAATTGCTGCAGCTTGAGCTCTCGCTCTTTCCACCATCAGCAAATCGCAGTCGCTGCCGCTCACCCTACAGGAAGGTTGTCTGCTCCGCCTCCATGCCAGACCACATTTTCGGTTCATGATCGTCGCAATCTTCAAATCGTCCAGCTGCTCCAAGTAGGCTTATGTGCCTCTTCCTGCCTCGCATCCATCTACAAACACCAAAAACCCGCCGTTGCAGTTCAGCCCCCTCTGACACCTATTCTCAGTATCGCCATACCACTTTGAGCCATCTGCAACTGCAACGGTTTTCTCCTACAGCCTCATCCTCGACCTCACCTCACCCTCGACTCTCGGTCGTTCCCCTTGAAGCACAGATCACGGCATAGATTGTGGCTCTCATCTCGACTCTCGCCTCCCACGCCCACATCACGAAAGGCTCCTCCGAAGATGCTCTCAACACGGAGGGTCGTGTTTTGCCATGCGCTGACACAATTTCATTCCCGCGGCTCCAAATCTTTCAGCTGCCCCGAACAGGAAGCTGTCCTCCGTCCGTTCTCAACGGCATAAATCAAAAGAGTTTGGACTTTGGTGCCCGCCTCGTCCGTGCACACCGAGCATTATCACTGGCCCTCGCTCTTATTCACGCCGCATCGGAATGGGCACAATTCATTCCATCCAGACTCCAGACTGCCTGCACCTCCCGAGCCGGGCTCACTTGATCGCCAGTGGCCAGCCCGTCCAGGGGATGTCCCTTTCGTGATGGAAATGCCGCTCGCTGTGCAGAGCTTCATTCCTGTGGGACGCTGGTCAGATCGTTGAATCTCCGCTCCCTGACCCTACCTCGATAATTCATGCACTGCCTCCACGGCCGCTATCAACTGGACCGATAGTTGCTCCCAGCAAATCACCACCACCGTCTGGTAATCTGCCAGTGGAGGGATGTTGATTCGCCCTGTGCCCGTGGGCTGTGCCGTCCGTTGGGAAAACATTGCGCACCCGGTGGCTGTCAACAAGCCTGCCTGTTCACCACCGTTGTTTACTGTCAATCATCTGGCAGGGGCGCCGACTGGCTTGCTCGCGATGCCAGCAGAAACATGCCAAACGGAAACGGGCAAATAGACTTTACGAAAATACCCAATTCTGCCGAACTTCCTGGCCGATGCGGCAGACTCCGACAGAAATCGTTCAGCTGTTGCAAATACCGAACAGCGAAAGAATCAGACAAGGCGGCCAGCGGGAGACCTCGTCTGGCCGATACACGATGGAAATTGAGCTTGTTGCAGCCCCCAGACTCGAGGACAAGCTCATGTTCCTCACCATCTCGCCTACCCTGCAGTCTGGACCGTCTCTTCGGGTCTCGATTTCAGGCCGCGGATGCTGAGCCGGCCAATGACTACCCCGGCGCCGTTTCGGCATTCTCCAGCTCGTGCTGCTCCACAAACCCTTCGAGCGTCGAGAGCGTCTCGGCCATCTCGCTTTCACCCCACCTCTCCCGACGTCCTCCCACATTCCCGGCGGCCGAGTCGCTCAATTCTTTGTGCCTCCAGCACCGCGCTGACTCTCTTTTCCGTTTGCACGCCTTCGCACACGCCGCCAGTGGATGCACAACTCCCCCCAAGAGCCACAAGAGCCACGGCCGGCGCACTACTGGCCACTAAGCGTCGTCCGGGCCCCCGGGGAAGCTTACATAAAGTTCCATCTAAGCCCATTGTTATGCCGCAGCGATCAACATTAGCTAATGCTGGCTGTGGTGCCGCTTGCTGCTGCTCCCCAACGAACCATGACGTTGGTGTTCAAAAATAGCAACAGCGCGACGCCTTGTTTCACCTGCGGCACTTCCCACGAATCCATTCCAACAACACCACTGAGCCAGAACGGCCGTCTTTCCGTCCTTCGCCCAACCCAACCCATATCCAGCCCCGACATGGCCTGCCCCGGCGTCCCGGCACTTAGCATCTGCCAGCAATCCACTACCCCGTCCGCCATGGCTTGCGGCCAATAACGACAAGGCTTTGAAGGCTTTGAAGGAAATAGGGGTCGCATCATGAAGCATTACACCAGATTTTCAGACCCTCGAGAGGCCGAAAGAGGACGTCTTGCCAGACGTAGCCTGCAGTCTGTCTGCAGAGATGCACTCCTGACGGCCTGTCATCCCATAAACCCATGGCATGCTTCTCGCCCCTATCCACTGATGCCCACGGGAATGGCGTCGGTTTGATCGCCCACATCGGCGCATCGCCAGCAGATCAGGGAGGTTTCCTAGATCCGGCCAGTCACACCTTCAGCTGAGGGGTCGTCCTCGGTGCCAGTCTGGAGTATCGATGCCATCTCGTCGTTCTAGAACGACAGCCCATATTCTGCCCCTTCGGCCCTAGGGCAGCAGGCTCCCTCCAACCCCTCATCGAAAGACCCTCGACTCCTGACCCGGACATCCCAAGCTTTAACTGCAATGGTATATCCAAGAAGAGCCTTGCCGTCCCCAAGCCTCTCCCAAACGGTTGTGTTTCTTTTGCTTTCCTCTCTCCACATTGCTCTGTTCATCGCCCAATACGACCTTGCCGGTCAAGCACACCGCGCCGGTGAACGCACCATTATCCCACATTCCAACACAACCCGTCCCCACCAGGCAATAAACCCGTCCAAGCCGTCGAGCCAGCCAGGCTTGATTCGAACAAACTTTTGGGGAGGGGGCAGAACACGTTAAAATTCCGTTATCAGGCTCTGTCGTCCCGGGGAGGGGCTGAGCCCGGAACAAACAACCTTCACGACTCAGTCCCTCCCGGAGGTTCAAGACATTTCTGCTCATTTCGGGCTTAGCGTTAATTGCACAGAGCCAAGCCTCGGCCGGGAGACTGGGGGCGCTCTTCCCGTCCGCTGCCAAATAACGCATGAGCCACTGCAAAAATTCAGTGCAATTTGGCAACACTGCCGGAAAGTGAACAGCAATGGAAAACATTCCGTGGCGACGGGGCTCAATGTCACCCTTTTCCGCGGCGTGGTTCCCTGGAATAGAAACATCTCACCACGTTTTTGGTCGCACCACTGCCGTCATTCGGTGTGCCGACCAACGCCCGGTTATGTCAGCAATCATGATTCTGGCAGATTTACGGAGTACCGCAGTAAAGCCACAGACAGTTGGTTTACATAACATCACGTGTCGTGGCAGTGCGGTAGCTCCTCCTTTCCTCTCGTCCACTCATCTGGTGATCTTCGCTGCAAAACACTCAGATACATGTCGCCACAAACAACACAGTCCATCCTCGAATGCTCGTTCGTCGGCCAGGCAATTTACCTCGAGTGATTCGCGCAACCATCAATTCCCGCGTCCCGTCTGCCCCCTGACGATCATGCCATCCGAGCAGGTTTTCTGCCAGTCCGACACGGCACAACTGTGACGCTGTGGCTGCACAGCCACATCATACTGACCAGCCACAGCACCGATACCCCGCATCTGTGGCGTCATGGGTCTCGGTGCGCCACACCTGCGGCCTCCCATCGTCGGCTCGGCAGGCGAAAGTTCAATGTCCCGTTGGTTGTGGGCATTCGGATATCGAAAACTTCGCCGGAGCGCTCCGTCTCTTCGAGCCCGGACGACTCCCCGTCGTCCGAACAGAAGGCCTCCCCTCACCTCTTATCGCACTCGCACTGGACGGAAAAGAGTAAGGTTTTATCGGCAGTGCGGAGATGCACATCACTTTCTGTGTTAGATGGGAGGTGAGGTGCATGTGGATGGTCCGTGTGCCGTGTGCCGTGTGTGTGATGTGAGCTTTTCTCGATCCTCGGTTCGCACTGCTGTTTTGAAGCTGCGATAGACTTTCCGATGGATCGCCACTGCGTCAGCGGGGATGGAAAGGGAAGACAAGGTCCAGACCGTTTCGTTCGCTCCGTCTGATGCTAAGCTGGACTGCTGTGATGTGCCGAAGAAAGACTGATCTGTGCAGGTAAGGTGATGTGCACCCGCGCGCGGGCAGGCGTGCGGGGGGGAGGACAGTCAGATTCTGTTTTAGAAATTTAGAGGACGGCGGGGAATGAGTAAGGTGTATTCTGCCGATGTTTGTAGAGCTCCGAGGGTTGTGAGTGGTTGGTGGTGGATGGTGTGAGTCGTGGAGAGCTGCGGCGGAAGGTTTTGAGAGTCGTGGAGAGTGACGGCTCTGCATTTCGAGACTAGTTAATGTTGAGTCATTGGTTGATTCGTTTTCATTCCTCTGGTGGTTTTCGTTGATGCGTGTGAGACTGGTGGAGGTCATTTGTTGATGGTATTGGATGTGAAGGGGGTCGTGCTGTGGATGGGTAAGATGAAGTCGCGGTTTTGAGACTGATGCCAGTTGTAGAATCTAATGAAACTACCTTGGGCTAATTCTTTAATGAGTTTTACACTGGTTTACGATAGTTTGAGCAGTTTTGCATGAGTTTGTGTCGCGTGAGAATTTTTGATTACCTTTGATGTGCATATTGGTGTTTCGGATTGCTCGCGACAATTTTGGCTCGACTTCTTCACACCATAGCACTTTGTATTAACGAGTGCATTACTCTAGATCATGAAAGCGTGTAAGGCAATGAAGTTTGTCGGAAAAGCGAATTTATTGAGTGAATATGCCCGTACAGTAGCTATGGATGCCATGAGACCATCTAGACCTTCGCGCCCTGAATGTACCACCCGGATGCTAGAATCCTGAGATCTCGTAATTGAAGCTTGCTATGTAGTAGGAGATGAAACTACCTGTCAATAAAAAGAAATAGAGATGGTTTTTCTGTACTAGTTTGGATCGGGAAATGGGGATAGGTGCCGGTAGACACAAACTTGAGGCTATCCGTTCTCGCTGCGGCTGGGCAGCCGGAGCAGATGCCGACATTTAGAAAGCAAAAGTAGACGAGCAAGTTTCTAAGAGGTTTCGAAAATCTAGAAGCCTGCCTAGACTCATAGACCGCGCAATTCCATGGCGGTTGTGGGAAATAACCTTGCCTTACGACACCAGGGGTGTGTGCCCCCTAACACGGCAGACGAGAGCCTCACGATAGCCAGGCAATGGCAGGTTACGAGGGATAAGGTACTTAGGCAGTAGTAATGCTGATTCAATTCCAAGGCTATGTATTATGAAAACTTCCTCGTAAGCTCTATCCTCTCACCGTGCCATAGTCGCTCTACTCTCAGCCATCTAATTCAGGGGCCTGGCAGCCTCGCCATTGGCTATGCTTTTCTCTCCACCCATCCTGACAACATCAAAATTCCTCCAGTCGCTTGTCCCTTCGCGGCAAGCTTTCATATACGGCGGAATGCCGCCGACGTAGTTGAGCTGTTCTCTCGGCTTACCCGGTATGTTGGCGCCGAGGTACCACGAAGAGTCGTTTTTCCGGAACAGAGTTGCCTCGTTCATGGATAGAATCAACTCTTTCCACTGCTCTTCTGCTTCGCGCCGAGGCTCGATGGACTTGACGTTCTCATTACGCAGCTTGGCTATGAAGTCGGTGATGAATTCGACTTGCTGCTCGATGAAGGGCGGAGCGTTCGTGAGAGCTGTGGGTGCTGTTTGAGGAAGTCGTTAGCTTGCGCATCTTGACGCCTGCCAGGTTGAAACTTGCCTTGAGGACCGTATATCATAAACATATTCGGGCATCCCCTGACCATGAGCCCGAGATACGTCCAAACACCATCTTTCCACCTATCCTTCATGTCAACACCATCTTTCCCTCTCAATCCCATGCTTGTCAGGCTGCCCGTACAGTTATCGTAGCCCGTCGCGAGCAAAATAATATCATGCTCCCTCTCCGTCCCATCCTCCGTCACGATACCCCTTTTCGAGAACTTTCGGATGGGGTACTTCTTCACTCCTACAACCTCGACATTGTCCTGGTCAAGACACTCGTAGTAGTCCTGCTCCAGGCTGCTCCTCTTCGTCGCAAAGGGGAACGGCGGCTCCTCCGGCACCACAATCGCCCTCTTCGCCGGATCCCGCACCCTCGGCCCCGTCTTTTTCTTCCAAAACTCGTACATGGACCGATTCGCCTTCTCGTCGATCAAGTAGTCCACATAGTTCCCGGCCTGGAAGTTGAAGCCCCCTCGATGCCACAGCTCCTCCCAGAACGCCTCCCTCTCCTCCTCCGAAGCCTGCGCCGCCACCTTCGTCGTCCCGTCGCACGGCAGCCCCGGCATGCTCTCCCTCGCAGCCCTGAAGAGGATCCCATACACCGACTTGAGCTGCCGCTGCTCCATCTCCGTCATCTCCCGCTGCACCATCGGCAGCGCAATGTTCGGGTTGCGAATGTACACCGTCAGCTCGACGCCGTCCGCTTTCGCAATCTCCTGCACGCACTGCACCCCAGTCGCCCCGGCCCCGATCACCGCAACCTTCTTCCCCCGAAAGTCGATGCCCCCCTCCGGCCACGACGCCGAGTGCACCACGACCCCTTCGAAATCCTCCATACCCGCAAAACTCGGTTCGTACCGCTTATTCGAGCTCCCCGTCGCCGGAATCAGAAACCTCGCCGTGATCATCCGCCCTTTATCCGTCTCAACGCTCCACAACCCCGTCTCCTCGTCAAAATCAGCCCCAACAACAACAGTCCCGTAGCTCACATCCCGCGAGATGTCCAACACAGCGTCCACGTGCCGAAAGTACCGCTTGATCTCCTCGTGCCCGGGGAACCGCTGCGACCACGCCCAGTTCTTCCACACCTCCTTGACCGAGAGCTGGTAGTACGGCGCCTCGGAGTCGACGCGCGCGCCGGGGTACCGGTTCCAGTGCCACACGCCCCCGAGCGCGGCGCCGGCCTCGACGATGTGCGCGCGCAGCCCGAGCCGGCGGAGCTGGTGCAGCGCGTAGACGCCCCCGAACCCGCCGCCGATGATGAGCGCCTCGTAGTCCATTTCCGTGCCCGATGTGCTGTTGGCGCCACCGCTTCCGTCGCCGGTGAGGCGGCGGCGGCTCTTGTACGGCTGGGCGATGGAGCCCATTTTGCCGGCGTCTAGTCAGGTGGGAAGTTAATCGACGGTCGGATCGAGTCAAGAGGAAGAGAGTTTGGGGAGATAGGAGTCAGGTTGGTTTTGAAAGGGGAAGGAACACGACTCAGCAGGAGAGATGAGTCGAATTGTGAGGGCTGGGTGATTGGGTGGCGAGATCGGACGGTGGTTTTTGGGTTTGCGCTGGAGGGCATATCTGAAGCTGCAGCCTCTTTTCAGTCCCATGTTTTTCTCCTCACCCGCCAGCCGGCAGATAGACCTGGAAACATGGAAACACGGAAACATGCTAACATGCCAAGTAGGGAAGTCAGGGCACCTCGTATGACGCCTACTTGCCTCCGCGGAACCCTTGTTTGCGAGTGTCGCTGGTCTTCTCACGACTCTGCCGAGAGTCTTGGGTGTTCAGGGGAGAGATCCTACCGATTCATAAATGATCGACATAGGAGCTTGGAGTTTTGTTTGAAACGGATCGTGACAGTTGGGGAACCTTGCCGGCGTTGCATCGCGGGGGGCTGGATGGGTCCATGTTAGCTCTCGCGGGGAAGATGATGGCGACTTCCGCTCTCCGAGGATATGCAGGTCATGCGCGACATCCCATGGTGATTAGTCGAGGCCACCGACAGAGCAGGGTTGGAGCGGTCTGGAAGTTGGAGAGTTTGGGTCAGGCTTTCACCTGGCCGATTAGCTATGCGATTCCAAGCAGTTTGTAAGCAGCATTCTATCATGGTGATGTGCTTTCATGTTCAAGAGCTTGGTGAAACGTTCGAGTAGTTCCGAGCATGGGATGAGGCTTTTGTTCCTCTGTTGCTAGGGGCTCGTGTCTGGAAACGCTGAATCAAGAGATTACTGACTGATCTCAACAAATGCGGGAACACCAAGCCCATCATGCCAAGTGGTGTGAGACTTCGGGGCGTTCGAATCAGTTGAAAAAGGAGCAAACACTGCCTACCCCAGCCCGGTCAGCGTCTTAGGAGGATAGATTGTCGGAAGCAGATAACTTTACTGCCAAAGACATAAGGAATGCGTCTTCCTTAATGCTAAAGAATAGATGAGATCTTTTTCAGTGAAGGTTTGACGCCTGGTTAACGACCTGCCGAGTTGTGATTATGTCATGTCTGACTCCCAGCTTGGCTGCCTGGAACTCCGTGATGACCTCCACGTTGATACCCCAGCACCCGGAGCAACACTCAGCAAACCTGTGCCTCAAGTGACAATTAGAGATTGAAAAAAATTGGAGGCAGTAAATCAAAATTGGGAGATGCGCATCTCTCATCATGCCGGCCAATGAGGTCGCTTGGTGGTTGACGGCCTCCTGCAGCACCAACAGGCAACACACCGCCACAGTGACGAAGTGGAAGAACAAAGCCAGGAGGAGGTTGGTTCAAGACGCAGCGAAATTGATCTTTCCACAGGCTTCTTCTTGCTTAATAAAGAAAATACACTTCTTGAGGACCTCCTGCATTGTGCACATGCTTCACTTGTGTCAATAAGGCTCAAGGGCAAGAGTCAAAGAAGTGATCTTGGAGCTTGCAGCAATTTGTGAATACGAGTATTATCCAAATAACGTCTCCAATTACCAATTCAGAAGGAGGGCTGAAAAGTCTGCTCGATCGACAACAAACGGCCTCTTCCATTGACCGCTGCCTTGCTACCTTACCACCTCACCACCTCCACATCCTCTGTCTCTTCTCAACTCCTCATCTCCCCCTCTCATCCACCGACCGCAAATTGAGAATTCTTCATCCTTTGGTTATCTCTACGTCCTGTATCACCATAGCCTCCCACTTTTGAGGTTCAACCTGGAAGTAGTGCTTATCTTACCCATCCAATCTGACAAACACCCAGCAATCTCCGAAGGATATTGCGCCTGCCCTCAACAGGATCGGTATCGACATCAGTCATGGCGTCCGAAGAGGGCCCGACTCTTGCGGCTCTGAAGTCATGGAAATCATCATTGAGTCCTCTCAGAGTCGACATCGTCGGTGACTTCGCTGGGAAGGAGCTCTTCGCCATCCATGGCGAGTCGCTCGTTGCCCACTGTGTTGCGCTGGCCAAAGTCGACTTCAAAAGTTTGTTCTCTTTTCATCTCTTTCCCAAACTCAGTGGGTCTTCTTCAATGACGTTTCATCGCTAATGATTACACAGACGGCTTTCAACTACTCCACGCGGTTCACGCCGTTGAGACATTCCTCAGCAAATTGAAGGAGCGCGGTTGCAACTTCCATGTCCTCTGGTTCGACAGCCAAGAGCACCTTTGCGTCCCGCACGATGTTCTCGAGAAAAACCGACACAAGTACCTGTTGACGCGTGCCGTTCTCATGGAACATCTGCGCACCCCGAAGACACGCGACCAAAGAACCAGAAATCCTTGGACGGAAGATTCGTCAGACGATTCTTGGGATGCTTCGACGGATCCTCCAACGGACCCCATCAGGAATGGAACACCCATGAGCTTTGTTTTCTCTACCATCCAAAGCAAGGAATTTGAAGAGTACATGGAGAAGAACTGTCTTCACTTCGTGATGTGTTCTCAGGGAAGCGACTTCGACTCGACGCCTGAGGTGAACGACGGCGTCGGTAGCGGTAATCACCTCAAGGCCATGCGGTTGTTCGCCGACCAGGGACATAACCTCGCATTCATGGATGATATTGAGTTCCGGAGTTCCAAGGTTAGTGCTCATCATCCAGCATTACCCCAAAAAGCATGGCTGACAGTGAAACAGGTCTACACTCATGTCGTAACGTCGGCGCGTTCCGAAGATCCCATCGAAGTAACTGAACCCGCGCCCCGCAGCATCACGACTGATGGGTGGGTCGAGTTTGCATCGAAAATCGACGACTGGTCGGAACTCGAACCTGTTCATCTCAATGATACCGCGGAAGTCAGGGTGCGAGATGTGATCGCTTTTGTTGCGTGTGCCACTTTGTACTCGGCGAAGCCCGACGCTGCTACTGAGCATTGTGTTACTGCTTTTCTTATCCACATTGACCTTCTTGAACACACTGAGCTGGCTCAACGATCCTGTGGTCCGCTCGAGAAGAGCATCCCGGATGATGTCGCTTCGTTTCTCGAAGGGTTCTCGAACATCGCCATCCCAATGATTCGGAAGTGGATGGTTAGCCGCAAGTCCATGGGTACGCATGTCAACTGGAGAGTCTTCGACCTGGTGGACGGACGGGTCTTTCTGCACATTTTGCAAAAGCTTCAATCTATGAAACTGGCTGTGAAGTTTCATCATTTTGAATATTATGACAGAAGAATCCGCCACCTTGTCGATGTGGATATGGGGCGCCTCCTGTCTCAACAAGACCCCCCGAACGAGCAGCCTGCGTCGAAAGCCGCCCCCAACTTCGAACAACTCAACATTGAGCTGAAGAAGACACGCGCCGCAAACCAAGTACTACCCTTCAGCCATCCAGTATTGGACTCGTACTTGGAGGAGATCTGGCTTGACACCGACGAAGAGTGGCAGCAGTCATCTACGGGCTTCAAGATCTTCCATGAACTCACACACTGGCATAATGCGAAGAGGCTGATCGACGCTAAAACCCCAAGCAAGCCGATGGAATGGCGAGCCCAAAGAAGAATGCAGAGATTCATGGCGGATACCATGAAGTATTCGGCTAGCTTGACCAATGCTTCTGGCAAGAACATCGAGCCAGAGCCTATTGTTGCTCATGGCACCCGCAACAACGGCCAAGCAGACAACGGAAAAGACGATGCGGAGGCGAACAACTGGAAGAAGCAGCTTTCAAAGAAAGACGCCGCCAAGGCAGTTAAACGCGGCGCAGGAAGTGGAACGATCAATGCCCGGAAAGCAGGCGAAGACCTCAAGAATGCCAAACTGGATTCGAGAGGTGCTGCTGTTGTCACTTTCTTTGCACAGCAGTGCCAGGACTTCAACAAGATCCAGTCGCCGGCCAAGAGATATCTGAAGGCAAACAGGTACATGCTGGGTCTCTCGAATCAAGACAGACAGATATTTGGAGGAGAGTTGTTGCTGTACATTTGCGAGACTTTGTTGGAGCTCCTCGGCGAGCCGGCCTTCATCGCCAAAGGTGAGATGAGAGCGTTCCATGGAAGGGAGATTGAACTACGAGGCAATATGCTGACACAATACTGCACAGATATGAGCATCATCGCCCTCCTTCGCTCCCATTTGTCGCTCATGAATACGGTGCCTCTCACCAAACCAACAAGGAGGCATCTCGAATCCCTTGCATGCGCCATGCGGCTCCCGCTCCCTCCGAGCTCCGATTCCACAGCCATCGACCGCCCGATTCCCTTCGCAAGCAAGACGGCTATCGCGAAAGAGGTTCTGAAGAGAGGGTTCTTTGAGGAGAGGGCAGCTCGCAAGTTCCAGTTGGAGCATTGCGGCCCGTATCTGGAACGAAGTTTCGACTCTGCCCCTGATGTCCGTGTTCCTTTCGAGCCAGATGCCTGGCAGAGAAGGGTTCTTGATGCAATCGACGAAGACAAGAGTCTCTTCGTGGTGGCCCCAACTTCTGCCGGAAAGACATTCATCTCATTCTACGCCATGAAGAAGGTCCTCCAAGCCAACGACGACGACGTTCTTGTGTATGTCGCTCCTACAAAGGCGCTTGTGAACCAGATCGCGGCCGAGATCCAGGGCAGGTTCTCGAAAACGTACCACACCGCCGGCCGATCTATCTGGGCAATCCATACCCGCGACTACCGCATCAATAACGCAACTGGCTGCCAAGTACTGGTCACTGTTCCTCATATTCTGCAGATTATGCTCTTGGCCCCATCCAATGCCAAAAAGTCAAATTCTTGGTCTCACAGAGTGAAGCGCATCATCTTCGACGAAGTTCACTGCATTGGCCAGGCAGAAGACGGCATCATCTGGGAGCAACTTCTGCTTTTGGCCCCTTGCCCTATTATTGCATTGTCTGCAACAGTCGGAAACCCTCTCGAGTTCAAGGAGTGGGTGGCTGGGACCCAGAAGGCGAAGGGCTTTGACCTTGAGATGGTTGTCCACTCTGCGAGATACTCGGATCTGCGAAAGTTCATGTACCAGCCCCCAGATATGGAGCAGTGGAAGTTTGATGGTCTTGAACCCGTTGAACGTCTTCCCACGCCTGGCCTGGATGTCGATGGCATTCGCTCCGACCGATTTGTGTTCGTGCATCCAGTTGGGAGTATCGTCGACAAGTAAGTTTAATTCGAGCCTTTACTAATGGAAGGCCAACAACGCTAACCCATTCCCAGGAGCAAAGACACGTTGAATGATGTTACTCTGGAGCCGCGTGACTGCCTTCAGCTTTGGGACGCGATGATCGAGTGTGCCAACGATTCTTATCCTGTCGAACGCAGACTTGACCCCGCCTCCGCCTTGCCTGACGTGGTCAAGAAATCCGATGTGGTGGAGTGGGAGGTTGCTCTCAAAGAGCAACTGCATACGTGGATGGCTGATCCATCTTCGCCTTACCCCGCCTTGCGCCAGAAATTTGATGCCTCTTCGAAGCCTAGCACAGATGTCAAGAAGACTATTGAAACGACATTTCCTCTTCTCATCGATCTGCGATCACGAGGAGCCTTGCCGGCCATCCTCTTCAACTACGACCGCGTGGGATGCGAGATGATTCTCTCCGAGGTTCTTCAGAGACTGGAGAAAGCCGAGGAGAAGTACCGCACAGAGAGCGCCGAGTGGCACAAGAAGCTGAAGTCTTATCAAAAATGGCAAGATGGCCTCGCAGCGAAAAAGCCAAAGTCCACCAAAGCCTCTGGAAGCCGTCGAGATGACAAAGACGACGGCACGGCTTTCGGCAAGTTGGATCATCTCCGAGAGGATTCGAGCCAGGAGGCTAGCCAGTGGGCAAGCTTCGATCCCTCGGCGCCTATCAAGCAGTTCAGCTTCGCAGACTCGACAAAGCTTTCGAGAGAAGAGCTCGAGGAGATGATTGAAAATTTGGCATATGCCAACATCAAGAAGCCTATTTTGACTGCGCTGCGTCGAGGGCTGGGTGTCCACCATGCGGGCATGAATAGGCAGTACCGTCAGGTGTAAGTTGTCTCTCACGAGGAGGTGTACGGAGAGTATCTCTTGGGACAGTCAGCTAACAGTGAACGAAAGGGTGGAAATGCTCTTCCGCAAGGGTTTCTTGACCGCCGTCATTGCAACAGGTACTCTGGCGCTCGGTTTGAACATGCCATGCAAGACGGTCGTCTTCGCAGGCGACTCCCCCTTTCTGACAGCCCTCAATTATCGTCAAGCGTCGGGTCGTGCTGGTCGCCGAGGCTTCGATCTCCTCGGCAATGTCGTCTTCCACGGAATCCGCCATCAACGAGCGATGGAGATTATGTCGTCTCGCTTGCCCGACTTGAGAGGCCAGTTTCCAATGTCTGTCACTCTGATTCTGCGCCTCTTTGGCCTCTTGCATGGTACGAACGACTCCGACTTTGCGACAAAGGCAGTCCAATCTCTCTTGACGCAGACTCGCCTCTTCCTCGGGGGCCCGTCCTCTCAACTGTCCATCAAGCACCATCTGCGTTTCTCAATTGAGTATCTCAGAAGACAACACCTGCTGTCTGCCAATGGAGCCCCTCTCAACTTTTCCGGTCTCGTGGGACATCTCTACTTCACCGAAAACGCTGCCTTTGCTTTCCACTCTCTGATGAAAGGAGGATACCTGCATGAGCTGTGCAAAGACGTGAACGACATCAGCAAGCGCAAGGATATGCTTCTGGAGCTACTGACGGTTCTGTGCCATCTGTTTTGTCGCATCCCTTGCTTCCGCTTTATGAACAAGGAATGGCTCGAGAAGGTTGTTCATCGATCTCCATCTGTTGTCATCCTCCCCAAGCTCCCGGAAACAGCTGAGAGACTCCTCACTGATCATAATCGAGAGACCCTGAACATCTTTCTGATCTACGTCCGGAGCTACATCAGGAAGCATCTCAGAACTGTCCCAGACGATGTTCTGCCTTTCACGAAGCGACGGGTCCAACCTCGTTGTGACTCCGCCTGGCACGATATGTCAGCAATCAATATTCCGATTCTCCCGGCAGCTACCATCCGATCCCCATTCGCGGCACTGTCCGGCTTTGCAGACGATTTTGAAACCACTCACGAGTTGTGCGAGACGGTTCGAAGCGGAGTTTTCCTTGAGGAGGAGTCCATTCCGTACATCCCGATTACACCTGCCGAAACCAACAACGTGCCGTTTAATGCATACATCTTGGACTTCTTCAAGCACGGCGACATGGAAGCCCTGGTACGTGACAACGGAATCAAGAGAGGCGACGTGTGGTTCCACCTCAAAGACTTTTCCCTCATTCTGGCGACAATCGTTACTAGTCTGGCCAACTTCCTCGATAAGAGTGGTGCCGAGTTTGATGATGCATCGATGATTGACGTTATGGATGTTGCGGATATTATTGATGGAGAAGCCGACAACGCGGAAGATGGATGCTTAAACGGCACACGAACTTCAGAGACCTCCGCAGCAGCTCCTCAGGCCCAAAACATCAAGCCCAAGCGCAAGCCGAAGAGCGAGGAAGAAGTTCCAGAGTCTTGGATGGACAGCGATGGTTCGGACAACGACGCTAACGACTCCTCTGACATGCATGGCAGCACGGACGAGTCTTCTGGAGACCTTCCCAGCCGGGATGAAGATGATGGAACGGGTTTGGTGAAGGTGTACCGGGCATTCAGACTCTTGCAGCAGGAGTTTGATGAGAAGTTCCGCAAGGTCTGGGCTTGAGTACCTAGTGGTCAAGTACGCGTTTTCGTGTGGAAATGATGGAAATGACGGATTACTGAAATAGCAATCAGCGAAGTGTGAGTAGCTTAGAACAAAGAAAGAACACAGTTTGAGGATACAACTTCGTGGCTTTGTCTCTCAGTTCGAAGCTACCTTCTATCAGAACCATTGAGGTATTTGGGGGCACGTTTCCCTGGATCACTGATGGTCAGTCGTGAATTCGACGGAGAATAGGTGTCCAGCAGAAGAAATACCTAAGACCAGTCTCGACCAGCTCGAAGAGTGAAGACGGCTGTGGTGGATCATACACCCTTGTGGCTTTCACTTTGCTGGTTTAACACAATATAGTTCTCTGACTGACACCTTGAAAGCCTGAAGCGTCCAGCCTCCAAGACAAATTCTTTGAGTGATTTTCCATCTAGTCATTACGAAAGGTTTGCCAAGCTTGTCACATCTAGGATACAATCATACAACGAGGCTAATCCGTAGTTGTAGTAAACCCAACCTCGCCCGTCAGTTGCTTCCGCTTCTGTGCCATCCGCCCCAACCGTTCCTCCCAATATCTATCTCTATCATGCCCGTTTCCACTTCCATTGGGACCCTGTTGAGTCAAAGTCACGTACCCACTCGCCGCGCACCCGTCAATCCAGAACATTGTGTCTCGCGATATGAATGGCGGCCATTGCTGACCCCATGCATCCCCAAACCTCGCCGACTCGGCGAGAATGATATCGTCGTGAAGTGTATGAAGCCAGTCGTGAACAGCCACTACCACCTCACCCAACGTGACGAACGGTCTCTGCTTGGCGTCGACATGCAGCTTTGGCGGATTTTGATAATATCGCCAGGGGTGGTCTTGGCATTCTTCGTCGATGCAATATTCGCTGACCTCGTTTCCGTCGTCGTCTAGCTCGAACTCGTGCTGTTAGGAGATTCTGTGGCACACAGACTCAAATTCTTTCAGGTGATCGACCTCGATAGGGAGGCGAGAAACGAGGGGATAGCAGGCGGGCAATGAGGCGATTGGATGAAAGGTTTGCGAGGCTCCATCGGCGCCATGAACGACAAATGGTTGCCTCTTCGCGTAGGTATCCTTGGGAGATACCGTAGGATCCAAAACTCGTATGTCGCTCAGTAGCCCGGGGAAGGGCCAGACGAGAAGCTCATTTTCGGGGCATCCGTGGGGCTTCCGCAATTCAAATTCCTCGGACCGGGGGAGAATTGTATTTTCAGTGATGTGAGAAGAGTCATAGATGATGTCGTTGCTAGGCGGCGCGGTGATGGGTATCTGTGTTGAATCCATGTATGAAGAATCCACGAGGGAGTCTGGCGCTACTTATGTGACAACGACGACGACAATAATGAGGATGGGATGGGCGGTTTAAATACGAATCAATCGACTCAGGGGAACACCGCTCCCTACGCTGATTGTGTCCGGCCATTCCACTTGCCTATTTCAGACCCATGTCAATGCCCAATTTTGGTCCTCCGGCATCATGCACCCTGCCAACCGCATCCACTCTATGTTAGGGAACTGGATACAGCGAAGTTCTCATGCCTAATAACTTACATTAAATACCCCCATAGCTTCTTCGAATAACCGAAAAGACATGCTAGTTGACCATTGATAGGCATAGCCGTTCAGCACTGTAGGATAAAGCTCTGTAAGGTCTAGGCTTAAGCAGGAGGCTTATACGAGATCATATATCGCGGAAATGATAGAGATGAGGGATTATTAATATTACAATCGACGAGATTCTGTTCAGACTAGACGTAGAATATGATTTGGCATGTTTTTATAAGTCGCGAGCGGCGCCACCCCAAGAGCCCGCTCGGCGCCTGCAAAAATCTTACTCATGGCTTTGGAGATATTCCTGAGACCTGATGCGACTCTTGTGGAAGCTAACATAGGATGCGACACGAGGCTTCACATGAAGTCTGCACTCATGCACGTCTACTCCAAGGTTCTGGTTGCTAACCCTGAAGTATGCGCCAGAGCTTTGTCATCTTCACAGGAGAGGCAAGTCATGTATGTTGTGCTTCTTGAAGACCTTTGTCCAGCTCGAAACGGGTTTATTGTGACGATGAATAGGTCCGTTGTTGAAACAGAACAAAATGAAGTGAAAGCCCACCGTGGCAACAGTTGAGTTGCAACAGCTTCAATCAAACAGAAAGGTATGAAGGCCTTCGTGTGCTAGCCAACCGCGTGGAAGAACATCTCCCCAAAGAGTTCAAGATTTGCAACGAGTGTCTGGAGTCATCTTCCCTCCCAAACTTCTTCATCCATCCCATCAATGTCCCATGCACCCGAAATCCACCAGCAACAATACGTCCCACAATTTTCGACCTGTTCTATCCATGAATTAGAACCGGAAGATCTCAACGAGAATCACCAGCTTTCCTTATTCACGGCCCATAGTTCCAGGTTGCCCAGGTAGGAAGGCCGGGGCTCCCGCCTACCCTGCAAAGAGGCCCACGACCAGAGGCAACCCCAGAACACCCGCCAAAAGGCATCCGATGTCCAACGACGGGCGTGCTCTGCACCTTCCACACATTCTTCTAAGCCTCCGGTCCGAGGGATGTCAACACTCAGGCAAAGCCCCAGCTTGCCTCAATATCCCTCCCCCGACCAGTGAGTTGGCTGAAGGGCGTGCGCGGAAGCGGTAGAGCACAACCGTATTGGACGCCGGATGCCTTTTGGCAGGGTTTCCCGGGTTCCCTCTGGTTAGGGCAGCACTAGTCCGTTAATATGATCCTGCATTTGCCCGTGGAAGAGGGTCCAAAGACGCTTGAGGATCGACGAACGCTTTTCCACAGGCACAGGCGCAGCATAGCTTTCAGTGGGGGAAGGGTTTGGTACGTTACCGTGGTGAAGCTGCTTCAGACAGGCTCAGAGGCCGTACGCTCGATGATGCCCATGTTTTCCATTACCCGTTTTGCGACAGCTTCGCCCGCGTCCTCGAACACAGCCCCAACGATGGCTTCAATGGTTGCGGCTTTATTGTCTTTGGAGACGAGTCCACCATTGAAAGGACTGCCATTGATCCATTGGGTTAGACCAATGTTGTCGCATAGAGCGACGAGCCGTGAATCGCAGGCGAGCTCAGCGACACGCGTGGTGGCTTGACCTGCTGACTATTAGCTTGCTGAGGCACATTTGCATTGCAGATTTGCTTTGCACTACCTATGGTACGCCCGTCGCGGTTTTCGTTGCGGATGATGATCAAGCCGACGATCTTGTCACCGACCATAGCCAACATTCTGTTGTCACGCACTGGGCGGCCACCAATTTGGGTCACGAGGGACCCTTTCCCTTGGAGGGCCTCCCACAAGCGGTCGCGGTCTTGAAATTCGTAGTCAATGATGGCCATCACCTCGTCCTCCTTCTGCTTGCGGTTGTACAGATAGTCGCCCATCGTTCAGTGATTGGTGGCAAAGAGAAAATAGTATAAGGTATAGCAAGGGTGAAATGAAATCTGCGGGATGAATTGGGTTGGAGGATTGCAGTCAGCCTTGAGGGAAGGCATAGCTTATTTATCTTTTGACCCATGAGCCTGCCACTGGCTGGCGAACCAGTTGCCCAGCCACTGTCATGCTCATTCCTCCAAATGTCTGAGACTTGCATGCTTCCCAGCCTTCTTGGCAAGCAGCGAGACAGTCTGCGCCGAATCACGCTTCTTGGACTTGAAACAACGCAGGCTGGGAAATTATCTCCTGCCTTGCTTGGGCCCTGAATTGATTGATCCAGCAGTTATTCCGGGTTGAAGTGCATTCCACTTGGTGTATGCCGTCACGCAGGTATGCTTCTTCGCAGGCCGCAAACATGGACTAATGCAATAAGTAGCCGAGGGGAGAACCTTTGCGTTCCAGACTTCAAGTGCTTATTGCGGCGGCTGGTATTGGTCTTTGGCTGGGTAGTCGCGAGGGCCCTAATTCAATCCAACCACAATCGGCCAGAGGCGCAATAACTTCACAGATGGGGAGCAATGGTGACAGTATGAAGCAGTTGTATTCATGATATCTCTAATTGTTTGCATGGGCAGGCGATGCTCACAGCCAGAAAATCAGAAAGATATGGCAACGAGACACGCACAGCTTCCTAGTCTCGAAATCGCGACGTATATGCTGTCTTCTTCTCGAGGCCACGTCATAGTACCGAGGTTTCTTTCGATACGTAAATCTGAACAGAATGTTAGCGAATGTTCCAAGCCAAGTCTGACTCCATCAAAACAGATACAAGGCAACCCTGTAGGTCATACATCCAAGGAAGGTTGAACGCTCATCGCACGTCTCAAAGGCTCGAGTGACGTCTTGCGTGGAAACTGCGAATAAGGTGGAACATTTAATCATGCAAAGGGAGATGTGCTGCGAGATGGAATGAAATCTCTTGGTGACTTACCGAACTGGCTTGACGCCCTGAGGGCAGCGTGTGCTCTCAGAACGGGTGATGGAGAAGAGGAACAAAGGGTAGGGGCTCAGAAAATTTCGCGTTGAAGAAAATCTTCTTCGGGTGGGTTCTTTTCGCGCTGGCCTGTGCGCTTCGCGATCTCACGTGCATAGTGGAGACAGTTAACCGGCTCGGATTGGCCACACATGTTCGGGCTGGAGGGACGTAACTCCGGAGTACGTATTCCTTGAATGGCCTTCCCGTCCCATCATTCTCGATGTTCAACCTCTGTTCACTGCCAGCTAACTCAGTCAGCATGAGCCGGAGGTATGGTTTGAAATTGGCTGATGGATGGATTTTCGATTGATTGGCATGATTTCTCTGTATCGTCACCACTCCTTTGCGGAGGAGAGAATGTCTTCACCATGGCAAACAAATGCGTCATCAGCGTCGACATGAACATCACGACGCGTCTCAGTGGAAGCTGGCAACACTCAAGTAAAGTAGGATTCCAATCTAGTTGACATCTTTTCCAGGGTCATTCATGCCCTTTCCTTCTCTGTCTCAGAGCAACATACAGAAACCAAGCCAATCCGTGTCCGCCCTTATCATACATACAAGCAAGCAAGCAAGCCATCCCTGAAAATCTCATATTCAATGCATCGGGAAGTCGTAGGCGCCGGCGACGTTGCGGTGGGAGCCATCCTTGTACGACTGGCCAAAGATGGGCTGCGGCTCGGGGATGGGAACAACCATCAGGTCCAAGGTGATGGCCGCCTCTCTTCTCTTCCAAAGTCGGTCGATCTCCTTGTCGTCTTGCGTGAGCAGGAACGGGCACTTGTGGCGCGCGTCGTTGAACTTGCGGCGCTCGTAATCGGCGCGCATCTTGTGGATGTCGTCCGACATGCGGGTCTTCATGACCACGGTGGTAGTCTGCTCGAAGTGGTCGTAGTCGAGCAGCTGACCTCGGGGGATTTCGCCGGTTGCTCCCTCGGCGGCGGGAAGGGGGTCGACGAACAAGTCAGTGATGGCGGCAGGAGGCTTGAGTGAGTTGTTGTCGACGCTGTTGTGGCCGGCGGTGTGAGGTACAGCAACGTTGTGGTCGATAGAACCGAAGTCAGTGTTGCCATCCTGGAGCGCGGTTCCAGAGCCGATGGCATTGGGAGAAAGCTTGGGCTCGAAGTCGCTCTCGGAAGGCAAGAAGGCGCTGGGCGAGACATAGGGAGAAGGCGAATTCTTGGCGAGGGCCTCCATGTCGTCCTCGAAATTCATGCCGTCGTAATCCAGGCCATCGTAGTTCTGCGGCTCGAAACGGCTCATTGAGTGGTGATGGTAGTCAATGTTGTCAAGACGGTGCTGCTCAAGCTCCTGCAGCTGCCGGTGCTGGGACGCAAGCTTCTCTCGCTGTGCGTCGCGACGCTCCGCACCTTGCTGGAACGACTCATGATCTTTCTGTCGCTGTTGCTCTTCCTGGTCGGCGCGTTGCTTGTCCTTCTCCGCCTTCTTCTCAGCGTCCTTGCGGGCCTTGGTAGCAGCGGCGGACTTTCTCCGCTTCGCACGGCAATCGTAGCAGTGGGCGAAGTACTCGACGTTGCCCATGGAGCGTCTGCTGGAGAAAGACGAGGAGGGGAAGTCCTTCTTGCACTTGGTGCACTTTCGCTGGCCCTCGGGGCTGGCCGATCCGGAAGCGGCAATAGCGGTGGCGGTGGAAGCGGGAGAGGGAGCTGGACTCGGAGACGAAGCGACAGTCTGAGAACGACCGAACGGGCTGGAAGACGGAGCAGATGGAGTGGATGCCTGGCCAGACGGGAGGTTCGCGTTCAGAAGGACATCTTGAGGCGCGACGGTCTGGGGGACGCTCCGAGGAATGTCGCCTTGCGGATTACCGGGCAGAGCGATCTTCGAAGGCTCAGGCGAGCCGAAGAGCGAGTTGTCGGCGTCCATCGTGATGTTTGCGATATTCACTGACGTGGTGTTGTGAGTGGGAGAGAGTGGTGGATGGGAGAGCCCTTGAAATATCTTGACCTAGTGAGGTGAATATGGAAAGTGAAAACTCTTGGCCAGAATCAAACTCCAGGAAGGAAGGTAGGAGTAACTCGAGGTAAGTGCGAGTGAGAACTTCAGCTGTCTATTTTCTTTCACCTTTGTCGTCCGATCTCTCGCGCACTTGGGGCTTCCAGGGCTTCCGCGAGTCTTCGAGGCAGAATATTGTTGTGGTTTTCTTTGATCGGGGAGGTTTCGCGTACAGCAATAGAGAGGAGAAAGACAGCGAATTTGACGTGTTAGCCAAACCTTTCCATGGCAAGGCTTCCGTCGAAGGGCAATTTGAAGTAATTTCTATGCTCCAACGGAAGGGTCGTTAGACAATTTTAAGGAGTTCAAGTGAGAAGACGAGCTGTCATTTGAACAGTGAATGGACCCCAAAACCAAGAGACTCCTTCGTCCAACTCCCTATCAGTGATCAAGGCTGCATGGTACACCTCGCTCGAAGTTATATTCTCAGCAGCATCCTGATTAACCACTCCAAGACCGACAGCAATATTTATTGCTCGGAGCATCCAGTATTTCAAGACCATATGGCCTTGAAATCTTCAAGGCCTTCGCATGCGCGAAGTTGCTGTTTTCCCCGCCCAGAGAACGCCTTGGCAGTCAACGTTGTCGGAGAATTATATTCCTGGCGAGTAAACATTCCCCTAGCCTTACACATGCGCAATCTTGCGCTTTACTGACTCGTCCCCAGACAGCTAGCTACCTCAAGTCCGGCATCCATGGAGTCGTGGCCCAGCCAAGAGACCAACCACACGTCAACCGCCGACCTGCCCCCCTTAAAAATGAACAATATGGATTTGAGCGCTAGCCTTCCGACCTTAGAGTGGAGTGTGAGCTGCAAGGTCATGGGAGATGTTGTGGAGAACGACGACCTTCTCAGTCTACTCAAGCCATACGTGAGTCGATAGCTGTGACAAAACTATTTCACTATCTGACTTTACTATTCCAGATTCACGACAGAACCGACCTTCACTCGCTGTGCCTGACCAACAAGATGTTCAACTCCGTCTTCTCCCAGTCCCTATTCGACCATCTCGTCGTCAAACATACCCACGTTCATTGTGCTGAGCCCGATTCCGAAGAGTTCGCAGCCCTTCTGAAGAGCTCAAGCCTTCGACATACGCGAGAGCTTTCTTTCTTGCATATGGACCAGCTCAGCTACATGGAAGACGACTCCTCCAGATACGGTCCCATACTCAACGGAGCAATCTGTCAGATCGTCAAGCGGTGCCCCAATCTCCGTCATTTCACTTTCTCGGCACCCTCGTATGCTGAGCCTGAAGGCTTAGTGGGATGTTTTGTCTGGGAGGAGACGCTTGATTACCTACACAGCTGCTGCCCAGAGCTGCAGTCCCTCTCACTAGAGCAGGCGTTTCCTCGGATCCCCTACCGGGACGCGAATCAGGGTGCGACCTCTGGAAGCTGCGATCATTCAATTGGCAGATTTCAATTTCCAGAATTCTCGAACCTTGCTGCCCTAAGTCTGATCGGCATCGACGAGAGTGCTGTTTCTTGGCAGAAATTTGTAGCGGAACTTCTGTCGTTCGCGCCGCGTTTGAAGGAGCTGAGTCTGTCGATAAAGCCGGCGCCAGGCATTCACCGGCGTGGGGAGGTGCAAACGTTCCGCATGTGGAGATACGTTTTACCCAGCCTCTGCGATGAGTACAAAGCACTAGAAAAGCCGCCTCTGAAGCTTCGCAAACTGAACCTCGACGAGAATGTCGGGTTTGTCTGTGATCCCCAGGGAAGCATCGAATATATCAACTCCCTCACTGATTTGGCGGTGCTCGAAGAGCTTCGCGTTTTCGACAATCAGATGTATTCGGCAAACTTGATTGGAGTTTTACCTCCTTTGATGCCCTACAAACTCTTCACGTACGACAAAATGCCACGCCTTCGCAGATTCTCGTTCGGCGACATGGACGACGATATTATGGAATGGCTCATCTACGCCGCAGAGACACCCTTCAAAAACCAACTTACCCTTCGCAATGACGGAGTTGACCACTGGGAGGGTGGTGTCGAGCTATTCGAAGCTATTTCCAGTCAACGAGCACGCAAGAGGGATGAAAACCCGCTGATCAACTTCACGACAAGGGACGTGGAGCCGATCTTACGACCAATTTTGTGGACCGATTTTGACTCTCCCTTGTTCCCCTACACTCCGAAAGCACGCTTGGTGGTCCCTGGCAGGTTCCGCCTGGGTGATGCTAAGCACAGACGCTTCAAAGCCTCTGATCGGCTGGGAGACTGCATATGGATCAAAAGTATGCGCGTTTTCGTTGAAAGCGTAAGCCCGAGTATGAACGAGTTGCTCAGTCATCTTAACGGAATGCATGCGATCGAGCAACTGATGATCGTCAGCTACAAGGCGGACAGTTGGGAAGGCTTTGCTCGCCTAGACGACAATCCAACGTGGAAGACAAACGTGCAGAGAATTGCTGTCGCTTTGCCAAGCCTGACATACCTGAAGGTCAACAGGATGTCGTGGAGACTTAAGCACGCGAATGATGGCAACGAATTGGTGGCGGAGAGATTGACTGCGATAGAGGACGAGATGCTCGGCAGGTTTCCGCCCCTAAGTGACTTGCCAGTGTGTGGCATGTTTCGGAGAGCTTGGAGAAAGCTGGTCATAAGTCCTGAATTGATCGGAGATTGTGAGAGATGGTTTCTAAAATAGGTTTTCGTTCAAGCAACAGCAAAGATGGACAGCTATCACGAACAGGGTGCGGAACGATTGGCAAGGAATGTGATCTGAAGCTCCATTTCTAATAATCCACCACGAATAACTGAAAAACGAAGGAAGGGAAACAGCGTAACTCATTGGTCTAGCAATAGATAGGTACAATGGATTGCGATAACTGAACAAAAGGAATGCTGAGCATGAGTTCAACCAACCGCTCCAGGCTAGATTTACCACTTGCATGAGGCGGGCTCGTCCTACATCGTTTTCAATATACCACGAGCACCAGCAAACTCCAACTGATCCATTGTTTCAACCCATAGCCGTTTTGTGACATTCTTGCCTTCTTGTGTATAAAGGAAGGCAGCAAATCTGCAATGCATTAGTCACCTATGCAGCCGACGAGGCCAGGCTTTGCCAACTTACGGGTGAATACTCCAGCTCATCAGAAAGCATCCATGAGATTCTTTGCCCTTGTTCACCACAGCATCAACAAAGCAAGAGGCCCCGACTCTCGGAGTTCTGCCCGTCGCTCCAAAGGCCCAAAGACCCCACCTCAGGAGGCCAGGAGCATCTCGGCCCAAGGCAGTGCCCCTGCACCAAGCTGGATCTGACAGGTTGACGATGACGTCGTCGGCAGAAACAATATCGGAAAGCTTCCAAAGAAACATGTGAGCCAGAAGCTTGGACGAGTTGTATGTTTCGGAGCTGAATGTCTTGGGGTCGTCAAAGGACGGTAGCAGGGGTTTGGCATCCCTGTTGGGGAAGCTTGCGGCGAGCGTCAATGCAGCGTTGACGACGGTTAGGTGTGCAGGGTCGCCGTCGGGCTTACGCTTAGCCTTCAGGACCGGCAGTAGAAGGATGGCGAGTAACATCGTGGACAAGTAGTTGACCTGCAGTGTCTCCTCGTGCCCAGTGCTTGGGTTCTTGGAAAACGACATCTTCATAATGCCGGCGTTGAGAATGACGATGTCAATCCGAGATGGGTGGCCTTCGGCTCGACGGGCAAATGCTTGGATGGAGTCATACGAATTCATGTCGAGTTGCCACACATCGATGCTGGCGCCAGGGTGCTGCTTGCGGAGTTTGGCTGCTGCGTCCTCTCCCCTGTCGAGGGAGCGGACGGCAAGGACTAAGTGCGACAACTTCAAGCCAAGCAACTGAATGGCTGCTTCGTACCCAAGTCCAGTGTTGCCGCCGGTAATAATGGCCGTTTTACCTGCAAGGCTGGTGTTCGGAGCTGGCCATTGGGGTTTGGCGCAGAATTGATTGTGAAAAAAGACGCCGCCAAAGGAAGATGTTGAGGGAGGGAGATCCTTAGAACCAGTCATATTGAAACGTGTTGGGGTTTCGATTCAACGTTATAATAAAATGAGAAACAGAATGATTTTGCTGGAAGCTGTGTGCTGGTAGTGATGATCCGAAGACGAGCGGCATGGGCGTGAATCTTTATACCTCAAGGGCTGTCAAAGATGCCTTGAAATTCAATCGAGAATCAAGAGCGATTGGCATTCAAATTGACGAACGGACTCAAAAACTGCGCCATCTTCCCTCAAAGTCTTGCCATATCTCCGCTGACCAGTTTGTATACCCTTTTGGGAAACGGCTGCGATGTCAGCCGGAATGAGGCTATTCCCGATTTGGCATACAATGTGGTCGAGGGCGTAAGAGCGATCAGCAGCTGATACCCATCGCACAAGCAATGGCGCTTACGTCTGTGTAATTCCGAATCCCGTCCGATATCATAGCAGCATTAATTGATAAACTCGGGCTTAAGTCACAATCTGCCCGAGGCTCTCGATTGCACTTATCAGATCATTAGATCGCAGAAGATCTGTCAGCTTGTGAGAGGATTCATTCCATTATCTACTCTGACGACAAAAGATTGTGACATGTGATCTGGACACGAGCAAGGGTGCAATCAGATTCGCGCAGCCCAGAATTATTGTCTTGGAAGAAGGCCCATCAGCTGTCTCCCACGATTCACCTCTGCCAGAGTGAGTTGACCGGGAGCAGATGGGGCGGGAAGGAGCTCGTGTGTTACAAGTGATATCGGCGAAAGCATCCTTGAAAGCTGGCCATACTGACCCATGCCCACGGCAAGGAGAGGCTTGGGGTTTTTTGAAGAATGACTTCTTTCGAACAGAGCAAGCTCGTGGCAGTCATAGACATCTGCGGACAAGATGCTGAGCTTGATGATATCTATTGAGTCCGGATTAGCAGCTAAGCTAAGAAGGTAGCTCACGATTTGTGTGTTTACCCCCGAATGCGTCCGCTGTGGCATACTTCTCCCGCAGGAGGTCACTCGTCCATCGTATATCACCAGTCCAATCATGGAACGAGGCGATGATCTTCGAACTTCCTTTCTTCTCAACGACAGCATTGACCAGTTCAAGAGACCATTCGATCTCAACATCAATGTATTTGCACTGCTCTTCCACAGCCATGAGCATCAACGCCAGAGCCTCGTTTTCGGCGTCCGGCGGAAACTCGCCCCCTTGAGGCGCTGTGCGGATAGTAAAGAGAATAGGCATGTCGGATAGAGATTGAAGGAGCTTTATCTGAGCTTGGACGTAGCTCAGTGGCGGCAAGTTCGTGGTACCCAGAGGCTCACGAGAGGGGCTGAGGAGATCGACTCTCATTTCCCAAATGTCACCACCATGGCTGATACGAGGAATATCAGCAGCGCCAAGAGCTATGTCTGAGTAAGTTAGGGGTATGATGAAGGTTTGTCGACGCGGATCATGGTTGTGATTATCGAAAAGGATGTCCGCCATGACGATGGTGAATAGGCGTGCGAAGTTGATAGTGTGGTTGTGGAGAAGATTTATATTTATGCGCTTTTCACAGGTGGTGATCATGTACTTTGTCAATAGCGATATTTTAGTAGATTTTCCCCCGCGTTTTGTTGGTTCTAATGCCGTTCAAATTCCGAGAAAGCTCATCGGGTGATGTCAACGCCGTCCAGTATCCGGGAATAGCTTCCGTCCCGCCTCTCGCAGCCGGCAAAGAAAATAGCCGTCTCTCATCGCCGCAACGCATTGAGATCGGACATCAATATCTTGACAAAGCTAACTGCCATTAATACTATCGGCTAATAAGATATAGTCAACTTAGCTCAACTCATGTACTAGCACAAACGGGGTATGAACACGTGGTTCTCACAATTGCAGTGAAAGTGTTCAGTCACGGCCAGGCGTTGGATTGCGTGATTGATAAAAGACAGATACTAATTATACTGAGAGCGCGAGATCTTGTGACTTTCACTTGCCAAATATATCCAGGCATGCTGGTTCCGGTGCCGGAGAAGCTAGTAAAGCTCCCGCTGGAGTTGTTCGACAGCCTATGAATCATATAACACCCTAAGCTTCATGGTGAGACGCTGCAATCTCCTTCTCGTCACGTCCCAAAGCATCAGCATGGCCATCATCCCGACGCTGGTTGATAATCTCCTCAGTCTGCCGACGCCAACTGCGAGGCATGCCCTTGCGGGTGAACAGCACGTCCATGTCTTCAAGAGAGATACCCTTGGTCTCTGGAATGAGGAGGAAGGTGAAGACAAATCCAAACACGACAGAACAAGCGAACAACAGAAACGTGCCATACGTGATGTCCGCCATCATGTAAGGCGTCGAGTAGACAATCGTGAACTGGCCGAGCCACTGAGCACAAGTCGTGAAGACCAGGCAGATTGAGCGGATACCCATGGGGAAAATCTCAGCGCTATGGGGCAAGGTCAGCAGCGCGCGAACTTGAGAGGGTCGGAGAGGATATACCAGAAGATCCATGGAATGCCGTTCCATGAGATGGCATAGAAAACGGCGAATATGTAGATCATTACGATAGCGACATAGGCACCGGGTGTTCTATCGCCTGCAGACAACTGACCGGCCTCGAAAGATCCAGACAGCTTCGCGTATGCTCCGAGATAGAACAGCGCAATCGCGGCCCCGGTCGAACCGATCATAAGGGATTGCCGGCGGCCGAGGGCGTCAACGCCCCATATCATGTAAAGCATTGTAGCAAATGCTTTGACAATGCCAAAAATGCCGGTAGCCAGAAGACCTACGCTAGTGCCAGTAAAGCCGATGGATTGGAAAATCGAGGGTGAATAATAGTTGAGAGCGTTGATGCCAGACCTGGAATGATTGAGCTCAGTACTCTGTTGCAATTTCACACTGAGACGACCACAACCACTCACATGTTTTGGATAAACATTAGGGCGATGCCCAACAGAAGGCGGCGTCTGTTTATGGGAAGCTTGATCTCCCGCAGTTTCTCCAACAGGCCCCTATTCGCACCCATCACAGTCTCTTCCTCGATCTGTTGTAGAACCGTGTTGATCTCCCAGTTCAGATATGGATGGTCGGCAGGCAGTTTTCGCAGGCGTTGAAGAACTCTTCGCGCTTGATCAGTGCGACCGGCGTTCAAAAGCCAGCGAGGAGACTCAGGCTGAAGAAACATGCAAATGGACAGAAGGCTGCCAGGGATAATCTGCAGTGCGAATGGCACATGCCACTGGGTGTCGGAGCTTCCTGAAATATGTATGTTGACTCCGTAATTCACCCAGAAGCCGATGATCTGAGAGAACTGCAAGAAGATTTCGAATACTCCGACAAGGCGCCCGCGAATCGCAGGGGGACCAGACTCGGAGATATAAACCGGAATGATCATTGATGAAGAACCAACGGCAAGACCTGTAATTAGTTTCGATGCGTCAGCTACTGCAAGAACTTGGAATCGCATCGCGACCAACCTGTCAGAACTCGGCCGGCGTAAATCAGGGCTAGATTACCGCTGGCAACGAGCTGTAAGATCGCGCCAAGGTCGAAGAGCGCGCCGCAACCGATCAGAACCCAGCGACGGCCCAGCCGCTCAACCAAGTAGTAGCACAACAAGACACCAAAGAAGCATCCGCCCTGAAATGTGCTGACGATGTTGGCTTTGAGCGCAGCAAGGTCGGTGCCTGTCGATGAATCGAGCCCGAATCGACTCTGAAAGGATGGAAGCGACATAGTACCTCCTATGAACGCAGAGTCGTATCCAAACATCGCGGAACCCATGGCTGCGGAAGCCGCCAGACCATAGATCCTCCAGTTGTAGACCTCCGCAGGCGCGGGGTTGGCGGAGTCATCCTTGGGTCGCTTGAAGATATTGACCATTGTCGCTGGCTTCAATCGCATGCAATACAAGCGAGCTTACAGACCGAAGAAAAAACGAGCGTGTCTCAGAAATCCGCCTATGATCGAAGAAGGCTGTTTCCAGGTGGGCTTAATATGAACCTGAAGTGGGTTTATCCACTCTGTTTTGACGTGCTACCCCAGATCTTACCCCAGACATCCACACCTCTCTTCCCCAGCTTTTGGAGCGAGCAAAGGGTGAATATTCTCCCCAAATTCGACACATGCACGATGACCCAGGGATTTGAAGAGGGGTTTTGAATTGGAAGAGTTCTTTCCCGATGCCAAGCAGCCAATCGGGCTATCACGCCAATGAAAGTCAAGTTGCTCTTTGATTGGAGATCCCATGATTTGGTCAGAGACGTATTGCCCAGCAGAAGGTGGGGTATGCCGAGCTCGCCAACAAATGTTATTCACACAGCCATGTCGCTTTGTCTGCGCACCATTGGATGATGGGAAAGGTGTCATCAATGGTCGCGTCTGACGGTTGTTTGTTAAGCCGGCACAGGTTGACGATCACCACAAGTTACATCGCATACAGTAGCGCTACATCCACCTTGAAAGCGTAGACACCGCATGGCCGTTACCATGGACTTGGGCTCCAAGCTAAGAAGTCAAATAACTATGTTTCAATGCTTTCAAAGTGGATGATGACATCGCCATTGTTTTACCAGCGGTAGCATCTACATCTGGGTTCCTGGCAAACTCCCCATACATGTTCCTGACCTAGCCAGTGGATGAGCCGTAGCGATGACATCTGGATGATAAAAGAGTGGAAGGTGTTATTTGGGCTACGGAAAATTAGGAGCTACAGCTGACGTCGTTTTTCTTGCAGGTGTAAAGCCCACACATCGAGGGCGCCTTGCACAGGCCGCAGTTACCACCGCCCCAAGTACTCTCCATGTCCGAGCCCTTGATTGTCTTATTGTCAAGTTGATAGCATACTGTGGACTCGTAGCTGTAGTCGACGCTGAATATTTCGGGCTTCCAGCCGTCTGCTGCAGTATACTCAAAGGATCTCGCGTTGTTCTTCACGACGGCCTTGGCGCCGTTGTCGCACTCGAGCTCGAAGACAGTCTGGTCGCTTGCCCAGTGTTTCCCGCCGCCCGTCCGGCAGACTTCCACGCCGTTCTCCCAAATCTGGACGTTGACGCTGTCTGGCTGGAATGCGCAGTTGCTCATGTAAACGTGAGCAGCCATGCAACGTGGTTTCGGCGCGGGAGCTGGCGGCGCTGGGGCAGGCGTTGGACCTGGGACCTGCCACGTCGCACATCCAGCAGTTGTGATGGTGACTTCACCGTGGGGACCGCCGGTGATCGTCCAAGTCTCGCTCTTGATACACGTACCACCTGATGGGCTCGGGGCTGGGCCAAGTGTTGGGAGGTCGGGTAAATGGAATATGCTAGACGTAGTCGTACCAAAGCTGACGCAGGACGTTGAAGTCACGCAGACGCCGCCTCGTGGTCCTCCGTTGCACAGCGTAGCAGTTGTTGACGAGAGACATACTTGCCCAGGAGGCGCTGCTGTCGGTGCCGGTGTCAATGTTGGCAAGTTGGTCAACCCACCTCCAAATCCTCCTCTCTCAGCTGGCCTGGTGTTGGTCGGGCGCGAGGTTTCCCACGGCGGAGCAAAGTCCGGTGGCGTACCAGTTGGGTTTGGGCTGCAGTAATATCCAGAGCAGAGATGGCCGCAGTTTGCTGTGCAGAGAGGCGCCGGCGGACCCGGCTTCTACGTGACGCGAGGACCTTGGGGTGCAGGGTTGTTTCCACCCCCAGGCAAGTTGGGAATCGGGCAGGCTGCCTGTCGGCTGTCCAGCCCTCTCTTTTGAGAGCTTCCACATTGTTCGAATGGATCGGCAAGGTTCCAGACCATTTTCTCTTTCTGTTCAAAATCTGCTTCATCTTCCGTGAGAGGGAGAGGTCGTGACACTTGTTGCATGATGGATTTGAGGGATGCGGGATCCTCCCCGAATCCGTAATGCATTCCTCTCACGTAGGCAACAAGACCTGCAACCAGCGGAGCGGCTTTGCAAATGAGCATAACGTAAGTAAGTGGTCGTAAGCCTTGACAATGAGAATGCCTGTGACTTACCAAATGATGATCCAGTAGCCGTGCCTGCTGAGAATTGCGGTGACACAAATACCTCGTTTGGAGGAAAAAGTAGCCCTTCGCCTGGAGCCCATGTGTCGCCCGCATTGCTGCCAGCCCACCAGCCTGCATTATTGAGATAGCCAACAAGAAAGGCCCCGTCGAGCTCTCGGACTAGAATTCCTGGGACAGTTGTAGGGTCATCTTCGCCTTGGTTTCCAGCGGCAACGACGAAGGTGATTCCGTAGCTTTGTTCCATTCTCTTCATCAGCATATCTGCCGAGGAGTTAGCTGGTGTCTTGTTTACGGCAACTCGACCAGAGCGGGGGCAGCTTCTGACGAAACATCTTTCGCCACTTACAAATAAGCTGTGTGAGAGGATCGTTCCTGTTCTTCGCAAAACCCCCGGACACATTCACCACACCTGAGTTCCTAGGTTTCGGGTTCCGCTTGTCTTCTTCTGTGTCTTCATCCGTGAAGTCATTACAGATAAGCGTAAGTGCTTCCAAGAAGCCCTCTGCGCGTAATCCTGGAGGTCCGCGTGGCACAAATACGAGGTCAGCATTTCTCGCGATGCCAACTTTGGAGCCAACGGCATAGTTTGCCACCAGATGTCCATGCTCGGTCTCGAACGTGCTGGACTGACGTGCTGGGCGCCAGTTGCCCCCGGTGAGAGCTTTTGCTTGCTTGTCGAAGTCCTGCATTTGAGGAATTAGCATAATAGGAGGCGGTGGAGGGCTGAAAGAATTCAAGTCTAGAGACGCTGTCCATCCGATTCCCTGTCTCAAATACTTACTGCTGCAACATGTCCCCTCCAGCCGCCTTCGATGATGTAGATCGTTTGACCCTCACCTTCGGGTGAGCTGAATTGATACGTATATTTGCCATCATTCGGATCGTGTTCGCCATTCTTTTGGAACCAATATTTGTTGGGCGGCCAGGAAATCTGTGACAGATGCCAGTAATGGTCGTTGCCTTCGAACCTCTTTGTTTTGGAGGTACCGGGCGCGAGCTGGAGAGGTGCTAGTGTGATGTTGTGACTCGAAAGTTGTGGCTCTTGGATTGCTGCAAAGCTTCCATCTTCCAAGCCTTCAAACCAATCTCGCTTGCCCGTTGACGAGGTCGTAGATGGCATTCTATAAGCACGACCAACCTGGGGATGGAAGTTAGTGACTGTATTGCGACCGTTAATGCGACGTGGTTACGCCGACGTACCTCGTCAATTTCGTCAGAATTGAAGTAGTCGAAGGCAAGAGGGCCAAGGTTAGTAACATGAATAAACGCGGTAAAACCCATATGTTTCGCTTGAATCATCTCAAATCCATTCTTCATGTCTCTTTTCTTGAGAGCCGTATCGCGTCGCTCGAGGACACCTTCAACAATTGCTCGAGCTGGGGCCGAAAAAGGCATGCTCAAAAGAAGGATACCATCACTGCCGTCTTGCTCGCTGCACCAACTCGGCTCGGAACGCTTCACAAGGAGTCGTTTCTCCGGTGCGTGGGTAGCTTCTGGAAGATCCGGAAGCTGCATAGCTCTGCGCGTAAGCTTGCACGCATTCGCTGTCTTCGTAGCTTCAGCGTCTTGGAGATTGCAGCCCGTAATTGTAGCACATCGAGATTTGACCTGTGTAGCTGTAGTCTTCGTTGTGCCCGCGGACACTGAGGTAGCGAAGGAGCTGGTTGTAATGCAGAGCGAAGCTTCCGCGGGCGTGCAAGAGGCGGGCTTTGGCCGAACCTCGATACTCCCACCGGGATGGACACTATTCCAAATCATAATCAGCAATTCAATCATCAATTGCAGCGGGACTAGGGGGTCTTACGTGATCTTAGGCCAAGGGGGAAGCGGACCGATGATGTTGATGTTCGGTGGGAACCTCAATGGAGGCGGGGGGCCTCTGCAAATGACAGGTTAGAAGACGATGGGCCTTTGGTTTCGAGATAGCGTTGCACTCACGGTCCCCAGATGCCGGGCGGAATGATCCATTCCAAGCCACCGATGTGTATGTCGAGGTCATCCCACTTAACGCATATCTGTATCAGAAGGATGTGTTAGAAGACTTGTCAGAGTAACAGGAGGTGGAACGTCGAGAACTCACCCAGAAAAACCAAACTTTACAGGTGCTCTTGTGTTTGGGGCCTTCTCCATCGTCATCTTCACCACTGTTGGGCACGTCGGTCTTGACCGGCACGACCGAAATCACTTCGGGCCATGTACCTGTGGGCTCAGGACCATCATCTGTGTCCCATGTGAACGGTGTTTTGCTGGTGGAAGGGAGCTCGGTTATTGTGGGCGGTCCTGCTGGCGGGACAGTGATGATGGGAAAACCTGATTGCCCTTGGCTTGGATCCTTTGAAGTCCATTGAGCGGGAGGACCTTCTGTGACAGAGGGCCAAGGAGGGATCACTAGAGTCCTAACCTGAGTCAGACCTCCTGGAAGAGTGAAGGTCGTGACAATAGGCGGGATGCTGATGCTGGGCAAAGGTACGATTGTGCTGGAGTCAATTTGACCGGAGGTGACGTTAACATTATAGTAGTCCATCGACTGGGTTACGATGGGCGGAATCTGAATCGTAAGGGTCGTCGTAAGATCTGGCGCGATCACAACAGATGTCGTGTAAGATGGGATGGTGATGGTGGTGGTGGATGGTAGTGCCCTCGGGGGCAACACCAGCTGACAAGGTCCAGTGCATTGAGCGGGGGTGCCGGAATACACTTCGGGAGCCAGGAAAACAACTTCTGGATCATCATGTGGCCTGCAAATGGTTAGACTGATTGAATGGGGGACATTCTGAAATACTTGCCCTCCTGAGCCAGGAACTTGGAAATCAATAGACCAAATCATGGTGCCACCGAAGCAAAGGCCATCAGCAAATGCCCTCTTTGCTGCAAATGTCTCTTCGTCGTCGTATCCAATCCACTGATCGTCCCAGGTAATCTGCTTCATCATCGAGTCTGCAAGATACTTTGGCTTGATGTTGCGCCGCTTGATTAGCTGCTCAATCTCGACCAAGGACATAACACCTCCGAAGTTGGTACATGGAGCTGGGTTGCTTGGACCCGAAAACGGACAGAGAAGATCGCTGCAGGAAGGGTCCGCAAGCGTGTAGCCACGGCCGTACATAGCAAGGCCGAAGTTGAGCTTTGCGGGATTCAGGCCGTCGAACCAAAGAGGCACGGTATTCTTGGAGATCTCCTGTATATCGGCTTGGCCTCGAACCTTCTTGCCAAGAGCCAGGACATCGGCGTCCCAAGAGCCATGCAGATCTGTCAAATGTCAGTAATCCACTGACCTCGAGCTTCTTCAAAAGAGACATACCATATGCCATGAAGCCAAAGAAGTCGACGTAAGGCTCCATAGCCTTTGCATCAAACCACCTGAATGCCACTGTTAGCGAACTTGCAACGTCAACCAAGTACGTAGATCTTAATCCTCACCTCAGATACCAGTAGTCAGGAGCTAACGTAAGACTAATTCCATAGGCGGTGCCGTACGCAGCCCGCATCTCTTTAACCAGAAGGGCGAGATTCCTGGTATCAGCAAGCTTATTACCGCCTCGTTCAGGTGCGCCAGGGTACTCCCAATCAAGGTCGACTCCTTGGAACCCGTGTGTATCCATGTAGGTCTTGACAGAAGCAATGAAAGCAGCTCTGTTCTCTTTGGATGCTACCATCTCACTCCTATACATCGTTAGAAATGACCAGGCTGCGGCATACCTCATGCTTACCAAGTCTTATGCGTTGCGGCTTCCGGATTGCTCATGTCAAAGCCTCCGATGGCGATCCAAGTCTGTAGATTTCCATCTTTGGAGAGGTCCGTAAACTCTTTCATCAGCGTAACATCGTCAGGGTGCGCCGTGGCTATGGTGAACGCAGCTGGATCAATGAAAGCGAACGAAAAGAACAGATGAGTGTAGCCTTTCGTGTCAAGCTGCTTCGGCGTGACCCTGTTGCAAAGTCGGGTCCTAGCATTCCATGACTGGTAGTATCCGATGGTTCTTCCTTTGGAGCTTCCGCTGCCCTGTGCACAGGATGGGGAGCCGGTGATTGCGCAAGAGCCATAACCAGCCTGGCATGGCAGTGTTCCGTGAAGAGGATCGGCATTGTGGCAGTAGACGTCGGTGGCTACATCGGTTAGCACGGGTGCAAGCGTTTGAACCATTCAACTTACTTCCACTAGATGGCTATCAGTATCGCTTCTGAGCTTGGGAACTTTGAATTCGACAGGGACTTACCACCATCCGGTCGCACTACAGCACAGCTTCATGCCACATGGCATCTCGGCATTCTCACTAAACTCGCCACACATTGCGGTCGCATTGCATTGACTCTGGCAACCTGTACCGCAAAAGTCTGGCCCATACCCACAGATGTTCTTGGGCCCACAGCAGCTGTTCATATCCCAGTCAGCACGCGCCGTCAAGAAATACATCAGAACTGTTACCTTCCGTCAACACAAGGACCATCTGTGCAATACAACGGTCCGTCGGCACGGCGCTCAAGGCTATATGGCTGCCTTGAGGTCAAGTTTGCACTAGACTCGAGCAATGAATCAAACTCCACGTTCTCTGGAGTAGCAACGTGAGGTGCCTTGGCTGGGTTCTGGTGAGCGGGACTGAGCTTGATGGTGTCGATCCATGCTGCAACTTGTTAGCTGCAAAGCAATGATAACGCAAGGCCCGTATTCATCATGCCACTCACATCGTTCTTCAGATGCGCGTTTTGCGTTGTTAAGCTCGTCATGGTATGGGTTGGTTCGACGATAGGCGAAGGCACCATAGTTGAGAGTCAAGATACAGACAAAGACAAACGAGCTGATAGCCAAGGCTACTAGCCGGCCGGTTCGTGACTGCATGTTTGACAGCTTGCCTGGTTGACGCCCTTGCTCGTATCACTGTGCAGTGACACTACCACCGGGCGGAACGTACTTATACTGGTTCTCGGCTTGCGAATTTTGAATCGATCCGAGCGCGGCTTACAAGGCATCAAATACGGTCATGAATTTTGCCGCGGACCCCAAGTCTAAGAGTCCACGAGCTTCAAATTTAGAAAAGTCATCAGACATATCTCGTATTGATCCCTGAGTAGAAGGATCAGACCGACTCTCGCCGGAGCTAACGGGAGGCAAATTGAGAATGTAGACGAAAAATTTCGACTCTTGTCAAAGACTTCCAAGTCTAGATGTTCTGGAAGATCTTGGCAAATGTCCTTCGAATGGATGCCTAGGCTAGCGCTGAAAGGGACTGGTTGAATGACCTGAAATGCAACCCATCAACAAGCCCAAGTTCTGGCTGGTCATTGTAGTGCGGCCCAGAGACAATATGAGCAAGGGCAACTATCTTGGCCCCCCTGAGTGCAGGCGATTATCGATCGCGTGGACTGTTGGTCGCACTTTACCTGACAGATTGCGGCACGCTTCTGATTTGCGCGCTCGGAATGCAAGTGGAACTAAATATTGAGTCCCAGGATTTCCAGTAGTGTGTTGCTACATTAGGCAGTCGACGTTACTTAAAGCTTTTCAGCTCCAGGGCTAGCTAGATTCCTCTGCAACCACACAAGCGGGGCTCGAGTCCGAGGATAACCAGGGTTATTATGCTTGTTTGTAGGGCCCCCGCTACGGCACAACGTGCAGAATGTTCCTGCCTAGAACACACTTTGTTTACAAGCTCAATGAGTCCGAGAAGACTTTGCCATATTAGGAAGGTTACTGTGGTTGAAGGATTTTCGGTATAACCCGATTCTTACTATTGGGCTGCGTCGGAGAGCCCCTCAACTATTGAATCGAGGACATTAATTGAACTCCTGAAGTCACGAGCTGCCGCGGCTGGCTCTATCACAATGTGACAGACAGAGAGTGTTGTTATGTGTAGTTGTGTTGATGTACTACAGTATATATCCTCTCATCTCGGCTGCTCGTCATTATGGTGTTCAATGACACAACTATCTCGTTCATTGCGCTCATTAATTATTAGCGATGAAGCAGTTTGCTCTTCTCTGGCTGTTGCCAGCTATTTCATTTGCCCAGTCTACGACTTCTACTACCGATGCTCTGCCACCGTGGCAGACCGGAGTGGAAACTGAGGACGGATCTTGCGGCCCATCGAGTGGCGGACGAGTTTGCACTCCCACGTGGGGTGCGTGTTGTTCTACTGACGACATCTGTGGCCGATCCAAAATTGCCTGCGGAGACGGCTGGTCAGTTCTCGTCCTATTCAGGATTGATTCTATATCTGCGCATTAAACTAACCCTGAGAACCCTCATTTTAGTCAACCTCTTTATGGCAACTGTAACAGCGCTGCTCCTCCCCCTACAACGTCAACGGTCCCAACAACTCCGGCACCAGGGCCAGGCAGTGCATCTCCGGACGGTTCATGCAGTGGAACGAACCAGTTCACTTGTGCCGGCTCAACCTTCGGTTCTTGCTGCAGCGGCGGCAACTGGTGCGGTGACAGTACCAGTCACTGCGGAGCCGGCTGTCAGAACAAGTTTGGTAACTGCACGGCCATTGCGGATAACATCAGTACCGACGGGAGATGCGGCTCCAACGGCAAGACTTGTCTAGGATCTGCCTTTGGCTCCTGCTGCAGTGAGGGCGGCTGGTGTGGTAGCGAGCAAGCCCATTGCAGTACTGGCTGCCAGACCGGCTTCGGCAACTGCACCACCAGCGATGGCTCAACACCCCCCAGCGACGTTTCCATTGATGGTAAGTGCGGAAGCAATGGGAAGACCTGCAAGAACTTGACTTTCGGAACCTGCTGCTCCAGCTCGGGCTTTTGCGGTTCTGAATCGGGACATTGCGGCAGTGGGTGCCAGAGCGGATTCGGTACCTGCACTGCTGGCAACGACAACGTATCAACCGACGGATCCTGTGGCAACAATGGGAAGACCTGTAAAGGGTCTTCGTTTGGCGAGTGCTGCTCACCTAGCGGATTCTGCGGAGGCACGAAAAGCCATTGCGGCCCGGGCTGTCAGTCAACCTTTGGAACTTGCGATGCCTCCTCGAGTAATGTCTCGACGGATGGCACCTGTGGAAAGAATGGCAAGACATGCAAGGGGTCTGGTTTTGGGGACTGTTGTAGTTCCTCGGGATTCTGTGGCTCATCCACCAGCCACTGCTCTGTTGGCTGTCAACTGGACTTTGGAACCTGTGATGCCTCTGCTGGTACCATCTCCACAGACGGTACTTGTGGCAAGAATGGCAAGATATGCAAGGGTTCCGGGTTTGGTGACTGCTGCTCATCTTCAGGCTTCTGTGGCAGCTCCAGCGATCATTGTGGAACAGGCTGTCAAACTACGTTCGGCACTTGCAATGCTGGCTCTGGCAGCATTTCCACCGACGGTTCTTGTGGTAAGAATGGGAAAACATGCAAAGGGTCAACATTTGGCGACTGTTGCAGTTCCTCGGGCTATTGTGGCGGTACGAGCGATCACTGTGGCTCAGGTTGCCAGGCCTCGTTTGGTACGTGCAACAGTGGTTCCGGAAGCATTTCCACGGATGGGTCTTGCGGGAAGAACGGCAAGACCTGCAAGGGATCAGCTTTCGGTGATTGTTGCAGCTCATCTGGGTACTGTGGAGGCACCAGTGACCACTGTGGAACAGGCTGCCAGGGCTCTTTCGGCACATGCAACACTGGCTCGGGCGCAGTATCTACTGATGGAGCTTGTGGCAAGAATGGAAGAATCTGTAAGGGATCAACTTACGGAGACTGCTGTTCTTCTAGTGGCTATTGTGGCAAGTCGACTGATCACTGCGGTGCTGGCTGCCAGTCTGCATTTGGGACGTGTAGCAGTGGCTCATGGGCCATCTCGACTAATGGAGCCTGCTCGACAAACGGCAAGACTTGTAAGGGCTCAACCTTCGGCGATTGCTGTAGTGCTTCGAATTACTGTGGTAAGACGACTGCTCATTGCGGGCCTGGATGGTAAGTTATTTCCCATAACGTGAAATACCTGAGAAACTAGTATTAATCCTTGAACAGTCAAAAGTCATTCGGAACTTGCTCGTAGGAGCCATGAGATCGGATCGAAAGCTGCCACGTGACGTCTGGTTTACCTGTGTTGTGGTTTCCGTACCCATTCATGTATCATATTTATGTGTATTGCATTAGCAGAGTTCTAGGCAGTCATCGGCAAAACTCATCATTTGCTTTGAACATAGAGGATGGAGCCAGCCAATCTAAAAGGCATGATGCGCCTAGAAAGCAAAAATGTGAACTCTACCGACTTTCCGGGGACTGAACGACATGCGTTGCCTCGATGCCGATCACAACCTTATGTATAACTGCGTGGCATAATAGTCTGTCAGCATCTTGGTAACACTCATAAGGCTGCAGGGCCAGATACCAATGACAAACTGAATCTTTCTCAGGTATGTACATATCCACCAATTACCCGGTCCCATCGTCCCAGACATTTACGAGGGCAACACTCCCGCCACGGCATGTCTTGATTCTCCGGCTGCCCCTTTTGAGTCTGCCCCGGCAGGTGCGCGATCTCATTTGCACGACTTTATTCCGGTCATTGGTATTCGATGCCATTGACCCGCAATATGGCGTTGAAGACTGCGCTTGCGACCCGCGCCTGGCCTTTTTCCGCGTCTGCCGGCAGATTTAGCGTCATGGAAATTCGGTACTACTAGCTACCTCGGTCCAATCAAAGTCATATCCATCGTGATATTAAGTACCGTTGCGTTGAAGATTTGTCGTGATCACTTGCATGCATTCTGAGGCACCTCGGTACTGACACCCAGGGAAGTTCATCGGTGGCTCTCGGGGCCAAAGGGATGGGCAGACAATCATCAGCCCCCCGGCCCCTGAATGCCCCGAACTGACCGGTCCTGGACAGGGGGCCGCCGCGGAGGTGGCCGAATACGGATACCCCCTGGCTACTTGCATGTAACCTTCTTCCTATTTAGTGGGGCTATATTGATGGCTCGGTCTTCTTCCTGCACGGTTGTTAAGATCCTGGCCACGTGGTTGCCCCATCTATATTAAGGCCCAGATCTGGGCACTCTAGAAGAGACAACTTTACCTTCAGAATCGTTGCAATGGGATTTACCTAGTGTTCCGAGGTTGACGCACATTCGCATGAGCTGGAGTCTTTATGTGAATAGCTCTTTTGCGCTTCCTCAGACCCCTCCAAGCTTGCTGGTGTCTCCTCGCTTATCCCATCGAGTACGGCGTGGCGTCAGTACAAACGCGCGCGAAATTCTAGCCAACCGGACGTGAATCCGAATTATGGCCGTTAATCCCGCGAACGAAAACACTTAAAAAGAGTTGTTTTGGAGAAAACTGGGGAACGGATGTACTGACGCCATGCCGCACTCGATGGGATAACAGGGCGCATCCATGGTACTTGAGCATTAATTCCTAAGGAACCTCGCCTGTTCGATGTATTAGGGAACATGTTCCCTAGGTGCTATCTTATCAGCTGAAGACAGAACCTCGCCGCCTCCTGAGTGTAGTTTTGATTGTCTGCACGACCGGAGCGGCACTCGCTTGCAGATTACCTCCCGCCCTCGTCCGATGTGGCCCTTGACTTGATCTGGTTTCCTTTTTTTGTGTAACACCGCCTGGCTGGACAGCCAGCGGGTTATCCTTGCCAGCATGGAGTGTTAAGTCCGGAGCGGAAATCACGAAGGCTTAGGTTAGGTCGCGTGCTAATGATACCCTGCTCTTCCTGCAGGGTGTCTCGGCGAGCAGGCATGCTGTTGCTACCGCACCTATCACCGATCACCCCCTTAAAGTTTTCCACCAGTTGTTTTCGAGGTCTGGGAGCCTCGCGAGGTCAACTCTGTTCTTGGCCCATTCGGAGCGTTTCCGACTTAGACCTGCATGGTATCCGCCTCTGAGCCAATCTTGCGTTGGATGAAACAAGGGCCCTCAGTCCGTAATTGCAGGTAGGTTCAATTGTTGAACTTATTGTTCCAAGCCTTGTCCCGTCCCGAGGCCCCTCGAAAGGAGCCCGCTGTTGGCCAGAAGCAATTGTCGCCTCGCGAGGAAGGGAGGGAAAAGACACACTAAAGGATGTATAAAGGGGACATTGCCAACCGACGATTTGTCCCAGCGATTGTCATTCTGCACTGCGATTTCTCCTACCCCTGCACGAGGAACATCTGCACACATCTAATCAACAACCGGAAGAACTTTGCAATGTTCTTCTCACCCCGACTCGCCGTCGTCGGCCTGCTGGCAGTAGCCACCTCAGCCTTGACCTTGGAGCCAAGACAGAACGTCGCCCCTGGCCCCGTCTCCGGTGATACTTTCATCCACGACCCGACAATAACTAAAACCCCGAGTGGCACATATCTGGCCGCATTCACGGCCGACGGCGTGGGACTGAAGACGTCCACCGACCGGACCAACTGGAAGGACGCCGGCGCTGCTTTCCCCAACGGTGCGTCATGGACAACCAAGTACACCAACGGCGAGAAGAACCTCTGGGCGCCTGATCTGTCGTACCACGACGGCAAATACTTCCTCTACTACTCCGCCTCGAGCTTCGGAACCAGCAAGTCAGCCATCTTCCTCGCTACGAGTACCACTGGTGCATCCGGCTCGTGGACCAATCAAGGTCTGGTCATCGAGTCTACGGCGACCAGCGGGTACAATGCTATCGACCCCAACCTGATCATCGATGCCGAGGGCAGGTGGTGGATGTCTTTTGGCTCATTCTTCGGCGGCCTTAAGATGGTGGAGCTGTCTAGCAGTACCGGCAAGCTCAAGAACAGCAACATCATTTCGATTGCTACCCGCCCCGACAACTCTGAGAATGCCATCGAAGCGCCCTTTATCACCCGCAGCGGCAACTACTACTACCTTTGGGTCTCTTTCGACCGCTGCTGCAAGGGCGCTGATTCTACCTACCGCATCATGGTCGGCCGCTCTACCAGTGTCACTGGCCCCTACGTTGATAAGGATGGCAAGCAGATGATGCAGGGCGGAGGCACTCGGGTCATGTCCAGCCACGGCTCCGTTCACGGACCCGGCCACAACGCCGTGTTCACCGACAACGACGCCGACGTCCTGGTCTACCACTACTACAACGATGCCGGCACTGCGCAGCTCGGCCTCAACCTCATCCGCTACAGCAGCGGCTGGCCGGTCGTGTACTAAGACGTATACTATTCGCTCAGCCAATTCAGGAATCGCGCAGAGACGACAGGGTAGATGATGGGCTGACGTGCATCTGAGACCTCTCCATACATATGAAGCGCAGTTTTTCTGCGTGTCTGCACTGGTTTCAGACATTTATTTCGATTGTATCTACTTGTTTACACTGTATCTACTTATCTCCATTGTATCTACCCCTTTCGACTGTATCTACTTATTTCCGTTGTATATACTTATCTCGGCTGTCGTCGCATTTTGCGATTTCAGTCGGCTACTTACTGTAGAAAGAAATATGAGCGTGTTCAAGAGATTTAACGGTTTTACATGCTGGATGCGGATGGCGGAACTCTCGGGGTCCGACAACCTTGAACTAAAACAGTTCTCGGGTGCACTCGGGCACTGTTGTTGTACACCTCAGGCATTTGCTTTGGCTTCTCAATTGCCGCCCATATAACTCAATGATTTAGCCGCTGAACATGTCCAAAGCGCGTTGCCTTTTTTCTTGGAGTCGGTATGTCGTCTAGTCATGACGTAAAAGTTTCGCAGGTATGCAAAATCCCTATCCAATAGTGCTACTTCACGAATAGCGGGCTAACTCTAGCCCAGGCAGCGGCATGCGCGGCAATAAGCGTTGACGTCTTGCTGCATCCACTGGATACTCTTAATCACCCGCATGCAATCCCCAATCTACAAGACGCAGTACAAGGCAGTCAATGGCTCGTTCAATCGAACATTTTTTCGTGGACTCTACCAGGGGTTTGGGCCCACAATCATCACTGGAATACCTTCATCAGCGGCGTTCTTCACCATATATGAAAGACTAAAGGCGGTATCTCAAGATGCGAAGTCAGCAGGGTATTTCCTTCATGGACTTAGTAGCGCGGTAGCAGACCTCGTGAGCTGTGCCATCATCAACCCCGCCGAGGTGTTGAAGCAGAATGCGCAGATGCATGGAGGTGATACCCTTAAGCCTGTCAACCCACGGCAGTCCCCAACGCTTCTCGCTGTAAAGCATTTCGCGAGAAATCCAGGGAGACTATGGGCCGGGTATACAGCTTTGGCGGCGAGTCATCTGCCTGCAACTAGCCTAAGCTTCGGTCTATATGAGTTGCTGAGAGAAAGGTTGCTTGGCGAGGCTCCGCGTCAGCAACTCGAAGCCAGCGCATCTCGCCAAGTAGCCGTGAGCACATTCAGTGGAGCTCTCGCCGGCGGCTTTGCGTGCACGCTCTTCGTGCCTGTTGATGTTGTGAAGACGCGAATGAGGCTTGCTGCTGGGAACACGGTATCCAGTGACCACCAATACCATCAAAACCCGACGATAGACCCAGGGGCGAAGTTGCCAAATACGATTCGGCCTCGACCGCGCCTTGGCCCTCTGGATGTAGCAAATGGCATCTTTCGGAAGGAGGGCATTTTTGGCTTGTTTAGAGGCGGCACTCTGAGCTTCTTGGCGTCAGCGTTAGGTTGCGGACTCTATCTAGGCTCGTATGAGGCTTGCATTCTGTTCTTGTGACAACCGGAACTTGAAAGGGAACTGCTCATCACTATGCAAAGCACCCTGGGTGTATGATTATGTTAGAAAAGGACGCTTCCTACTCAGTTTTATGGTACCTCGTATCACTGTCAAACGTGGATCATGCAGGGAGTGGCCTAAATGTGAGTTAGTGCACTGTGATCTGGGTTCCACGCAAAGACACTTCATTCTTGATTCGGAGAAGATATTAGATTTCCACTTCCGTTATATGCTTTGGTCGTACGTGTCAAGTTTCGGCCCTGGGTAAGGTAACCTCTGGTCCCATCTGTTCTTCACCCCAGCCCTCCCGACGATCTCTTGGTATTCTGACAAACGCCAGAGACAGTACTATGGCCACCCCGGCCATCCCCATACCAAGGTGAAGGCCATTTCTATACCCTCGGGCCAGATATTTGCCATTGTTGTTTGTGTAGTGCTCCACCGTGCCAGCAAAGCCCAACCCAGTTGCTAATCCGTACGATAGAATCGTCCCAATGAGAGATCCTGCGAGCCCCTGTTGATCCCGCCGGACTGTTCCACTTGCGATGAGTTGAGACGCTGTGAAGACGAAATCAGGCCCCAGCGACCCGAGAAGAATTGCAGGAAATGCCTGAGCCCAGTAGGTTTGCTGGACTGGCATTGTTGCCACGAGGAGAAGGGACACGAGTGTCGCCGTGGAACCGATGGCCAAGATATATTGCGCAGCCAAGTGTCTTACAACCTTTGCGCTGAGAAGTGCTGCCCCTGCACCACCGACTGCTAAGGGAGCGTATGTGGCGGCGTTACGAAGCATTGTGTAGCCCCTCAATTCGGCCTGCCATGCAGTCAAATACCAAATGAGCATGCCAAATCCCATAAAGGATACAAAAGACGACACAATCATCATGCTGAACGACGGTGACCCCCAAATATTCATTGGCATGATGGGCTCGGCCGCAAATCTCACTTCCCAGATAACGAAGCCAGCCATGTGGAGAATCGACGCAATGAGAAGCGCATAGATGTATGGGACGGACCAGCCCACAAGAGCGGATTGACTGAGTCCCGAATGTGAGATTACCATGCAGCTGTAGGGGTAGAGAGACTTGACTCACGTCCACACGAAATTGAAGAGAATCAGGCCGGACACGCCTAGGTACGCTCCAATGTAGTCGACATTGCCCAGAGGATCCATCGGTGTGGGCTCACCAGGCACAATTATGATAAACAGGCCAAAACTGACGCTTCCCAGGAGAGCTCTGTTGAATCCCTCGGTTAGAGATGTGAATTCCACTGCAGGGCATCAAGATCAAAACTCACAAGAAGAAAAATAGCCACCACCATTGGGTCAGTTGGCCAAATAAAGCGGGAAATACACTCCCACCCGCAGCGCCAATTGGCGCCATGGCGCCGAACAACCCAACTGAAATGTTGCGAGCCTTGTCAGGTGGGTTTGTTATTGTGAGGAGAGCAACGGCATTCGGAAAGACGAACGCAGCTCCTACGCCGCTAAGTGCACGCAAGATACTCAAAGATATGATGCTGCGCATGAAAAGATATAAGATGGAAAATTACCCAGAGTATGCCGCCAGCGGCAGCAGTCTTCTTGTGACCGTAGACTGCACCAACACGCCCTCCCATAAGGACAAACGTTCCTTGAGTAAGACTGTGACTAAAGGTCAGCTCTCAATTGTTTGGGTGGCCGGTCATGTAAACACGTACGGATAAGATGCTATAATCCATATGGCAAAAGCTGGTGACACGCCGAGCTCCTTAGCCATGTTCAGACCGCCGTTGATGCCTGCGCCCAGGGGAATCGTCTGTTGAAATTCAGCTCTAATGCCCACGAGAGGGCTGTCAGGCAATGCACATACCTGAATGAACTGGCATAGAATAATGCAGGCCGAAGCAGCAGCTTGGCACCATTTTCCATGAGCTTTGCTGACTGATTCACTGTAGTTTTCCTGAGGCCTCGTTGTCGCACTCTTCCGCTCATTGTTGTCTGCCATCTCTGCAAGTCTCAAGGCAGCTTATGCTGTCTGATCATCTGGCTTCTCTCATATGGTAGGCCGTCCAAATTTACTGGAAAGGCTGAATGTGGACAACTGCCGCGCTCCATATTTCAATTTGATCACTTAGCGGTCGACCCGGGAGTTGGATAAGCAAAAGAGTACACATGGCTGAATGATATAATTCGACATAATTCCTAAACCATTTACTAATCAGCATGAAGCATAGCTATTCTATTTCAAAACCAAATTATTCATGGGGAGCGCGAAACTATCGGGTCGTGCCGAGAAAATGACAAAACATGGACAAGTGTTTAATCACCTTACGGAGACGTTGACAACTCAATCAATATCTGAATATAATTTTGTTCACCATGGTAGACTCATACAAAAGAGGGCGTGTCAACTAGTGAAACATCCCAACCTCTCACTTCAAATACCTACCCAAAGTTATCAGGGCTTCAAGTCAACATGGATACTCTCATTCAGAAGCAATTGATCAGCTCGCGATCTTTGCAGTATAATTACTACACATCACCTAACCTGAACGATTCCACTGCCGACCCCGTTCTCGTTCTCTTCCATGGATTCCCCGATTCAGCGTCTGTATGGGCGCCAGTTGTTACACTTCTCGTCGCCGTTGGTTTCCGGCTCATGATACCAGATTTGCTTGGGTATGCTGGCACGTCTAAGCCATGGAACGTCTCATTCTTTAATTCTAGCGCTATGGCGAACGACATCATAGAGATACTCGACCAGGAGGGTGTCGCCAACTTCGTGTCCGTTGGCCATGACTGGGGAGCTTTCATGGCACACCGAATGTACTTGTGGCACCCTGAACGCGTCAATGCTCTCGTCGTGGGGGCATATAATTACGAACACGTGGCAAGAACGCCAATCAACATCAACATGGAGGCCGAAAAGTTTGAACGACAACTGGGATGGCCATTCAAATACTATTACAAGTTTCTCGCCAGTTCCGACGCACCGAGTCTGTTGTCCGGCCATCCTGAGAGTTTCTATGCTGCTGGGCACGGAGAGAACAACGCCATGAATGAGACCTTTGGCCGGCGAGATGGTCTTGTCGACTGGCTCTCTGCTGACAAACGGAGAAAGCTGCAGTCATATGCCAATGACCCCGCAGCTATGAGTGCCGCCAGGGATAACTTCCAGGCCGCCGGATTTACATCGCCGTTGATGTGGTACCGCGCCCTAGTGGAGAACGTACATATGGAGGTGGAGAAGAACCTCGCAGCCGATGCAGACAACATTCGGGTACCTTTCTTGCATATGGGCGGCTCGAGGGATCCCGTTTGTCCTCCGGCAATCTTTGACAGCCTAGAATTGCGCGCTTATTTCTCGGACTTCACGAGTGAAGTCTTCGAATGCGGTCACTTCCTCCCATCCGAAAAGCCCAAGGAGATTGCAGAGACCATGATAGAGTGGTTGAAGTCAAGAGGAATTGCACCACAGTGAATGAAAGTTCGAATTACCTTGGAAAGGGTAGATGTGTAGAGTAGGGGGGCGCCAGGCAGACATCGACGTCTACAGCCATAGATGATATCTTGATTTGTGAACAGCCCCACTCCAGAAAGCAATACAAATGTCTACGCATCTTCGCGTTCAAGTAAGCCTCGGCTCTTATTATATAATTCTACCGCTCGTGCCCCAAGTTTGGCTTTGCAAACGTTTGCTCACTAATCACAAAATCGACTTCGATATGACGGTTCTGTGCGGCTTTGGTAAGAAGCATTTGTCATCAGCTCACGCCCTAAACTTGTCATTTCAGCAATCACGGTACAGGCGTCTTACATAAACCAACCATACCATGATACGTTGATACGTTCAATACCAAACTCCGGGTCCCAAATCGCCTGTCCAAGGCACATACTGAACAGAGTCTGACATACTACCTTTGTATTTCAATGCGACCTTTGCAATTCAATGCGCTCAATCATTGAGATGGAGAGCGAAAAGAAAGCTATCTCTGCATACCGCCTTCAAACAGGTAGACGTGGCCGCCCACGGAAAGAGCCATCGAAGAGCATGCAGTTGAATGCAAGTTTGCTGCATTGGCCTCCACCTGCTAGAAAGTGTCACGTAGCTAATCTGAATAGAGTCGCCGTGAAAGAAACCGCATTGCCCAGAATACCTTTCGGCTTCGACAAAAGGCTACAGAAAAGGAAAGACAAAAGGAGGTCGAGCAGCTCGAGCGAATGATCGACTATGTTGTGTCAACATTCTCTAGCTTCGCCGAAAATGTGGTAGAGTCGTCATGGGCTCGAAGGGACACAGAGTTGATTGATAAACTGCGGCAATCAATGCAGAACATTCGCACCATCCTCAGCTATGGTGATGGAGTGCCACCGCCTGATGTACCGCAACGAGATGCATCGGGAGACTTGACTAGTGCCCCACAGAAAGAAATGCCGTCGGGTGAATCGAATGATGAGACGATGCAGCATAATCCGATAGGCCTCGAGGCTGATGCATCAACTGAGTGGCGTGGGAGGAAGTACACGGAGGCACCAAAAGTTGCAGAAGGTGGCCCCCATGTGAACCACACGCACTTTATTGCGAACCATCACTTGAAACATCCTCACGAGCAGGATACTCATTCTGACATCGAAGCGAACATATTCGGTAACGGCTGGATGATGCTCTTGCCGCCGATGGCGAATATCTCGAGCCATGAATTTTCCCAAAGAAAGGCCCTCGACAGTCCCTTTAGCCTCCAGGTTGCGCTTACAGCTTTGAGAGCTGGATACGACACGCTTCTTGAAACTAAGGATACGACTCAGGCAGCAATCCAGCAAACATTCGGACACGTGTTACAGTTTCGTACTCGGGAGGAAATACTCTTCAATCTCCGATGGTATCTCGGACCAGGGATCGGTGAAATTGATCAGGTGGCACTGGTTTCATTCAACAATCGTTCGGCTTCACAATTCGAGAAACACATACTACGGAACTACATTCCGGATAAACAAAACGAGGGGGAATCAGGAGGTACTGGGAACCCCAATGGCGACGAGGAGCAACCGGTATGCAATGCCAACGACGTTGCAAAATGGATACGGCAAAGAACGGTGATGGAAGTGGACGATGACACCCTGGAGTTGAACCTAAATCCTAGCTCAGCCAAGTCAAAGGCGATCAAGGAAGCCGCAACGTACATGAGCCATGGTCTGCTTCGCCTTCCAGACTCTTCGTCCGATGAATCGGGCGATGAGGATGCTTGGATGAAACAACCTGTCTTCATGTCAAAATCACTTTTTCTGAGAGCTATATCCAACGCTGCCTTCTGTCTCTATCTTGGGCCTGCGTTCGGGAAATTGAAGCTAGAGGATGTGGTAAAGGTGTCTATGGTCACACCTTGAAGTAGCTTTCGCCTGGTGGGAATTGGACAGCTTATAAGGATTGTGGTGAACCTTCAACGTTTGGTAAGAGGCATTCAGCCTGTTCTTAGAATCTGAAGATACATTCTTGTTACTGATTGAGTACTTCTAAGCTTTTTGCAATCAAGACTGCGTCGGATTCTCTGGGAAAGCATGTATCGGGCCAACAGGGACAAGTCAAATAGCGGCCCAACTGTGGCGCACTGGCGATTGCAAAACTATGAGAAGGAGAAGAAGTTCAAACAGCTTTGATCATGATTAGTTCGCGGAGCCCTGTGATAGCTGAGGTGGTCACCACCACTGGAGAATTTGCAGATTAGGCTACTAAAGACATTGCATGCTTTGTTGACGTATCGTAGTATGGAAGCAAGGGGATGCACTAAATCTTTTCAACGTCTCTGAAAGTCACGTTAACTGATAATTGTTACTTCATTGAATCTGGGAGAAAATGGCCATACGAGATATTTGTTTCGCAGCTTGGTGGTCGACTGGCTTTCGTGCTTCTGACCACCTCTGCCGTTATCACAGTATTCTCACCCTCAGATTTGATTGAGACTATTCGCCTGTAGTAGCAGAGGGCTACGAGCCTCCTACACATGCGCGTGATAGTTCACGAACTGGTACCTACAGCACAGTTTTCGTAATGCCAGCCGACTGAGCCTTTGAGTCAAGGGGAAAACGCGGTTTCTTGATCGAGAAACCGTGGGCATGGGCATCAACACGTCAGAGAGCTATAATTACGCTTGGCTCTGAAGAGGTCTTAATTTACTATCGTTAGCCTCTCTGACAATTTTCTTCTTGGACATCGCAGCCCGGTTAATACCTAGTCTCCTTGATGTCATCACTTGATACCGCACATTGGTTTCTTAAGTGTAATAAATTAACCAAAATCACGGATCGAATGACTGAAACAAGTCCGGAATCGAATATCATTAGATCAGTGGCAGCAATGGATTAGACAAGACATAGTGTCTCTGTCTTCAACTTTCCACCTTTGATGTTCTCCACTAGCTCCCCCATCATGTAGCCTTCCACGAAGCATCCGCCGACAACCTCGTACGCGCCACCCGAGCCACTGGGTCGAAGAACTACTGGGGTATCGCAATTGTAGATGACAGCGATCTTGTCACCGGGCAATGCGTGCCTGGTAACCGACCCAATGAATCCGTTTCCAGTTTGGAAAAGTCGTCGCCAGTTGAGCAATACGGCTGTTTTGATCATGGCATCCGAGAACTTGCGCACATCCTTGCAGTATTCTTCTCGGGAAGTGAAGAAGTTCTTCAAGGGAATTCCCTGAAATTCGAATGACTCGTTGACATGCAGAACGCGACTGAAAACCTCTCGGTTGCTTTGAGATTTGAAAAGTTCGGTCCACGGGATGCCTCGGTGAGACAACTCAGCTTCATTATGAGTTTTCCAGTCATAGATCCCAAACTGATCAACATTGAGTCGGATATCTGGATCGAAACTGAAATCATCTGGGCAGACTTCAATTCTATGAAGCTCATCAGGTTCTATCCATGGCACTTCTAGAACCGATGGCCTTTCCCCAAATTCGAAAGTGCTGTCGTATTGCAGGACACGAGCGAGTGCGAGTCTTGAATTCGTGTTCGATACCGTGTTCGATGAAATGGGAAATGGTTTTGAGTGGAGGTGAGGATCAAAATTTTGGGCTGGTGTCGCCTTCATTTGACCTGGGGATCTGAAGGACGTAATGGCACCGACCGTGTCGACGAATGCGCCTCTGCAAAAGAGCAGACTGCCGTCGTCCGAAAATTCGAACGTTTCTTCCAAGCCCTTGTTGCTTTCAAAAGTGTGCACAGCATCGTGTGGAACTGGGCCCACATCTTCGCCATCAATCGGGCCGACCCACTTCTCAGAGTCATCGGGCCTGAAGGTTGATAATCGGTATTTTGACCCCGGCGTGGATAGATCGAATGCCCATGTTGGAATAAGAGAATCACCCAACGCTCTGCCAGCTACTCTTGCCAACATATTGAGATTTCCCTCCCCTTCATAACAGCTTTTCGCAAACATTGTCCAGCAGGACCTCCAGGTAAAGCTTGGACGGTAATCTGGCTTGATACGATTCAAAACTGGCGAAGGCAGAAAAGCGAGAAGCCCATATACTTTGTCTCGGAGATCAGTAGCATGCGAGTTTCTTGCTTCGGTTATCGACTCGAGGACTGGCTTTTCCCCCGCATGAATGCTATTTCCGTCGTCGTCACACCGGAGCGATTCAATTCTGGCAACAACATTCAATGCGCCAAATATCGAGGCCAGCAATCTGTCTTCACCAAAATGGCGAATTAGTTTCCTGAAAGATCCGCCAAAGTCCCATAAGCGAGGTGCTTGGAATACTCGGAGTTCTTTGGGCGTAAAGTACTGATCCCCGTACCAGAAGACTAATGAAGACCCGAGCGCAACTTCTTGAATGATCCAGAGCCGCTGCCAGTAGGGAACTTGTGACAGCTCTTCGATGAATGTCCACAGAGAGTACGCGTTGTCCTCGACTTCTGCTATTAACTCTGTGAATCTTCTCGAAGTCTCCATTTCCGATCGGTAATGCGTACTTTCTGAATTTTTAATTTCCAGAATTGTCGATGATTGATTGTCGGAAGCAAAAGCAACGTCCAGTAACTCCCGCACACGAGGTAACTCAGCAGCAACATCAGGCGAAGGAGTTCCAAGCCAGGCTCTCACAGCGAGAGCTTCCGTGTAGATCAGTTCCATCTTCTGAACTTCAGTCGCTCTCTCGTCGAGATCATCTTGGTTGATGCAAATTGCGTCTATCCAGATTTTCAATTCCCGAGACTTTACTTCAAAAGAGGTCCGAAGGCTCTGAAGAGCTTCGTGGAGGCTGGGTCCCACCTCAAAGGGCGAACCGTTGATGAAGATTGTCTTTTTGTGGGTTTGGTCCCCCCACACATAGCTGAGCGCTACAAAATCTCCCCAGTTGTAGTGGCTGTCAAGATCCTCAAACCTTTGCAGTGGCTTATCGCAAAACCCGTGCAAGAGGACGTTTCTTTTAATATTTTCCGGTGCGATCAATAGGAGCATTTCTTTGAGAGGTACTCCATTGCGAATAGCGACGTTATAGAGATTCCACTGAATATGACGAGTGCGGCCCTTGATGAGTCGAAAGCCATTTCCCATCTGTGGTAAGATGTCCCGAAAAGACTGGTATTTAGATGTCCAGTCTGTCAGACAAACCTCATCCAAAGAACATGAAATAGGCATGTCCGAAGAGTCCCCGTCGCTGAGAGGTTGGATTGTTAGAAGCCGTATGTTCTTGCTGCCTAATGGCTTGTAAAGTTTTGCGGGTCTGTTGACGTTGACAGGAGCTTTCTTTGGCAGCTCAGTACCCTTCTCCAACGAACAAGCGCTCAATTTTTCATCCTCTAGATTCGAAGATGTGAGTGAAGATGAAGGTGGTGTTGTAAAAGGCAGTTCAGTTGGTGAGTTGGTCGAAAACCGTAATGCTGTGGACATTGCATTGTTGTCATCAGTGGACGTTCGGACGCGGAATGCTAAGAATATGCTCAGATATATTATTCTCGAAGTAGCACACTAGATATCAAATTTCTTACCTGGCTCTGCATTATCGCCTGCGCCATCTTCCAAAGGTGAGCCATGCTGTCTTTGGGTGCGGAGCTCGTCCGCCTCAAAATCCTGCATCTTGCGCAGTGTTGCTGGGTCGGAGCTTTTTGCGAAACTTCTGATGGCAGCAATAGAAGCCTTGGTAGCGGTTGGCCGTGTCCTCTCTAGCGCTTTCTCGAAGACTGCGCGATTGAGCAGTCTCTTCTTCCCCTGCCCTTCATTCTCAACAAAGGTGTCACACATGATTGCCGCTTGAACACACATATTTCGGATATCCGAGCCGGAATAGTGATGTGTCATGAACGCCAACGTTTTGCTATTGACATCCGAGTCAAGAATTTCCTCCCTCAGGAAGATGTCAAAAAGCTTTATTCTGAGGGCTGTGGAAGGAAGCCCGAGATAAAGATGAGTGGGAACCCGACGGAGAACAGCAGGATCCAGGTTGCTCGGATGATTGGTAGAAAGAAGAACGAAGGGCGTTGCCGCTGATTTTGTCATGCCGTCCATTTCCGCTAGCATCTGGTTGATGTTGTTTCGCCTCCAATCCATTTGAGTGTCGGAGTTCCTGGATGCAAACAAGGAGTCTGCTTCGTCTATGAAGATGACGCTTGGCGCCAAGAGTTTTCCAAGGTTGAAAAGCCCGCGAATTGCTTTTGGCATCTCACCGGCCCATTTATTCTCGATGTCGGCAGAAGACGCACAAATAACAACCAATTCTGGCTGGCAAGCTAATACACGTGCTAGTTGTGTCTTACCAGTTCCCGGTGGTCCGTAGAGGAGCGCTCCACCAGTATTACCCGATTTCAAAATCCCGTAAGATGTTGAAGGCTTAGCCAGATCCATGTGGTGCGCGATCACGTCGCAGATCTCACGTTCCGTTTGCGGGTCAATTGCAATATCGGACCAGCCTTTCTCCACCTCACTCGGGTCAACGAGGAGATCCAGAAATCTTTGCTCCCAGTAGAAGCGGTCATTGATGTCCCGGGGGTCAGCGCGTTCGATCTCGTGAATCTTCTCATGTATGCGCGAAGGAAAGTTTGACCATTTATCGTTCGGAGGAGAATCATTGATGTCCGACTCGACGTTTGCTTGGCCGTAGCATTCACTGTATTCGTGGTAGTAGTACCCGTCCCAGGCCTCCAAAGCCTTTTCTCTGGCTTCCATGCGCAGGACGGCCCTCTGAATCCGATTCTCATCGACTTTGCGCCCAATCAGCTACTCAACGCCTTCAATTTGAGAACTCGTAAGTTCAGCTCGTGCGAGATATGCTGCAGCATCTGGATGGCCTTCCAGAAACGACCAATCGGCGTAGGGTTCGAGCAGAGGAAGAACGAAGTCTTTGTGGACTCTTCGTTGGATAGTTCTCTGTAAAGTCCTGATGTTGCGGGCTCGTAGCTCGAGCTCACTATCCTTCTTCATGATTGCCTCCTGAGACTTCGAGCGCAATGGCGTTACCAGCACATAATCTGCCTTGTCAGCGTCGTTTATGGTGCAAAACCGATAGAGCGACTTACCAGGCAAACAATAATCCTCATAGTCGTAATACCCAAATGAAGACGAAGAAGCCTTTTCAGTAGAAACTATGACCAGGACGCTGAAACCATTTGCAGGTCTTACAATAAACTGCTGCAATTCCGAATGAAGACGCTTATCCAAGTCACAGATGCCTATGAACAAATGAATTATCAAGGGTGGCTTCTCTTGAGCATTGCTAGCGGCGAGGTAGTGTAGGCGCTTAGCTGCCGGCGTGTTGAGAATCGCGGAGAAGGGCAAGGTTGCCTTAGGACGATGTATGTCAGTTGAAGTTGTCCAATAGAAGTGACAGTAGAAAAGAACCAAAGTACATTCAGAAGGACGGAGTCTTCCAAAACACTCACCTCACTCAACGCAGGACCATGTGAGAGCTCTTCCAAAGCCTGGGAAGTGTCCTGATTAATGCCAGGGTCGGGTTTGTCTATCTGGCCGTCACATTTGCCTTCCGAAACCTCGCTACCACATTTCGATGGTGCTGAACTGACGGGTCTGTCAAAAAGAAAAGATAGGCAGCCCATACGCTCTGAACCCTTCTCGGTCTGTCTCAAGTAGTCCGCCAGATCTTCAAGATCGTTTTGCTTCAGGGTAATGAGATCTGCACCCACAGCCTTGGCAAAATGACGGACAACCGATTGAAGAAATCTAGTTTTCCCATGAGGGGCTTGAGCAGAAGCTTGCAGTTGCATAACATCTGTCATGAAATACTTTTCATTGCTTTTGGTTGCTTCATTTTGAGTGCTCTTTTCCGAAGGATCTGTGTCGACAACTCCTAGCAGAGGTTCGAATAGAATCGAAGCCATCTCGTATGCTGGTGAAACTTTGTGACGATTGGACAACTCCTCTTTGTCCGCAGATGAATGCTGTTTGACATTGGGCAAGTAGAGCTCTTTGAGAATCAAAGCATCCGGAACATCTTTCCACTCCTCGCACGTGGTCACACAGTGTTTCATAAACCAAGGCGGAAATTCTATGTTCGGTGGCTCATCTTGCAGTCAGCATCCATGTGATAATTTGAAGCTACCTAGGAATGGTCCTAGGCAGGAACATTGACTCTGAAGGTCTTACAGAAGGCTGCGTCTTATTATCCTCCTCATCAATGGCTTCAGCCTCAGAGATTGCGAGGGGTAAGGGCCTCGGACTCTCAGGGATCCCATGAGACCCAGGCTCATCATTGATGGTGCCTGCTTCACTTGTGGCTGTTTGGCCTTCAACGGTGCCGGCTACGCACTCTTGCCTCTGCTCCAGATTCCCTAGAGGAATAGTCGAGACGATTTCTTGTGGTTCAGGAGTTTCAAGAAGCCCGTCCTGAGCACGGTGCTGGAGCGACTCGGAAGTGATCGATGCCTGAGAAGAAGCGCTGTCGGCCATGAATGGCTCCCTCGCTACTTCGACGCCCTTTCCCGGGTGTGGCACATCGTTTTGAGTCTCACGTTTCTCGTTCGCGTGACTCTTATCGGCAGTGTGGCCGCCGGGCAACCCGCCTTCGTCCGCCGTGTAGGTCATTCTCTCCTGAATACGAGCTTCGGTCTTAGGCAGACAATGTCGAATTTGTGGGAAATGAAAGAAGGAGATTTTCCCAGTTCGAAGTGAATGGAAGTGACTGGGAAAGGAAAGAACATATAGATCAGGCTGGGGAGACGAGCAGAGAATTATGGGGCTATGACACCTTGGCGGTCCTGCGCTTTTTGGTCTAACTGGACGAAGTCCTCCTTTCGGGCTCACAATGGAGCCCTATAATCAGTCCCTCTCGTCCCAGTCCTCGTACCTGCGACAATTTGATTTGGCCGCAGACGTGCTCTCTATGGATTGGTTTCCGTCGTGGCTCAAAGCAGCTGAGACCCCTTCTTTCCCCACCCTGTTGCCAGCTGCATGATGGGTTGGACGTACAAGAAACACAGGACTGTACAGCCTGCTTCTGGAACCGCAGAATTGCATTTCGGTCTTTCCTCCGTGATTGCCGGTCAGCATACCAGAAACAGCACTCTCTCGACAGGCCCCAAGGGCCCACCCCACGTGCGCTGCAGAAACTCGATTGTTGAAGCGGCCCCTCACCAGCACTTGTGCCGGAACATCCTTCACCAGACGACTGGCTCTAACCTAGGAACTGTGCACAAGGCAAATTGCACAGAAAGTAATAGACGCAACTATTTGGGTCTAAGAATTCAACAATAGCGTAGCCTCACCTGTCTAGCTTGTGGGCTGGCGTTCGTATGTCGGGCACTATAGAGTGAGGATACATAGTGTCTCATCGCCTTTGATTTCCGCCCACTGGTATTGTAACCGTGGTAGATATTAGTCATTTTCGAATGACAATAGAATCTATCAGATAATTGGCCTTAGCTTGGGCCACGGCCTACGTGTCTTGCATTCCATCAAAATGACTGGACGCCACATGTGAGACAACACTGTGGCCGCAAAGTTTCTGCGTCCGACATCATACAGACCGTGTACATTCAATATAGCACAGCTCGATAATAGCAGCCCTCTTGACCCCGCGCTCTCTTCTCTAGCGTTCTTGCAGGACGATTGCATTCGAGACCCGGTCGCGACTGTCAGTTTCTTGACGAAATAATTCGTGAATCCATCTGTCAACCACGTGTTCGACGCAAAGAAATTCTCATACAATGACTGAGACTACCGAGCCCATCAAACACGTTCTTCCCCCTTGGGACTTGAAAGGAACATCCTACTTCTTCATGTTCTGGATTCCATCGGCACAGGCAAAGAAGCTTCCAATCGATGTTGTGTTTCCCCCACTCGAGGCTCAGTCCTCTTTCGCGCGCGCTTCAGACTCAGGATCACCACAGGGAGGGATCGGCACTATCCAGATCCACCGGTACGCGTCCAGCCCCGGGGGGCCTTACGATGAGTTCATCCTATCAACTGGATTGTACTCTTATCCAGTCGAGGAGAAAGGCAAACGGATGGAGAAGCGGAATATGCGAATCACTCGCATCTATGTGTCACAGAAGACGACATGCTGGAATGGTCGCAAAGGTGAGATCTGGTGATTCTTTTGCTGGTTGTCAGGGTGTAGATACTAAGCCGATATAGATTGGAGCATCCCAAAGCATCTTGCTCAATTCGAGTTCAATGAACTAGCTGGTGGTGGTACAGAGATCAAGATCTTCCCACACGATACCACGGGCGACGTTGCGGAGGCAGTTGCCGACAAGAAGCCTTTCTTCCGTACTGTGTACAAGCCGGTCAACTACTTACCGAGCTTTCCGTTGACGACGTCGCTGGTCAAGTTCCTCGGAGTTGACTTGACCCTCGTACAGCCTCCTTTGCCAGAGGGCAACGGCAGCCAAGGGGAGCTCGTCGGTACCGACCGATGGTGCAAGTTCTTTCCAACGATTTCAAGCTCAATGACGGAGGTTAGCTGGTTTGACATGAGACAGGAAGAGGATGCTAAGGAGACGAACTTCTGGCCGGGCCTCGGAAGATGGAGGCTCGGGATGATGATGAAGAATTCTGACATTTCATTTGGGGGCATGCAGTACTGGAATGCAGTGCAATCGGCACAATGACGGAGTTATTATTATCGAAGCCGTTTTGTTCCTCAAACTAGTCACGAATACACATGATTCTTTTTATCTTTCCGTTGTGAACATGCCAAGATGCAGCTCAAACACGATCAAGCTGCTCCACCAACTTCTCGTCCTTAGACACAGCAGCAGCAGCACCCTCCGAATCCTGCATGGCGTGGGGCACAAGCTGGTCACCGAACAGCTCGTCCATCTGCTCCAGAGTTCTACCCTTCGTCTCGGGGAAGAAGAAGATGTAGCACAGCATGGCAATCAGGTTGAAGACGAAGAACACGTAAAAGTACCTGAAGCCGATGGAGGTGAGGGCCTGCGGCGAGAACTGGGCAAAGACGAGGTTGACGGTCCAGTTGGTGAAGGTCGTGATGGCGTTTCCGAGCGCTCTGACCTCGACGGGGAAGATCTCGGCCGGGTAGACCCAGCTGATGATGCCGAGCGGGGTGTAGAACATGTTGAAGACGAAGTTCATGGCGACCATGCTGCGGAGCTGGTTCGTGTTGTTCTCGTTGATGTATTGGGCTTGTACGGCGTTGACCAGGAGGGACGCGCCAAGGCCGGCGGCGGAGACGATCAGCGGCTTGACTCTGCCGACGCGGTCGAGGAGCCACAGGCCGATGGTGCAGTAAACGATCGAAAGGGCACCGCTGATGCCGATGATCATCAGGGATTCTTGAGTTTTGATGCCGAGGATCTCGTAGATGCGGGGGCCGTAGTAATTGATAACGTTGATTCCACTAATATCCGTGTCAGCATACGTTTACACAGAGGTGAGCTCCTGAAGGGACTTTCATACCTGAGGGGCCCGAAAGCTTGGATTCCACAGCCCAAGAGAAGACGCTTGCGCCAGGACGCCTTTGTGATGATGGACTTCCACGATACATCACCAACAGCTCTATCAGCAAGAATGACGTCGCGGATCTCGCGGAACTCAAGGTCAATTGTCTCTTCGTCGAGGCCGCTTCGGAGTTTGTTCAGGGATGCGCGGGCTTCTTCATGGCGATCTCTCTCCATGAGCCATCGAGGCGATTCTTGCAAGAAGTATACGCCGGAGATGAGAATGATGCCGGGGACGCATTGGAAGGCAAGGGGGAATCTCCCTGTCAGAATGTTAGCAGGGTAATCTAGACGTATTGGGGTCTGACCAGGCACTGACAAGAGAACGCGGTGTGGTTGAAGGAGCAGCCGTATCCCAGCCACTGGGCGACGAAGAAACCCCAACTCAACATCCACTGCAGCAGTCCGGAGAGGACACCGCGGTACCTCGCCTCGGACAACTCGGAGGCGTACATCGGAATCGTCGAGGTAAGCTGGCCTACGGCTGCGCCTCCCAGGAAGCGGCCGATGATGAGCATCGTCATGTTCACGGAGCCTGCCTGCAGCGCGGAGCCGATGCACGACACGACAGAACCGACGAAGATGGTGTTTCGACGACCCATCCAGTTCGCGAACATCATGTTTATGATGGTGCCAAGAATCGCGCCTCCTTGGAAGGCCGACACGATGCCGCCAGTGACGGTATCTGATGGGTCGCTGAAATACTCCTTGAACGTGTCAAGCGCGATCGTGGACGTGATGATACCGGAGTCATAGCCAAAGAGGAAACCTCCTATGGCCAAAAAGACGGCCGAGAATACAGTGGTGAGACGCCCCATGGTGTTCGCAGTAGGGGTACCTGGAGTCGGCTCGACAATGTTGGGATAAGATGAACTGCAAAAGAAGCCTCGAAAGTCTCGCGATCAGACGAGGGTTCAAATACATTCCCAAAGGATAAAGGATTTTCAGAAAATTGCACTAGCTATAGAGACGAATAGACTCTTCGCCCGCGTACAAGCCCAGATCAAGGTGTCATCCCATCAGGTGGGGCTCTCTTCTTGTACTCGGCCGATCCTCCCCTGATCTTACAACCTCCAGAATCTGGGGGCAAACCTCCCCCACAACCACCCCATACTAAGCTGTATCTTTACCCCGACATTACCGAACTGGATGCTATGCTACTGCCAATGCCTACCGTGACTACGGTACTAGAGGATTCTATATTGTACTCATTCTGTGAGCTCTTCCGGTCCTGTGCAGCGGTATGTGGAGTTTACGAGGGGCCGAGTCCGGGACGGTGGGGTTTCTAGAACGGGCAGAGGACATTCTCAAATGTCCGGAAGAGTCTTGTTGGTTTAGTTCAACGGGCATTGCATTGGAATTCGCAAGCTCGAAAGAGGGACACTTCAATCGCGAAGACCCGATGAGCTGAGTACATTGAATATATGGTGGTGACGGCCCCGGATAACCCGGTCTCATCCCGGGATCTCCGCCAAACATCACGCTAGGACCAAACCTGTCAACAACGCGGCGAGAATCCCGCCTCCCATTCGATGACACTCTCACAAACCCCACCCGGCAACTGTGCTCGGCCAGATAGCGGACTCAAAGCCCAGCCTCCGAGTACCGAATTGCGATAATCCAACCCACCGGCTCTCCAAGACCTTGTCCACTCTCGGCGCAATGCGACCCAAGGGAATGGGAAACCAACAACGGTAGTGGTATGTTTCAGCCCCCGCCAGAGCCACCTTTTCGAGATAACAAAGCACCGAAACTCGGTCCTCTCGGGACATTGATGAGTTGAAGCCCTCGCCTGGCCTTGCTCTTTTTACACATCGTGAACTGTCTATCTGCGGAACTTGTCCGAAACATTGCGAGACTTTCGTACAAACCGTACACGCACTAGGCCGAGAACCAATACTTGAGCCGCTTGGACGGCCGTGAACTGTCTCGCTTGCCCAGCTCGTTATTGACGGCAACATATCGCCCTGGCCTTCAATACCCTGGTCATTCATGATGGAAGTAACGCGGTGCGGGATCCATGCCTTTCATGAGACCCTGGGCATTGACGCAGACGAGATCCGATTCTACTGGACTCTTCACTCCGACCTCGAGCATGCTTCACAAACAGCGTACCGGGTGGTGGTCGCCCTGAGCCAAAAAGCGCTTGATCAATCCTCGCATTCAGACATTCTATGGGATTCTGGCAAGGTTGAGAGCAATGCTCAGCGAAACGTTCTCTGCAAGCCAGACGGCGGCTTCAAGTCGGCGAGCTTCCACTACTGGAAGGTTACCGTCTGGGATCAGGATGGCCAGTCTTCATCCAGTGGCCTCAACGAGTTCTTTACCGCGTACCCCAGATCGAGCAGACTTCTGCCTCCGTACAGCATGAACCAAACCTACGTATGCCCAGCCTAGCAACGACTGCAACAAACTTGTACCCTAACATTTAACTCGTTCGCAGATGCCCCATACGAGTCTAATCTTCCGTGCCTGGTTCGAAGACGAGCCTAACCGTTGGAAGGGCGTCTGGATCGGCGACAGCAGCGACAAGCCCTTCTACCTCCGCAAGTCCCTCCGCCTCGACCGCAAACCGACACGAGCCGTCGCCTTCGCCTCAGGCCTGGGCCACTTCAACCTCTCCTGCAACGGCAACCCGGCCTCAAACCACGTCCTGGACCCGGGCTGGACGAACTACCACCGCACAGTCCAGTTCGTCGCCTATGACTTGAGCAGCTTCCTAAACGAAGGAGAAAACGTGCTGGGCGCTCACGTCGGTAACGGGTTCTACGCAGGCGACCAGGGCGACCGCTTCTTCTGGCCAATGTACGAGGACAACACGTACGTCCGGTATGGCAACGAGCTCTGCTTCTTTGCGGAGCTGCACCTCTTCTACGAGGACGGTAGTAGGGAGACCATCATCACCGGCCCGGACTGGAAGACGAGGAAGAGCGCTACCACGCTGGCGAATATCTACGCCTCGGAGAACAAGGATTTCCGGAGTTACCCGGCGGGTTGGGATGCGCCGGGCTTCGATGAATCGAAGTGGAAGCCGGCGACGCCCGTGACTGGGCCGCGAGGAAAGCTCAAGTACCAGAGCCAGCCGCCGGTCACCCTGCACGAGACATTTGAACCGGTCTCGAAGAAGAGTTTGGAGCGTGGTGTTGTGGCCTTTGACCTGGGCCAGAATGCCTCAACCATGGTTCGCATCGAGATCAGCGGACCAGCAGGGGCTGAGGTGATCGTGCGGTATTCCGAGAGCGTTGACGAGACTGGCAGGGTGTTGATGCCCGACCCTTTGTTCAAGGAATTTGAGACCAAAGTCTACTCCAAGATCACCCTAGCTGGCACCGGAAGCGTCGAGGTCTGGGAGCCCGACTTCAGCTTCACGAGTGCCCGGTACATCCAGGTCGAAGGTGTGTCACTGACCGAGGGCGAGGGGCTTCCCGTCATCCACTCCGTCGTCGGCCGGCATGTCTCCTCCGCAGCTCGTCGTCTCGGCACCATGAAGACGGACGTCGAAGACGCCAACGCGCTGATCAACATGTGCTATTGGTCTTTCGTCAGCAATCTCTTCAGCTACCACACCGACTGCCCGCAGATTGAGAAGTTTGGATGGCTCGAGGTGACGCATCTCCTCGCGCCAGCGACGCAGTACATCCGCGACATTGAAGCCCTTCACTCCAAGATTCTCGACGACATCTTCGATACGCAGGAGTACAACGGTCTGGTGCCCACGATGGCCCCTGAAATTAGATACATGTGCGGCCCGCTGCACGACACCATCACCTGGGGCGGAGCTATCGCGCTGATTCCTGAGATTCTGAAAAAGTACTACGGGTCTACGCACATGTTCCAGAAGATGTATCAGCCTTGTGTTCGGTACATGGAGTATCTGCACACGAAGGAGCGACAGGGAGGGCTCATTGAGCACGGTCTCGGCGATTGGGGCTGGGACATTGCGTTCGGAAACCATCAAGCTAACATCGAGACCGCGATTTACTACCGGTGTCTCCGCAACGTTGAGTTGATGGCCCGAGAACTGGGTTACACCGAAGATGAGAAGAGATTCAGGGAGTGGGCTGACAGGATCTACAACGTATACAACCAATATCTCCTCATCGCCGACAAGCAGGAGCATCCTTACGCCTTCTACACCTCCCTCGACAAACCAGACACCCACGACCGCACCATGATTGCCCAAGCAATGGCACTCCAGTTCGGTCTCGTCCCCGAGGAGCACATCTCAGACGTCCAGAAGGCCTTCGTAGACGATGTCTCGGACTGCAGAATCCGCGCTGGCGAGATCGGCCTCAAGTGGCTGTGGAACACCTTCACGGACGTCGACAGGCCCGACATCGTCATGGCGATGGCCCGCCAGGAGGAGCACCCCTCGTACATGCGCTTCCTGCGACGCGGCGAGACCACGCTCAACGAGTTCTGGCAGGACGCGTGCCGCAGCAAGTGCCACGACATGCTCGGCACGATCTACGAATGGTTCTATGAGGCTGTTCTGGGAGTCAAGGTTGAGGATGACGCGTACAGGACGTGGACTGTGAAGCCTCCGCTCAGGTCGGAGTTCAACCTGGTCGAAGGCACGTTTGAGTGTCCCTATGGCATGATTGAGGTCACATTCAAGCGTGAGGGCGACGATGTGCGGATGAAGGTTACTGTTCCGACGAGCACAAAGGCTACACTGTTGCTGCCGAGAGAGGAGAGTGCGGTCGAGATCACTAGGCAGGGGACCGATGGGTCGAGAAATGCGGCTGGAAAGAGGGTGCAGCTGCTTCCCGGGCATTACGACCTGGTGCTATTTCCATAGACGACGAGATCAGTGAGAAATCAAACCCTTGTCGTCACCTTGGTCACTTATCATGTGGATGATGCGGCCATGTGTCACAGAAGTGAGCCTTATGCGTACCTAAAGCGTTGAAACATGACCGACTCCTTACACTCATCAACACCAACAACTTTCTCACTTACTCCAATTCACATAACTTTCAATTCCATAACTTTCAATTTCCTTCATTAAGTATCAAAACTGTTGACCAAACACCCACTCAAAGCCCCTTTACAGCTTCGTACCCATGTTGACGTGAACAGACTTGATCTGGGAGTAGGCCTCCAACCCCGCCTCGCCCAGTTCCCTTCCAATACCGCTCTGCTTCACACCACCAAACGGCACGCGGGGATCGCTGTCCTGGGTACTGTTAATCCACACCATGCCCGCCTCAATCTCCGACGCCACGCGGTGCGCGCGCTCAACATTCTGCGTAAACACCGCCGCGCCCAGGCCGTACTGCGTGCTATTCGCCAAGCCAACCGCATCCTCCTCGTCCTTGAAGCTCGCAATCACCACCACAGGGCCGAAGATCTCCTCGCCCCACACGCGCATCTTGGTCGTCACGTTCGTAAACACCGTCGGCGCCACGAAGAAGCCCTTGCCCTTGCCGCCGATGCTCAGCGGCGTGCCGCCCGCCGCGAGGTTCGCGCCCTCCGCCTTGCCGATGTCGATGTACTCGAGCACCTTCTCGTACTGCACCTTGCTCACCTGCGGGCCCTGGTAGGTGTCCTTGTCCCACTGGCTGCCGACCTTGCTGACGGCCTTGAGCGTCTCGACGAAGCGCTTGATGAAGTCATCGTAGATGGACGCCTGCACGATGATGCGCGACGTGGCCGTGCAGATCTGGCCCTGGTTCGACATGATGCCCATGTGCGACCACCGCACGGCCTGCTCGATGTCCGCGTCGTCGAAGACCAGCAGCGGCGACTTGCCGCCGGTTTCGAGGGTGATGTTCTTCAGCGTCTTGGCGGCCTCGCCCATGATAGCGCGCGCGGTTGCCGTGCTGCCGGTGAAGGCGACCTTGTCGACGAGCGGGTGGCCTACCAGCGCGCTGCCGGCGACGCGGCCGAGGCCGTTGACGAAGTTGACGACGCCTGGGGGGAAACCGGCCTCCTTGATCAGGGTGCCGAGGAACAGGATGCTGAGGGGCGTTTGCTCGGCGGCCTTGAGGACCACGGTGTTACCGCAGGCGAGGGCGGGGCCGAGCTTCCAGGTGGCCATGGCGAGGGGGTAGTTCCACGGGATGACCTGGGCGACGACGCCGATGGGCTGACGGATCGTGTAGGCGAACTTTGCCGGGGTCGTGTTGATGGTCTGGCCGAAGGTCTTGTCGGCCCAGCCAGCGTAGTAGCGGATGACGGTGACGCACTCTGACAGGTCGCCGTCGAGGGCGTCTGCGTACGTCTTGCCTGCGGGGTACTCAGTTCCTTCGTTCATCAGCCGTGATTGTCAGTCTCCTGGGCTTACCGTTGTCCCACGCGTCAATGGCGGCGAGAACCTCCTTGTTCTGCTCGATGAGATCGGCGAACTTGTACATGAGAGCTCCGCGGTCCGTCGCCGAGATGCCCTTCCAGGACTCGTGCCTCAGCGCGGCGTAGGCAGCCTTGACGGCTTTGTCGACATCATCAGCCGATGCGGCCTGGACGGCGGCAATCTTCTCTTCGGTCCTGCAGCCTGTGTCAGCTATTTTGCGGTGGTATCCTGAAGAGACAAAGGGGGGTCTTACGCGGGGTCTATCGTGTCGATGGTCTCGCCGGTAGAAGACTTGACAAACTCGTTGTTGATGAACAGACCGGTGGGCTGCGTCCACTTGACACCGTTCGGGGCCTGGAGCTGAACGGAGAGGTCGGCCATGTTGACGGTTGTGCTCAGTTGATGTTCCTAGAGAAGGTTCGGTTTTGCTGCTCTGCGGGGTAGTTTGATAAGAGCTCGCAGTGCTGGGAAAGGGGTATCACGGTATTGAAGTGAAGAAAAGAGAAGATGATTAATAATTCCCAAAGATGGATGAAGAGTCGAGTGCGCAGTGAGGGGTTTATGAAGGCTCAATGATCACTGAATAACCCAGTCTGCTCGGTTGCGATGACAAAGAGGAAATTCAGGAAGCCTATGAAACACCACACACCGGGTGGGCATACCGGCCGGATGGCTTCTCCGCACCTGATAGCTGCGGCCCACGGCCGCCGGCGGGGTTAATGACGTGGGGGCCCGGGGCACAAATCGGCGATAAGCTAAGCGTCACGATGCGGGGATCGCTGGGTGCACCCTTCTTGTCTGAGGTTTTGTCCACCGGCCCGGGTGGAATCGGGTCAAGGTATGGATATCTCGCACATTGGCCATATCTAGCAAGTGGACAATCAACCCTCGGACTGATGGAAGTCTGTGATTCATCGGCGAACGGGCGAAATGATATCGGTGTTAAGAAGAAGGATAAACCCCACCTGGGCAGAGGGAAGCTTGTCTTAATGATGGCTGAGTCGTTAACACGACTCTTGCTTTTCACGTATCTTGCGTTCTTAACCGAGAAAGACTCGAGCATGATTCCCCATATCCAGAAGGACAATGCGAATGTAATTATCCACTTCCAGAATGTGAATGCGAATGTCACTTCAAGGATACACTTGCCCGGCCCGGCAACTTTAGGCAGGTTGACATGCAGCTCCAATTGTCAGACTAGGAACAGCTAGGCTGTAGAGGTACTGCAGAGCATGCTGGATTCTAGCCACATACAGCTACTTAGCCGTCAATCCGCTTCGCTTCTCCAAGTGGAGAAAACACACCAACAAGGTGACTAAGGTGGAGCTCTTGGAATGCTCAATCGCACGGGCGAGACCGGCGATGCCGCCCTGGTCCGTCCCATTCCAGCCCCTCATGTGGAAAATGGCGGGGCATGACCTCTGCCGAGCTCATGGCTCAGTGTTCCGATTGATAATCACCCAAGTGGACACGCGTCGATTTAAAAGGCTGCGTTGAAAGTCCCATTAAACCAAGTTTTAGCATTAGACTTATTCCATAATAATACGGAATTTTAGGAAGCTCTATGACTGCCGACCATGTCCCCATTAGGTCCCAGCTCATCAAACCACACGATGCAGGCCTTATCCAGTAGGACCTAGCCAAAGGGAAACAAAAGAATTATTGAGGATCTTCAAGCCTTTTCATGATTTACTGACAACTTATTCCTCGTAAATGTTGGAGTCGCTATCAGACGTTAGTTGGTATCCATAGGCCAAAGGAAGGGTTGAGGGTACTCACAATTCCTTCGTAAACTTGTCTCTGCCATCTGCATCCTTATTGACGAAGATGCTCACTGAAGTGCCAGAGCATACGAACTCGCCGAAGCCATCGTCGCCAATGGTGACCTCACGGTCGTTCCATCCGAGGACATCGGTCCACACCTCTCCGGCGTGCATCTCGCCGACGTGCATCCGCTTGGAGCCGGGTCCGGCATTGCTGACAACGACCGCGCAGCCGTAGGGGCGGTCCCAGGTTCCGTACTTGACCCAGCCGAGACATGTGGCGTAGTCAAAGTAGTCAGCCTGCTCACCGTAGGCATAGAGCTTTCTGGCAAGGATAAGCTTCGGCAGAGCGCCGCCGCATGATGGCGGGAAGGGGTGCTCTCCCTTGATTCCGTAGAGGTCACCGTACCAGACGCAAGGGTAGCCGGAGGAGCGGAGGAGAATGAGAGCATATGCAATGGGCTTGAACCAGCCCTCGATAGGTGCCTCGAGGGCTTGGTAAGGCTGAGTGTCGTGGTTCATGACGAGGGTCTGCTCTTGTCAGAATACGTCTTGAGGGCCGGACTGAGATGGACTCACCACAGCGTTGATAGGCTCCTTCTGCACCAGTGTATCGTCAAACACCTTCCTCATATCCGCTCCGTTGCCCTTGCTGATCTCGCTGAAGTTGTACACTAGCGGCGCGTCGAAGAGGGTGAACTGACGGCCCATGCGAGCCAGATACTCAGTCATGTCGTCGAGGCTGTCCTTCCAGAACTCGCCGACAAAGAACCATCCCTTGCCATATTCCTTGTCCAGCTCGGTAATGAATTGGCGCAAGAAGTCCTCACTATAGTGCTTGATTGCGTCGAATCTGATTCCCTGGAGGGGCACCTCTTTCGCCAGCCACTTGCCCCAGTTGAGGACATCTTTCACGACCTCGGGATGGTCGTAGTCGAGATCTGAACCCATGAGGAAGTCGCTAGCGAACTCCAGTCAGCTTTGGGGGGCATTGATGGCAGCGATATTTGTCCCTACTAGTTGCCCTTCTCATCGTCGACGGACTCGGCCCACTGCTGGTCACCCTTGTCACCCATAATCTTGTAGATGGCCGTCTTCTCATTCCTCGCGTTGTAGTCGACGCCGCTGAAGTGGTACCAGTGATACTTCATATCACTGTACTTGCCCTTGCGACCGGGGAAGTCGTAGCCGACCCAGGCGTCGATCTCGTACTTGTCACTGACGAACTTGGTGCGGTCCTCCTGGTCCACCTCCTGGGCGAGGCACTTCTCCTTGCGGTCGGCTGCGAACTTGTGGTTCAGGACAGCGTCCCAGTAGATACCGACGCCGTTGTCCTTGGCAGTATGCGCGAGCTTCAGGAGCTCCTCCTTGGTACCCCATTTCGTTGCGACGGATCCCTTCTGGTCGAACTCGCCCAGGTCGTACCTTTGCTGGTCAGCGTTGCGGTCCAATTGCCCCAACTGAGCGCGACGTACAGATCGTAGATATCGTAACCATTTCCGGTCTTCGATGAGCCCTTGCACCTGCGTTGAATGTAAGCTAATGATCGCTCAATCGCGCAATCAATTGGACGCTTACGCTGGCGGGATCCAGATGTTGTCGACGCCCCAGGCTTTGAGCTGCGGTACGTGCTTCTCCAGTCGCACCCAGTGCTTCTGGTCAGCAGGGACATACCACTCAAAGCCCTGCATCATCGTGTGATTCTCGGGGGTAGGTTCTTGTTCTCCCATCTTGGCGATGTTTGGCGTCGTGGGCGACGGTGTTGAGAGCTGATGAGGGGTCGCTTTGGTGGTGAGGGGTAAACCGTGTCGATCACACAAGAGGTCCAGAGGGGTTGAAGGAGGAGAGAGCAGGTTGGAACATGGCGCTTGCGAGAAGGAGGCGCTTTCCTCTAGATAAAGCTTCTTTCACCGCTGCAGGGAAAGGGCATTGACGACCGCTAGAAACGAAACGCACGTCCTTTCCTCCTGGTGAGCTACAAAGTCTTACGAGGCGTCGCGTCGTGGCTGTTTCCCCATGTTCTTTCACACGGCAGGATGACGTGGTGACAAGCAAAGAACGAGCAAATCAAATCGCCCCGGGCTGGCATTCCGGCCCTCGCGCGATGGCGGTTCAGGTGAGAAGCACATGCGTATCTGCGACACAAAAGCCGCAGAAAGCTCCTGGAACATGGAAATGGCGCGACGCTAACAGGACTCCGTGCCGTGCCTACCAGCAACCTCCAATCTGTTGGGACTGGCGCCGAAACAGCGCGCAATCCAGCCTTTCTGATGCCTTGAATTTGGCAGGTTGACAGGGAACATTGACGTCATGCCGCAGATAGCTTGATAACGCGGCAGTAGCCGGGCGCTTTGGTAGGTCTAGACCGTCTCAGACCGTGACACCGTTTTAGACCGAAGCCGTCGGTCTGCTGACTGCACACCGAGACAATCATCGGTCGGCCTCGGTGACTCGATGTTCTCGCGGGCCAACTCCGAAAGCTCTCTCAGCCTACGAAGTACCATAGGAAACAACTATACAGCACCAGCCAATTGCAATAAAGTGATATTTCGCTTTAAAACTGCTTTCAATCTCGTCACTTCATTTACATATACTCCAAAAGATCCTCATGGGCTGCCATTATTACATCTCCAGTTCACTCAAACCATGCCCGCCCTGGCTCGGGCTTTGATCAATAATCTGTCGCAGCCAAGGATGCGAAACATCTTATATTCTCCGCAGGATTGAAAAGATTTCATACGCATAATCGGAATCAAGTCCATCGATATTCCTAGTGATATCAGAGCGTGACCTGGGTGTCAGACGTGGAATGAGTCTAGCCCTGAAGATGGGGTCTGGTGGTCAGCCGGCGGCCCTGATCTCCGTTCCATTGTACAGGCTGGTTGTTTAAGACTTTATATAGGCAATTGGATGCGCGCCTCGCTAAACATCGATGAGATTCGCTGATATGCCAAGCTCTCACTTAGCACAAGCTGGAGAAAGACCCCGTGCATCAGACTATAGTGGCTCCCAGAGCTACATTTACTGTCCTTTGCAAGTGTGCTTTTCTTCATTTGAACGAAAATACCCTCGTTGGCGAGTAAGAAAGCTCTCGTCAACACGACAGTCACCTGCCGGAGGTGGCATCTTTGTGACTACCTAAACCTTCAGGATGAACATCAGAAGCCACCAGAGTCTTCTCATGGCGTTGAGATCCAGATGTCATTCGTTTCTTATTAGAATGTCAGGCGCAGAGGTTGTCCACGGCCTATCTCTGGCGCTCAATCACCCCACAGAATAGGAAGCAGCCACTGTGTCGCATGTCGAGCGCGCCCCAGATCATCCTCACAGAAACCAATCACCAGCAGAGTTACACTGGGTGGCCCTTCAACATGCGAATTGATTTTCCCCGCTCAAGCAGCCACCGCATCCTTCACGGATCGGACTATGGCCCTACTGAATCTTTCAACTTTCTAACTTGCCACTTTTAAAACAGTCACTTTGCAGAAATGAGTCACAAAATTGATTCGATTTCATGGCGTCTGCTGTGTCTTGTACCTCTGTGAAAAGGCGTGAGCAGAGTCTTCTGGCGCCTAACTCCAGAAGCGGGAGGAGGGAGGAGATCAAGCTGAGCACACTAAGGATAGGCACAAGATAACTGCACATTGATACATGATCTTGCAAGACGATAACTCGATGCTTTACGGCTGGAATCTTCCAGCGGCTGCCTTCCAGGTAGGCATAGTTGCATTCGCGGATGTGGTCCGGTCTGGCAAACCATGTCCAAATGATAAGGTGTATTTGCCCCTTCAACTCTCGCTTGAAGGATCACGAGAACATCGAGCGTGATGCTTCCAAGGAAGGTCGTTCAGGCCATAGTCATTGATACATTCATGAAGATCGTCACGGTACAGATATTAACTTCAGATCTAAAGTCTATCTCCCTACCAAAGTAGATCTACTTGTTCACATCACGCCAGAGACCGCATTGGGAACGGATTGATGATGGTGTCAACGTGTGATCCCTGGAGCACTGCCAGCTCGAGTCATGGACCATGCAATAATAGCTGTTGGCTGTGTACATCTCCCTGGTCTCAAACGTACCGTGCATTCGCGACGGCTGATGGCCAATGATGAGAGGAACATAACGACATCTTGCCGGGGTTTGATGAGCTGAGCTTAGCTGTTGGACGGGTCGCATATTTGGCCGCAACCAAATTGGTTATGAACGCCGTTGGCAAGGCGGCGCGTAGGCGAACCATCCTGTGAAGGCTGCCTTGCTACCCCCGTGTCAAATGCCAGTTTCTGCACTGTACAGCATCTTCAACGTACTAACTACAAGTCTTTTCTTTTTTTTTCCCCAGATATTCTTGAATGTGACCCCGGAGATGAAAGCCATGTTCGTATGTATGTCTAGCTTCGTTTCAGCGACAAGGTACCTACCCTAGGTTTCGGAACTTGAGAGACTCGCAGCCCCCAAGCTGATAGCGTGGTTGATAGCGTTATGATTCTTTGTCACCTGCTTCACGACCAAGGGCAATTTATCAAGCCTGAAATATGTAACCTCGCATCGGAGTGTATCAAATTGAGTTCGAAGTGCCTAACCTTGTTGAGGGGCAAAGCTACGGATACACAATAACCACATGCAAAATGTCAAGGGCTGCAATCATCCTCTGTGTCAGATTCCATGCTGCTGGAATCATCGACAATAATCACCTTTCGACGAGCTGGCTCGATCGTCGGCTTGAACCTTGTCGAGTGAACATCTTTGTGCGTCGAATTGTAGACCCTCCTGGACGATTCAGATGCGTCATCTGATACCGCTCGACAATGTTTGGATGTTCCGCGTCTATGAGGTATGTTGTCCTGGACATGAAGTTGCTTGAAGGTGAAGTCGCCTTGGGCCAACGGTGGAGTCGGGATGGATGTTGGTGCAGCTGCGTGTGCCATCACAGCTTCTGGAGCCAGTGGCCCCTGCAGCGGAGCAAATCGCGAGCTAGAAGTTGGCAGATACCGACCTGCATCCGTAAATGACACGTCCGCAAGGACAGGGTTGGGAATTTCGTCGACTTCCGTCGAAGTGATCTGGTCGCTCGCACTGCTCGATTGCGATGTGGCTGCCTGTTCGACTTTCTCGGCCTGTCTCGCCGAACGCCGCGTCCCCATGAATTCTTCGTCGCCAGCCAGCCGTTGCAAGGCTTTTCTTGAATTCCTTGTGGGCTTGAGATTAGAACCCAAATTCAAAGAGGAAACGTCGAAGGTCTCTTCCAAGAGGAAACAATTCTTGCCACCATCAAAGTATAGTGGGAGAATAATTTCCTTCTTCTTGTCTCCTCCAGGCGCGTTTAGATTCTTTGGTCCCTTTCGGGATTGACCTCCGCCCGGGTATCTCTGGCCGGAATACTTCTCCCGTCTTATTCTGAGGGCGATAGCTGGTTCATTGTGGCTCGTTGTCAGTAACATCTCAAACCACCATATGCCATTCATCAGCTTCCCCAAATCCTTGATGTCGTAGCATCGGTCGAATTGCATTTTCTCCTGCTTCTTTACCCCTTTCATGTCGAAATGGGGATCACAGATGATTCGGAACTCATCTTTGCCAGTGGCACGGACTTCGAGAGGGTCTGGGCTGGTCTTGCGCATTGGTCAATCGATGTTATTCAAATTACAAGTCCCTAAGTGCAGACAGATACTTACGACGCTGAAGATAGGCGGCGCTTCATCTTCCCACCCCTCGTCCGACTCCGGCTCCCCCCGATTAGGAACTTGCTTCCGTTGCAAACCAAACCCTGCACCTTGTTGGATGAATTCATGAATGGTCAAGTGATTGCATATTGCGTATGCAACTCCCTTTGCAATATTGCCGGAGCTGGAAACTGTCAGCGTGAAAACTTCGTCATCTGGCGTCTGGTTCCCTTACGCGTAATTGGATATCCCTCCTACTAGTTTCCAGACGTATGTGGGCTCTCGGACGCCATGCCTCGCGCAAATTTCGTTGAGTTCCTTTACAACAGCTCCATGCATAGAAGTGCCCCCCGACACAATGACTTGCGGCGATGCGTTTTTGATCAGTGCAAGGCTCCTGATCTGTATCTCGGCTTCTTCAAACATCTTTTTAGTCCCCTTTTCAAAGGAACGATTGATATCTTCAGGCAGAAGCTGAATGTAACGGAGTTTTCCGGGAAGATCAGGGGTTTTGTCTGATTGAAGAGGACCCAGGCCGTCTTTGTTTGAATGGAAACATTCGAGGTATTCTGCGATCGCCGACCGCTTGAGGTCTCGTCCATGAAGGCGTCTCAACTGGCGTATGAACAACTCACACATATAGTATGCCCAATGCTCGCTTCCACCTCCAGCACCTAACTTGAGTTAGTCACTGGGCAACCTTCGTTGTGCCATTAGTACCATGTGAGGCGATTGTCTTACCAAATGGATCGGACATGCTGTAAAAGCTAGCTGTTTCTTCTCCAGCGCATACAGCATTGAACATACATCCATTCTGCAGGGTTATGGTTAGCTTCTACTTGTGTATCATAGACACTTCGGAGAGGAAGGCACTCACCATGTTGTGTCCGCCAAAATCGAGGAATAGGAGCGGCTTGTGAGCGGAACTATTTCGTTTCAGCTCACGAAATGTGTGTACACCTAAAAGTTGCTTGATGTGATTTCGAAGGAGGAAGTGGGCAAGGGCTTCGGTTTCCGTGTGAAAGCATATTTGCTCCTCGGGCCTGGTCAATTCGTCAAAGACCTCTGCAATAATGTCTCGATAGACGTCTTCAAACTCGATAGTCCACTGCGAAGGAACGGACAGGCCGATGGAGGTGATCCTCAGACCTTCGGATTCGCACTGTTCCCGAGCCATATCTCGAACAGCTGAAAATAGTTCGACAAGGCCTCTCCGAAGTCTTTGACGAAAGTCGACATCATTCCTGTACTTCCTCAGGGGGTTGACGAGCGCGTACTGCTCAAAGAAGCTATCTTTCCCATGATCTGCCTCATCTACCAGAATGTAAAAGGCGTATTTCAGGGAGATCTCGTGACGGTCGGGATCACCATCCTCGCCCAAATACACCGGTTTGCCTGGTTCAAAGGGGTATCCAGCGGAAGAAAATTCGCCTATGCTATATTTGTAAAGCCGATTGATTTTTGATCTTGTGTTTCGCACGTCAAATTCGAAGTTTGTCTTCGGGCATCGCACAGTAGCTCGCGTGCTTGTGCTACCCAAGTCCAGGCCGAGGATGCTTCACATAGCCAGTGTTAGTGGAAACATTGGGACTCAAAGACAATATCAGAACTTGACTTACGCGTCGTCTAGTTCAGAAAGGTCGTTCATATCGCTGAAGATCTCCATTAATGCACAGGTTTGCAAGCAAAATGATATTGTGTGCTCTGAGTGGATGGGCTTGGAGATGGAACAGTTCAAACCAAAAAGGATGATATCATTTGATGAAGCATGATGAAAGCGCAATTCACACGGCTAAAGATGGCGAGTGGCGGTGGGCAACATTTAAGGCAGCAGGAATGTGGATATGGAGGGACGGGAGACTGGTTGCTGTGATGCTGTAATGTGGTGCCTCAACTGTCCAAGAGAAGAGTAACTAACAACAGCATAAGGCAAATCTATATGAAGACCACGTGTGAAGTCTCGAGTACATCGCATCGCCTCTGAGTACAGTGTAAAACTTGTCTGGGACATGATTGGATGGCAGAAGCGCTGTTTCGTCGGCAGGGGGAGTAACACCACCAACAAACCCAGCACCAACAAGACCTGTGACTAAAGCGCAGCAAGACAAGGATCATTGAGGCGTAGGCCCTGCAGCCCAGGGAAATTCCCCAAATCCACCATCATGTCTTCCACACAAAACCTTGTCTATGGCTCCTGAAAGACGCTTCTTCCGGACCTACCAATGAGGGTATGAGCTTCTGCTCAATCCGAGGCGATAGATCACACTCGCCACCTGCCGCAACCAGCCTAAATATAGGAAGGCATCCGTCACGATTGATGACCCTAGCCGAAAGACTGGCGGTCAGCATAGGAGCTTTTGCCGGTTTAAGTCGATATGCATTGGTCCACCTACACCAAGGTCAAAACCGCCACCCCCTTGAAACCATCACAAGAAGGTGGCATCACCCACAGCCACGCCCTCCAACACGTTAACCTGGTCTTCAGCTTTCAGTCGCCCGCATGTGTTGGGCTGCAGGCGTTCCGTTCACTTCTCTTTCATTTTCAATAATCTCGTCGCAATGCATCCAGTCGGCCCCAACGAAACACTTCCTCCACGCACTGAGGTAGACAGACGTCTCCTCGAAAGGCTTAGAGACCAGCTTAGGCATAACGTCAACAGCTCGAACAATGTGCATGAAGAATTCAAAAGCAACATCCTCAGTTTGATGGAGACTTTCAAGGAAGCTTGCTTTGAACTAGAGGCTGCACAGTCCGAACTTTTGGACCAGGCTTACCAGAAGGGGAGCCCAACGTGCGACATACTCGGACCTCTGAAGCAATACGAAATCTCGGATGGGAGTAATTTCATGGCTCATATTGGGGATTCAGTCGTCTCGTATATTCCGAAGTCGAATTTGGCCCGCGATCCATCGCCTAAAGAATTTGGCATCGGCACGCTGGAAGACTCTCCTCCCGGCAAGTATACCATGGAAAGTGCACCACATACACCAAAGACCCCATTTACGAGAGAAGCGCCAGCAGTGGTACGGAGAGCTCTGTTCAACACCTGCTACTGCTTGCAGTGACAACTGACATTATGAACAGGAAACAGAAACAGAGACAGAGTCGAATCCACCGGAATGTCAACGGAGAAAGAGAATAATAATCCAAACATACTCCAAACGAATACCGGCGCTGTTATCAACCCCAGAGCCAGTGATACCTTCTTTGAAAACTCAAAAAGTATCTCACTTCGATACCACGGGTTGCAAAGATACCAACGTCAGGCTACTTGCGCCGGCTATAGAGCTGAAATGGTCCAAACCCTTGCACCTTACGTCCCAGCCACATATCAAACGGGAGAATGTTATGAAAGAGAAGAGGGGATGGGTTTTCTCCTACACGTTGAATAAAAGGACAGCTCTCTATATCATCCGATGCCCCGCCAACTGCCCAAGCCCGGTCTTTGTCCGGCACCCCTTGGGTCAATCGCGGGCTGTCGAACATCTGAGAGAGTGCCAAGTTCCCTTCAATGACGAGGAAGACATGGTCCGCAGATACGCTCAACAAGGTACGTCAGTCTAGCGTTTTGGTTTATTATCATATCTGACTGCGTCGTGTTGGAAATGAAAACAGTTGTGAGGGATCGAAAAGGCAGATACGTTAAACTGGAATGGGCAAGAAAGCACAACCATGCCCTGTTTGGGGAGCTCGAGGAAGATGTTTACCAGGAGAACTTCAGATAGAAGACGCATAAGAGCAAATGCGTATCCACTTAATGACATGAAAACACAATCTCTCAATGTACAGTAATTGATACTATGGCATGCGACATGAAGTCGCCGTGAATCGCTGCGAATATTTCACTCATTCCCGAGCAGTCGTGAAGTTTGTCCTTCAACATCAAAGCTTAGGCAGGTCAGCTGGCGCAGCCACCCCGTTCAGCTCAGTCAGCCCAGCTCAGCCATCTCAGCCATCTCCTTCAGGTTTCCGTTGTGCTGAGACATCCTTTTTTCTTACGCTCAACTTAGGGATATATGTTATGTGATCATCTTTGATACTTCCAATCATTTGAGGGCCAATATCTCTTTGTGCGCAGGCGATAGCGACACCGCAGGCTGTGGTGTCAGCAAACATGCTGCTAATCATGCGTTTAGGTTGGTTTAGACTATAGGAGGTCAAGACCCAACTGCCACTGACAGATGGAACAAACATTTTCACGTCATACTGCCTTGCATAGGTTTCATCTACAGCGAAAATCAAATATCACTACCTAATGAAGTACAAGATGCATTCAGTCTGCTTCATGTCACGTTCTATGGACGGCCCTGATTCTACAGATGACCAAATGATTTCACTTTACATCCTATCCTCTCTACACATCGTCGAGCTCAAACATTTTACTCCTCGTCCGAAGTTGCAGAATAATAGTCGGAAGATTCCGCCCCGGAGGATTCTGCATCAGAGGATTCCGTGTCAGAGACGCCTCTCTTCTTGTCTTGTTCATACCTTCTCTGCCTCTTAGCATCTCTTGCACTCGTAAATTGTCGACCAGAACGGAGGGTCACGCCTGACTCCGAAGAGGGTCGCTTCGCCGGTGGGCTCAGGGAAGGCTATGTCAACTGGTCTTGATGCTCTGTGTTCCTGCTGACACGGGGAGTGTTACCCTGGACATCGATCATCATTTGAGCCACCGGTGCCGGTTGTGAGGTCGTCACTTCCTGTTGATACGGATTGTCGCTCTGAGTATCAATCACCATTTCAGTCACTGGTGCTGGCTGTGGGGTCGCCGAACCATTGGGAGACTGCCGGGCAGGATGTAACTCGAAAGAGGCAGCTGAGTACTCCGGTCGAGTATTTTGTTGCGACAGGTTGGGTGCGGCAGAATCATCGCCCATGTTACGTATCTCTGCTGAACTCAAGACTCCATCGTCGATAGGTGCCGTATGCTGAGAGGCCTCCACATTTGGGGTTGAACGAGGTGATGTCTTGATGCTGCCATCTTGCCGCGCCAAGCTGGCACGCGTTCTGGCGGCTATGCCGATCTTGGTGCCTCCCGCCAATAGTCGTTCGAAGTCGAGCTCCTCATCATCCAGAAAGAAGCAGATGGGCCCACAGTCAAAGCTCAGAGGTAGTGGGCGGGATGTGAAGCCTGGGCTAACCCACTCCTTCATGCCCTTAGTTCTGACGTGCGCCCACTCAGATTTGAGTACATCAAAGTCTTTGCCGTCTCTCTTCTCCAAGGACATCGCAATTCTAGAGCCACCCCTCTTCAGCTTGCCAATGTACAGGACGTCGTAGCATCTGTCATAAAACAGTCGAGATGAGCCAGTGCGCCCAAAGAATGGGTCGCAGATGATCTTGAACTCGTCGCAGCCGGTCGCAAAGTTAAGGTCGAGAGCATCCTTCTTGTCCTGAAAACGGGTTAGACGACACATAGTGGAGGGCAAGGATAGCTCTGTATACCTTGCTAAAAAGCACCTCTGCAGTGTCTTCCCAGTATTTGTTCTTGCCAGAGCCTGGTCCGGTCCCTACAGCCTTCCGCTGTATGCCAAACGCAGCGCCCTGTCGCAAGAAATCGTCAATGCTGATCTTTGTCGAGGCCGAATAGGCAGCCCCTTTAGCTATTTTGACTGAGCTTTGAACCACATCAGCGCTGACCGATTTCATGGATTTTAAGACCTCATGTAATACTTACTCGTAACGCGCGCAGAGATCAACGTTGACAAATACTGGCTCTGACACCCCTTTCTTCAGACACATCTCTCGGAGGCGTTGCTTGATGCCGGCATGCTTTGCTGTTCCACCAGCAACGACCACGGTGTTGTCGGTTATCTTGAACTTGGAGAGTTTTGCGATGTGACGTTTTGCCAGCTTGAGGATCTTGTCGTGCGCCTTCTCAAAAAGGAGTCTTAACTCCTCGGGCGAAACGATCGTTCCTTCGAATTCAAAAGGCTTTTCGTCCTCAAAACCAGGGCCCAGACTATCCTTGAATCTGTCGAACTTGTCGACAAGCTCTTGTTTCTTCTCAGCTGTCATGCGCCGGCCCGTTAGACTTTCGGTCCGCTCGATGCACAATTCGCTGACGTCGTAAGACCACTGCTCGCTTCTACCTCCCGCGCCTAGACTTGGTCAATCCTTGCAAGCTGCTTGAATGTGCGCCGGGAGCTCACCGAAAGCCTCGCCAACCCTGTAGAAGCTTGCTTCATGATCTTCGCCATAGACAACATTGAAAATGCAGCCGTTCTTGTAATTCGAAGTAAGTCTCAGGCTCAACGTGGTTGGCGATATGCTAGATGGGGCATGCAGCTTACCATATTGTGACCGCCAAAGTCAAGGAACAAAAAGGCACTATGTTCACCGCGGTGTCCATGGCGGCGAAGCTCTTCGAGGTGATCCTTCAGCAGGTAATGAGCCAATGCCTCGGTCTCGGTAACGAAGCAGAACTCCATGTCACGGGAACCCGCCCCAATGACTTCACGCATGATGTCTTCATAGACTTCGGTGAACTTTCCACTGCTATCCGTCCATTGGGCCGGGATGGAAAGACTAATCGTCGTGATCCTGAGCCGCTCTAGTTTGCAAAGCTTCTCGATCTGCTTCCAGATCTTCGAGAACAGGTCGACGAGACCTCGGCGGAGTCTCTTGCGAAAGCCCTCCTCATTCATACGCTTCCGCAGTGGCTTGATCAAAGCATATTGGCTCATAACATCGTCAGAGGCATCCGATAAGACGTAGAAGGCATACTTGAGAGATATCGCCAATCGGTCGGGGTCAGTCTTTTCGCCCAAGTAGACTTCCTCGTTATCGTCATCAAACGGGTATCCTGTCGACGTGTAGTATCCCGGGTCGTGCTTATGGGATGATGCCTTGGATATGTCCTTGTTCTCGACCTCGATGCAAAGTTCTCTCGATGGACACTCGACGCAAGCTCGCGTGCTGGTACTTCCTATGTCAAAGCCAGCCTTACTAGTAATACAATCAGTTAGCAGCCACTTGGGTATGTCCGTTATGAGCGCACAAAGTCTCCGATTTCATGCTGAAGATCAGGGCACTAACGCATCGTCGGGGGCTTTGCTCGATCTAGCCATGTTGAATTTCGCTGCGGGCTGAGATGAGGGTTTGTTCAAAAGTCCATGCAGAGTAGCAAACGCAGCGTGCCGCTACTTGTGGTCGTCAAAACGGTAGAATTCTTGCTATAGCCCTTAGCAAGAAGATACTTGCTTATGGTGAACTCCTTGTCACCAGCCAGAACCTTTCGTATGGCGCAGTAAATGGCCTGGATAATGGTTGTTGGTGGCACTGAGCTGAAGGGTGAGCCCAAGGAGACACCACACGGCTTTTATTTATACGTACAACATCATATCTGCCTGGCAATCACGTAATCACGTTTTGGAGTCGCAAACAAATGCATTTAGCCGTGCATGCGTTGTGTGAAGAGCCCGTTGAAAGGACGTTGGTAAGATGCAAACGAGCTCAGCCAATAATAATGGGCTGAGAGGCTACACTTGGGGCCCGCGCGTTGCAAAAAGTATTAAAATAGAATTAAAAGCTCAAAGCACAAAGGGCATAAGAAATTGCTTTCCGAGACAATCCTAGAACAGACCATGCTGGGGTGGGTATTTCCCAGGTTGTAAGATGCGCAAGTTTGCCAGAAACTTTCTATTTGTTTCTATACCCGTCTATTTTTAGAACTGTCATGTGCATCGATATCTAATATTACTCCATTAGGTTATAAGCTACGATTGATACTGAAATGGTGATTTCGTTTCAAAAGGTATAGAGGTCTGAGAATCTGAAAAGAAGGAAAGCTGTCGCGATATAAGTATGTTTTCAACGCGGGATAATTCATTTGTAATAATACAGGTTGAGATTCTCGGGCACCAATGGTTACTCGGCAATCATACCGCTTAGGTCATAATATAGTCCTTCGTACATGTGAGAATGGACTGATCACTCACCCTCAATAGACCTGCAGTAGACATGATAAACTAACATAACCCTCAGCGTAACAATATCACTTCAGATTTTATCAAAGCAAAAATCTTAGTAGATAAGACACCCGCGGGAAATTATTTACTAAAACACTAACCACAGCTTCTACAGATAGTACGTTTATAGAGAAAGACTTCAAAACCAGCGCCTAAAGGCTATCACTACCAGTGCCTGTGCCACCTGTACGGTAGGTTGGTTAAGACCGAAGTCATTCGCCGGGTTCAATCAATGTTGATCACACCACACCCTTGCGTAGGTGCTTAAAGCTCATTGAAGCCATCTCTCACCCAATTGCACCACATTTCCGCCAACCTCAATCTGAGATGGTTTAGCGTCGACGATAACACCGAGCATACGAACCCAGGTGTCAGAGCGATTGGCCCACCTAGATGATAATCTGTTAAAGCCTATGCAAGGCTTTGCGAGAAATAGTCTGCGAAAAGGGGCTGTCCCACTTACACATGCATGGCTCCTCGCTGGACGGCAACATCTCCAGGGCGGAGGGTAGTCTCAACAACTTCATTCCAGGCCCCCTTGTCGTTTTGCACACTGAAAGCCGTCTTAGGAGTAATGAGGGTCGGGGTTCCTTCATTGACAACGACGTAGTCGACCGAGGGAGTGCGATGCTACCGACTCGTTAGGTTGTGGTCTAGGAGTGTAACTCAGAATCTAACTCACCATGGGAGTTGTGCATCCAGGCGCAAGATCCAAGAAGTAAACGTTAAGGCCACCGGGAAATACGACGCCGCTTCCGGGAGCACCTTGAATCTTGGGAAGTCCTCTTCTCCAAGTTAGAATAGCTCAATCCAGTTTCTTGAGGTCTTTCTAGCTTACGATCCATCAAAATAAGTGGGAACAGCAGAGACAGTCCCCACAGGCGTTCTGCGAAGCAGGCCTCCAAACATCTCCTCAGTCTGCAACTGCTCTGTCAAAACTTCAACTGCGGGTTCGGTCTGGATGGCTGATCCACTAGGCTCGAGTGGCAGGTTGGACAGGACGATGCGTCGACGGGGAAAATGATCAGCCATTGTAAAATGAGGATTGAGAGTAGAATTTGGCTTCGATTTATTCAGAAAAGAATCAACTTTCGTTGTGGGAAGCGATGCTTAGAAAATGTTGAGAGACGATTCAGGTCAATAAACGCCACCATGTCGAAGCTTTTATGTATGCATTTTTTTGCGTCGAGCAGAGAACGACATTAGAAAGATCATAGGTTTCGGCGCCGAGTCAATTAAAAAGCGGGCGCATTTGTCAGACGCCGGCGCCGGTATGCTGACTGGCGTTCCGCCCGAAGGATTCGGGTCCTTGAACCTGCGGGGGCCACATCCCCAACATAACGACTAGACTTAGGGACTAGCCCATCTGGTGATTAAATGCCTCTAAAAGTCTTGAGATTGAAACCCATAGGGATCCAAAAGAGCCGTGAGCGCGAGGCCACCTCGTAATCCTAGCCATTATCTTAGAGGTGCACTAATGTGAAGACACGCATTGCTTTGGGGAAACGGATTATCATGGACACATGCTGTCTATTCATGTTCAAGATGTATCATTCTACAACGCTATCTTTCTCTTCGAATATTCCCCTTTGACTAACTCTGAGGCCTAGTGCGCTCAGGCAATAGGGCCATAGAAGCTAAACTTGCCCTCAGGGTCATACTTGGACTTCAGAGACTTGAGACGATCCTGGCGCCACTGGTCGGCACCGTACCATTCAGAGGTCGTCTCGTCACCGAAAGCATAGTTGAGGTAGACGTGAATCTGCTCACGACCGCTACCCTCGTGGATGATCTGGCGCAGCTGGTTGCCGAGGTCAGCAGCCTGCTGGTCCAGGGCAGTGCCGTTGGGGGTGTAGGTGATGAGAGGGGCGAAGAGAAGGTTGTCCTCGCGGAAGGCAAAGGCAGTTGAGTCGCTGTCGACGGCCTTGACGCCCTCGTTAGAGTAACCCTCGAACATGAAGAGGGAGTTGTAGAAGGGAGAGTCGGTCTTGACGTTAGCCGCGAACAGTTCGTAGGCCTGGCGCTGAGCGGTCACGTTGTAGGACTCGACGTAGATAGGGAAACGGGGGTTGTTGAGGCCGGCCTTCTGGCAAGGGATGGCATCAAGGTCAATTCCGGTCCAGGTAGCGAGATCGAGGTAGGTTCCGGCGGTAGGGGTGGCGGAGATGGGACCGATGTCGAGGAAGGGCTGGGTGTAGGTGGAGTCGACAACATCAACACCCTCCTGGATGATCCAGAACAAGATGATGGGCTGTAACATCAGTCAGTCTAGGTTACCAGTCTCCATAGATTTCATGTGACTCACGTTCTCAGCATCGGCGTCGGGGTTGTTCAACCAGTAGGACCAGTTGACGACATCAGCAGACTGTGTTCCATTCTTCAGGAGGTGGTCGTTGGCAGCTTGGTAGACCTTCTCGACCTTATCTCCACTGAAGATGAGGGTTTCAACGGCCCAGTTGCTGTGTTCGATGTCATAGACCTTGACGTTGACTGAGGTGACAATGCCAAAGTTGTGGCCGGCGCCCTTGACAGCCCACCAGATGTCAGAGCTCTCATCGATGGTGACAAGAGTTCCGTTAGCCAGGACAATGTTCATGGAGAGGAACTGATCAGCAACAAGACCGTGATGACCCTGCAGCCAGCCATGACCACCTCCAAGGGCAGGTCCGAGCGTACTGACACACTCGCAAGTGCCAGTGACTGATAAGGATGTCAGTAACGTAGAGATTGAGTTAACCTCCGGTATTTGACCTACCGGTCTGCTTTCCGGCTTCCCAGAGAGTGTCAGTGACAAGCTTGGAGCGGGTACCGCCGGCAATCTTTGCGGACTGGCCATCCTCAGAGACCTCAACGCCGCTCAGCTGGTTGAGATAAATCTCAATACCATTCTGCATTTTGCCGAGGGTGGTGATAGCACCATGCACGCCGTTGTATGCAAGGAAGGGCAAGCTCTTCTCATTGGCGAATTTGATCTAGATGGGATGATTAGCCACTAGCTCAAGCTCTGTCGGTCCCATTAAGGCACGTGGAATATCGGAACTTACTGTCTCAGCAACATCGTTCTCCGTTCCGGGGACGACGACCAGGCTGACGGTCGGTGCGTTAAGGTTAGACCACCGGATAGTCGCGTTGGTGAAGTCGGCCGAGCCCGGCTCATAGATCTTGGCGGTGTCCGAGAGCTTGTTACCCAGCTCCGCAGTGTCTCTCGCGCAGATGCCTCCGAGAAACTGACGGGCGACGGGGATATTCGCGCAGGATGAGGCGATCGCCCATGCAGCCACGGCTGTGAGCACCTCCATCTTGAATCGATACATGATGACGGCAGGGGGGAGAGAGGTCAGAAACGAGGGATATTGGTCAAAGATAAAAACTCTTGTTCACCAAGGATGCAACTGGTCCCGAGGTGTCGGCCCAAGTGTAACCCGATCGCAGGATTTGAGACAAAGAGAGTGTGGTGGTATCTGTAGCGACTGACAGTGACAGGCCCTTCCGGTGGTTGAGCGTACCGCGCAAGCAAGAACCTGTGAAGACACAGCGCCGCGATTAGTATTTATTTCGCCATCCATGTCATGATGCGGTCGCAGTCGCGGGTAAGCCAAGTTCCTCCGTCGCAACGCTGCTTGCATTCTTAATTTCGGTCCCATGTAAAAAGTGGCTCCCCTACCCTGCATTGGCATGCATACGGCCTTGCTTCTGCGCCGCCCGGCCAGCACAGATTTCGGGGCAAAAGAGGGAAAAGGCCCTGTGAACCCACGTCGATATCTGCAGGTCTAGTGGGTCGATCCTAGGGCTTAGAATCCAAGTTTATGCGCGATCCTGATGAAGCGATAATCCGTCGGCGTTCAACACCAGCTGGTCAGGCTCGTCGTCTTGACTTGTTGAAAGTTGCGAGACACTGGCAACCTGAAAGGCCTCGATTGACCTAGTCCTGTTCCACGTGTCCCTCCCTTGCATCGATTTGTAAGTCGGTTGCACTCATTTGGAACCCTTCCAATCAGCACCAGCACCGCGGCGGACCCCAATGCTGACGTTACCTCGAGAAGCGGGACATCGTTCCATCAACTCCCAGTGTTGTAAAAGCCTCGGATGCCTCCTCGCAAATCCTGCGGCCCGTACCATGGGAGACCTGTGCAGTTAGTGTGGCTCTCAAAACCCAAAAGCTTGCAGAGTGCTGATGCCAAGTTCTTCGGCCATGACCAAAATTTCCGGATGCTACTAAGGGCGATTGTGCCACTATGCAATGCTACGCAACTCGGAGAGATGAAGACTGCGTGCTCCACTTCTTGCCCCTCCTCTTCTTCCTCCCTCTCAAAGTCCTACTTCCGACGCCTCAACGGTTGCTAAAAGTCTCGGCAATGCGGCACCTGGCAAATGACGGACGCCACAGCCGCGGCGCTTCTCGGTATCAAAGGATAAAGGGTTTCTTCAGTTGTGGAATGTTTTGGGCGCATGGTCTCGTGGTCTCATGTTGGACTCGACGTTGGAAGCTAGCGATTCGTAAGGCAGGGGATCGATGAGAAAAGCTTCAGACGTTCGGTCTAGACGCGGAGTGAAAGGAAACACACCAGACCAGACGACGCTGTTTTCCAGTCTGCGCCGCCCAAGTGCCGGACCATTTTTTACCTTTCGGGCCGCATAGACCTGTCAAACATAGCCTCGAACCCTTGCGCATTATTGTCTTCCGTGTAACTCTTGTGTTCCGTGGAACTCTTTCAAAAACCTCCGGTATAATGCTTTTCTCAGGTCTCTTTGCCGAGAGGATTTGAATGGTGAATCTCAGGGGAGCCGAACATCGGTTCGCTCGAGTTGCCGACCCTGATCACTCTCACGACTGGCGAAGACCCCCTTTTGTCTCCGCCCCCTCAGCACATCCCCCGAAGTATCCGTATTACCTTATCGTAAAGAAAAGTATTGTAGTGGAGATGCTCGACGCCGGGGAAGCACAGCCGTTGCTGCTCGGACCCCCACCAGGGGTCAGGGGATTCTGTGCGCGTCGTACGCCAGGCGAGTCAGGGGTCAACAGGGCTCAGTTCTCATCATCCTGATCTAGCAGCTTGGCATGGTGGAGAAATTCCCCCTTCGACCGTCAAAATTGGCTTGTCCAGCGTGCCCTATGGTGAAAGTAGTGGAGGTAAGTTGAGGCCTCAGACTTGAATGTGATATGCAAGTTAGATATGTGACCACATCCCCACTGAAGAGCTTGTTACCAGAGAGAGATATTGGAAGAGGTGGAGTAACATCCATTTTTCTAGTGCTGGGCACTTCAAGTTATTTTTCGTTGCTTGGCCGGTCATATGGTTGTCACAACGAGGACATCAGATGGAAATCGTGTTTCGAGGTTTATCGGCTCGTCGCCGAACGAAGCTAGAGGAAGGATTGCAACGTCTTTGCACGCACTCACCGTTGAGGTAGCAAAGCACGTACTGCTCACCGGAATCGGCCATTGTCCGATGGGAACGAACATGTTCATGGGCTTCAGGGAACCTTCTAGCTTAGCTGCATAATCCGTCACGTCTGTCACTTGCGTTTGTTCTGCTAGTGTTCCAATACCCCTGACACAAATTCTGGTTCACAGGGTCGTAACTCGGAGATGGGACCATGCAGGAAACCAAGGCTGCCAGGGCCCTGGCAAACACTGAGCCCATACCACAGGTCGCCTTGCACATAGTGAAGAAGTTTACCTCTATCGTCGAACGTCGCAGCTGCTGTAACTCTGCGTTCCCAAGTTTCGCGTTGAAGCCTGTTCCTCGGTTTCCAATGATCGATCCTCTCGCACATCCGGTGCAGTAGTGCCGGATCAAGGGCCCTGAGTCAAACATTGAGATGTTTTGTCCCGTTTCTGCCCTCACCCGGTGTGAACCGCCTTGAATATTTGTACAATGGGTTTCCCGAGGACCTCGTGCAGTTCTTCTTGACTGTTTCCGCAATCTTCGCCGACTTCCCCACCCCGTTTGCTCGCTCGACGGACATTGACACCAACCATCAAGCCGAAATGTCATCGAGTGATGCTACCCTCGACCCGGCGGCGCTGGCCGCCGCACAAGCTGCTGCCGAAGCAGCTCGCCGGATGACGATCGAGGCTTGGACGCTCTACGGCGTTGGTATGGTTGTGACGTTCCTCCGAATGTTCGCCCGAGCGAAGGCCGTTGGCTTCCGAAATTTCCGAGCCGATGACTACCTTGCATTCGCTGCCGCTGTATGTCAACAACGTGTTTCCCGACGATCCCACTACGCGAAAAGCTTATCGCTGATCCCAATCTATCCAGATCTTCTACACCATCCAGTCGACCTTGGCGTACGAGGTGGGCAATATCGCGCATGGTCTGGCCAACAATGGCATGACGGATGATGAACGGACGGCATTGTCTACCACTGATCCCGAATTCACGCTAAGGTTTGTCTCATCTAACTGGATCATGATACTGGGCGCTAAGTTCGTGTGCCACAGGGTCATCGGGTCTAAGATCCAGGTCGCGGGATGGACGACCTACTCCGCCCTGCTTCTGCTATTGAAGCTGTCGATGCTATTCTTTTATCTGAGACTGACTGTGAGTCGCCGTCCCTTCGCGTATAACATTGCGAATTGTCAGTTGACAATAGCTTAGGAAGGTCTTGGTCGCCGCTACAGGATGCGCATCTGGATAGGCTTTGGACTGGTCATCGGAACCTTTATGGCATCTATTCTTGCCGTCTTCCTCGCATGCATACCGTTCGATAAGTACTGGCAGATCAGCCCGGATCCCGGCAGTAAGTCTCCTAGATCCCATCTGTTGGTGTATTCTATGCTAACGGTATCCCTAGACTCTTGCCAGGCTGCCATTTCCTTGCCGATCATCTGGACGTCGTTCGCGGCAAACGTTTCGACCGACATATACCTTATTCTTATTCCCATCCCGCTACTTTGGGAGTCTACCCTCAGAGTTATCAAGAAGATTGCTTCGACCATCGTCCTTGGCGCCGGTATCTTCGTCTTGGTCTGTGCGACATTGAAGAGCATCTTTGTCCTGGTAGTGAGTTGATATCACACGCCTATATCTAATAGCTATTGACATATTTGGGCAGGATCCCGTCAACGGAGCCCAACTTGCAGGAACATGGGGAACGCGAGAGACATTCGTCGCCGTCGTCACGACTAACCTCCCTATGATCTTCCCTCTCATCCGGACCTGGCTCAAGCCCCTCTGGCCCAGCATGTTGCGCTCATCCAAGAAGGCCTATAAAACACCGAGTGGATTCCAAACCATTGGTGGCGGGAATGGACAATACGGCAACTCTCAACGAAGTCGCGATCGCCGCACTGGTCCATCAAGTGCGAACCCCATCACCGCCAACGTCTCATTTACCGAAAGCGAGGAACGAATTATGAATGATGTCAAAATGCAGGACATCAAGACGTCGACCAGCTCAGTCTCGCCGATACCTGGAAGCAAGCCACCGAATGGCATTGTGGTTTCGAACGAGATCCAGGTCACCATTGATGATAGGACTAGTCAATTTGTGGAGCAACGCCCGCAACATCCTCGCGAGGCTTGGTAGAGACCTGTCTGAGAAAATAACACATTAAATAGCTATATGATACCAATTTCTTCTGTCAAAAAGACTGCCAGCGCATTGCATTGTTTGCGCAAACTGTTCAGCCACGTCAATGGGCACTTGCGTCCGTCCACAATTGCCCCTGAAAGGCAGTGAGGTGCTACCCGACAATGAAGAGCCACAGGGTGCAAATGGGGTTCGGATGCAGGGATGTTGAAAATCCCCCGAGTCGGAGAAATCACACTGAACAGACGCGCACTCATGTAATTCTGCCGCCGTCAACAGCCGCGTGTCCACGTCACATCACCATCGGCAAAGACCCTTGATGATCCTGCCTCCTTCCGCTATTGCCCGCTTCTAGTTCAACATCGGGCGGAAATCGACTTTGGTACGCTAGATGTTGAGTGGGATACTACGCTCCCACATTCCGAGCATCTGTGCGGCGAGCACAACACCAGCGGACCCAGTGACAATTTCCTGAGGATGGATCCTTTGAAATATGCGGTATCAAGCGCAAACGGGGTATTGAGTGAAGAACCCGGGATTTGCCAGCGTCATGGAGAAATGCAAACATCAGGGGAAAGTTTCCAGACAGAGACTTGTGGCAACGGCTCCAATTCAAGTCTGCGGATGGTCTGATGTTCTATGGAAGAGCACAAGCCGGTTGGCTTGGCGAGGGGGCAGTGGGCACGATGACATGAGCTGCGCCGGGTCCACGTCACATTGGGCCCCATCTGCCTTTCTTAAGGTTGAAACGGCCGATGTCTTGAACTCCTGATAATGAAATGATAAGATCCTCCTTCAACACGACGATTGAGAAACGTTCTAGACCCAATGTCACAACCGCAGATGCTGGTCCTCGGCCTTCGTTTGCGCGGTGAGACAACGCAGATGACATCGTCTAATGCAGGTCTTGGGCCCCATGCCAAATGATGGCATTTGAGTTAGAAACGAAGATTAAGGTCTTTGAGACATGAAGAATAGATCCAACATGGAAGTGTTGCGCGCGCACGGAGAAGGATTGCGGTCGTCGGATTCTAATATAAGACAGCCAATATTGCTCTGACGAGAGTTCCTGTGTCTGACAAGTGTGCCGTGTCAGGCTATATGCTAATGGATGTCTGGAAACCACATTCTCCCGGCCAGTGACATCTGATTCGTTTCGAATTTGACCTTGTCGAGAAGACTCCTGCAGTAATAGTCCCATTTCCGGGATAACAGGGTCCTTGCGCTGAGTCTCGAATACATATCAATAAAGTTGAGTAAGGTAGTTACCGCAATCCGTAAACGCGATCAACTTGCAGCAAAACCTCCAAGCGATAGACAAGACACACGCCAAAGCATACATTATGTCACAAATAATTATAGCTGGGACGTATGCGGCTGTCCATGAGACTCGAAATTTTTGTGACCCTGTGGCGTTTCCGATCCAGGAGGCAATGGACATGACGGTCCCGGTGACCGACGTCTTAGCTCTTTCAGCGAAGTTGGATGGAAGAAGAGTCCAAATCAAAAGTCCCGATAGACGCCCGGTTACAGTCATAAGATAGAGACCCTGTCGTGTCCAAAGCAGTCCGTCGTTAGGCAATAAGCCTAGAGCCAGCATACCCACGAAGGCAGGAATCGTTGACACAACCATAAGCATAACTGTTTGATAGCATAAGGGCACAAGTCATGACACTTGCTAAGGCAGATTGGACAACATACGTCTCCAGAGGAGTGAATCCAATGGAAACATAAACCATGTTACCAAAAAGACGTGATTTCTCCGTCCAAAAGAAAATTAACGATAACTATAAAGAAGAAGAAGTATGTCTGAGGGTCCATGAAATTAGTGCAAACTTGGTCTCATAGCCAATTTTGCTGTCTTCTTTCCGAACTCATTCGGTTGCTGACGACTCGAGCAGCGGCCCTGTGTTTTGCCTCTTTTGTGAATCAACGGACTTCATTTGGGGCTCCCAAGACACGCAGAGAGAGGACGGACATGACTATTGTCCAGGATCCAAGGAAAACGCTAATAAATATCCAAGGACCGAAACTGTTGGGGTTAGATTGTGCATGACTTCCAATGCCGTACAGGTGATGATGACCATGCCACTATTTGATGAGCCTTGTTAGGACTGCTATGGTATTGGCCACAGCCATCTACCCTAGCCGTCCGACAAACAAGTTAATAACGGCACGGATCTCGGCCCGCTTGTACAACGTGCCATCCCAATGTTTGTTAAAAGCCACCCAGAATAGATCCCAAGATTTCCGCTGACGAGTTATGGAAAGCTTGAACACCCAAATTTAAAAGCCAGTCTGTTCATGTGCCGTTCCAGCTGGAGTGACGCACGTAGTAAGCAACGATGTCGGAGGAGACCCGGCCGAGACTTAGCCCTTCGCTATCATAGAGATCGGCAATTTGTATCGTGCCGGATAATTGAGAAAAGTGCAACGATAACGGATGAGATCCGCCCCGACCTTGACCTATTGTGCCGCAGGAGCGCTGACTAATTCGCATGACGTAGATTTGCGCAACCCCGAGCCAGAAATTCCAAGCGCCGAGGACAAGAATTCGAGTGAGTATTGGGCGCATAAGAAGGTTCAAAGTTATGTTGGGAGGTTGTGGAAGACTGGTACTGTTGCCATCGCTTATCGTGCCCGATCAGCGCAGTCATGCCCTCAATCATACGGTCTTCTCGTCTTCTCCGCCAAAGCTTCGCAGAGCTGATAGACGATGGGGCTGTCGTCATCAATGGCAACCAAATCGAAGATGTCGGTTCATGGGATAGCATCAAGGCAAAATGGCAAGATCTGCCGGTCACCAACCTGGGCGATGCCACATTGATGCCTGGTATTTTCGACTGTCATGTATGTACCTGCCACATCCGGGTTTGCAATTTGGCTAAGTCAATGACCAAGGTACATCTTCAAATGGATCCTAGTGGGATTAACACCAGTACCGATGTTGATCTGCCTGACGAGGAGCTTTTGCCTTTGATGCAGAGAAACGCTGCGAAACTCCTTGATGCTGGAGTGACAACGGCTCGCGACTTGGGCGCCCGAGGAATGACGGCAATCGCAATCCGCGAGATGATCAAGGATGGCACAACGCCAGGCCCAAGACTACAGTGCGCCAATGCTCCCTTGACAGTGGCGGGAGGCCATGCTCACAGCATGGGAGGTGTTTGTGAGGGTATAGCAGGCGTCCGCGCGGAGGTCCGCAAGCGAGTCGCTGAAGGGGCAGACGTGATAAAGGTCATGGCGACTGGTGGGTTCATGACGGCAGGTTCACATCCGTCGAAGGCTCGTTTCTCCCAGGCTGAGATGGATGCTATTGCCGACGAAGCCAAAAAGGCCGGACTGCCTGTGACAACGCATGCGACTGGTACAGAGGGTATCGAGAGAGCTGCCAACGCTCGCTTCAATTCAATAGAGCATTGCGCATGGATATCATCAGACGGCAAGGCTGTATTCGCCATGGCGGTCGCTCGAAAGCTAGTGGAGTACGACGTTGCTGTTTGCCCCACGGTAAATCATAATCTCTCTTGTACTAGACGCACGGCAATAGGACTTACTTTGCTATAGATGAACACGGCATGTGTCGAGACGGACTACTTTTGCCCTTGGGACAGTCGAAATGTTGTTGTATCCAATCTTTCGTTACTGCGGGAATCAGGCATCAGGATAATAGTTGGGACGGATGCTGGTATCGGATTTTGCCCTTTTGAACGTTACGCAGATGGGCTTACCGTCTTAGCAGACGCAGGGTATACTCCGCGGGAGATCATCGCTGCAGCAACAACGGTTGCGGCAAAAGAGTGCAATTTAGATACTGAATGTGGTAAGATTGAACCAGGCTTCGCTGCAGATCTAGCTGCATTCGTAGGGAATCCGTTGGAGGACATCAAGTGCATTGCTAAGCCCTGCTTTGTGATGGCCGCGGGACGCAGACATGACCTAACCCCCATAGCACCGGTGGGCGATATGTCGAATGCCAAGTCGTTGACCTTGCAGGTTCTGAGAAAGGGAGCAGGATTAGTCTAGGAACTCGACCTTTCCATATGTCAATTTCAATACACAATATTCAAGACTCCGCTAGCTGGGGTTGCACAGGATCCACGTTGTATAAGCTTTACATATTACGATTCTGCCTGGATAGGTCTTCTAGTAATGGTAGTGAGACAGGCGGATCAGTAAAAGATCAAGGGAATAACAAGCTCGATTTACATCGTTCAGATATTTCTTCTAGTAATACGCGGTAAACTCTAATCTATAGCATTGATGATTATCGTTCTTTCAGAGTTCCACTGGGAGCCACATTCAGGCATTCATCTGCTGAGGCTTGACTTGACAGAAGACACAGCACGCATATAGTAGCGGAACTACAACAATTTGTATGCAGTAGCAGCCAAGTGCACACTCGTCTGGTGCGACAAGCATGTATGCACAGCTAAGTATCAGAGGATGTAACTTTCTACTAATTTGCCAGTTTGACCGTTCTACGCCCTCGTGAAGCCGTGGGTGTCTTTTATGATATCGACGGCAGTATACAGGCTTACGGAAGACTCGCCAGACGTCCATGGAGTTTTCTAGGTGCCGCTTGATGATTATCTGGGTCCAATCAAAAGCGTAAACTGTCAATACTGGCTGCGGTAAGCTGACACACACGGCCAAGTGCTGTCAAGAATTATGGGAAGTAACTCCTGCAATTTGAAACCGATAGAAAGAGGAGTTTGCTGTAATGGAACCTGACTGCGACTGACATTTGGCTAGGTCTATCTTAGTTCCTGTGGCCGAGTCTATTACTAGACGCCATGATTTTTTCTTTTTTGCTCGTGCGAATTGGCCCCATTATATTTTGTCATATTTCCAAGAACTGCAAGAAATGCACATTAATGCAAACATTTTGTGAAAGTCTTCGCACTGTTGCCCCCTTCGCCGCTGCCAATGGATCTGAAGAGGCACTAGGCCCGGAAACTGGCCTGATGTATGCAGGTGGTGTTCTTCGAAGAAGGCTGGGGTAGCGGCACGGGTCGAACCCTATTGGCGTCGGGCGGCTGAACATCAGCAACGGACCCACCATCGGGAGACTGGCAACGCCTGATTAGTGCTTGATCCTGGACGTTACGAGGGCGATACGTTGACATGAGAAAACGCACTTGCATATCCGCGTGCTGGGCATGCACAACGCGCATCTTGCACCAACAGCTGGTCACCGGTCTGCAAAGAGCACGTTGAACCCACAGTATCCGTCGTCTGTCATTTGTAACGGCCTTCCTGATTTGAACCCATCGGCCCCTGCGACAATCCCCTCTTTTCAAACTCGGGTTTCTTTCTTTTCTCCTGATAATTCTGACGCAGGTTACATTTTATCCCGCCAAACCTCGCACCTACAGTTTTGGGTCTCTGCCGACCGAGGTTGCGGACTAATTACATACAGGATGGCGGACTCGTCACATGCCCCAAGGTCTCCAGAGGCACCTCCAACGGCGATAGCCCCCTCGCCAAGGGCAGAAGCCACTCCTCCGAAGTCCAAGACTGCTTCACCAAGATCGGCAGGCTCACCTGAGGCCGAAATCCCAGGGCAAACGACCGGAACTGCGACCCAGCAAGCCGAGATTGAAGTCGACGAAGGTGTAAGTGATGATGTCTTGGCTCGTCTAGAGAGCCGATCGATCTTTCTGACTACGTACCTAGATCGCCGACCGTGATTCCGTTACGGATGAACAGCTGTAAGAAGAGTGTCTTCAACCATTAACTCTGCTGACTCCGCAGGTCAATTTCCGGATATACCACATCCGTCACGTCAAGCGTCTACGACTACCCGACCGAGAATGGCCGGCGCTACCACGCGTTCCGACATGGCAGTCAGTGTCCATTCGAAATCCAATGTCCGGTTGAACAAGGACTAATGCTAACACGAATCAAGCATACTATGGGCCCAACGATGCGGTAACAACTTGCTCACGTTTTTCAAGGATTTCAAGCATTGAAGACTAACAGCGGACAGGACGAACTCGACCGCTTAGACTTTAATGCTAGCTTCCTGACCAAGTTGACCCAGAACCAGTTGCACCACGCTCCTCTTGAACAAGGCAAGGTGCATCGAATTCTGGACATTGGGACCGGAACTGGTATCTGTTAGTAAAACTCTTCTGACGTTACCATCGTCGTCAGCTAACCTGCTGAAGGGGCTATAGAGATTGCGGATCTGTTTCCGGACGCCGAGGTTAGCTGCAGACAAGTCTCTAACGGCAAGTGGAACGAATCTAAATACCATGCAGGTTATCGGAAACGACCTGAGTCCTGTTCAAAGTGAATGGTGCGCCCTGATCATGATATTGACTCTATGACATCATTGCACTGTGTTGACAGTTGCCAGGGTCCCGCCGAACGTCAAATTCGAGGTCGATGACGTGGAGAGCCCCTGGGTGGCGCCTAAGTACGACTTCATCTACTGCCGATTCATGGCAGGGGCAATCGCGGACTGGCCCAGGCTCGTGAAGAACACTTTCAAGTAGGTAACTGTATCGTGACATCTGCATGGACAACACTAAGCTTGATATAGAAATACCCACCCCGGCGGCTGGGTCGAGTTCCAGGACTGGGATCTTCTCTTTAAATCCGACGATGGATCCATCACCGACGACCATTACTCCATGAAAATGATCAAGATGTTCATGGAGGGCTCCAGGAAGGTAGGCCGCGAGCCGCAGCCCGGGCCCCTGCTGGAACCGTTGATGCGAGGGGCTGGGTTCGTGAACATCCACCACAAGCAGATCAAGTGCCCCCTCGGCATGTGGCCAAAGGACCCGTATCTCAGGGACCTCGGGCACATGAACATGATTCAGGCTCTCGATGGGCTGGAGGCCTATAACCTAAGGTTGTATACCGGCGTGTTAGGGTGGACTGTGGCGGAGGCGCAGGTTTTGTTCGCGCACGTGCGCGACGAGATACGCAATAATGCCTTCCATGCTTACATGGTTTAGTGAGTTTGTCTTCTCATTACAGAGAATGTTGACTTATTTTGTACACAGTCATGTGGTTTATGGGCAGGTACCTGAGTCGAAGAAATAATGGAAGGAAAACTCGGCTGCACGTATGGTGAAATTTGTCCCTTTTCTCGCATCCTAAGGTGGCTTATAGCAGCCGAAATGACACACACGAACTGGATGAATTATTTCTTGACTCTACGACTATTGTACAAGCATCATGGCGAGCACGCTCCTTACAACAAGACATCAAATGAATTCCGAGGTGGTTGGGCCGTCATTCGGCCGAAGTGGATAGTTGACTGGGCATGAGCATCTCAGACGCCTGGGGCAAAGGCTCAATATCGAAGGCTTGTCGTCTTGGCGAAAACGGAACTATCGCTCAATGGGCCCGACATTCGTCATAAGGAAACACCGATCCCGAAGTGATGCTTAAGCTTAGAAATAGAAAACTTCAGGGGTCTCTCTCTGTCAAAAGTCACCTCCACGGACCGTCCCTTGGCCGCGCCGATGGGTAATCCCCGCCGTTGGCTCGAGCTTTTGTCAGCAAGCTGCAGCCGTCATGACTAGGAATTGTTTTCGAGTCCGGGACGCTAGCCAGATCTTGCTAGAGCATTAATATGGCGATATTGTAGCTCCACGCTTCCAAGCATCGGTTTTCTCATTTACCTCTTATTCCCGTGGTTGTGGTTCCTGCCAAGCCATTTAAGAGTGAGGAACCATCCCGTCGGGCCCATGCAGGCTTTTGTGAATCGTGATGCCGGCCACACCGGGACGTCAGATTGGCCAGGCCCGTTGGTCGGCAATAGGGCACGGGAAGCAGACTACGTACATCGGCAGCAAAATCCGGGAAAGATGTCAGAGTTGCTTGGCAGGCAGGCGTTGAGAATTTCGATGGCGATCAGTATAGGGAGGCGGATATCTTATAAATATTGGCCGATGGGCTGTGTTAGTCGACGCTGCAGAGCCTACAAGCAGATCACTTCTAACGTACTTTCCTTCAATCACACGCTCACTCATTATGAAATTCTCCCCAGTAGTTCTCGCACTTCTTCTTCGAGGAGTTCAATCGAGAGCCGTGTGCAATGATGGCAGTAACGCCACTCAGACACCAGACTTACCGATTGTCGACTTGCCTCATGTAAGTTAGAGCATGTGGTGATGGGCTGTTTAAATCGCAGCTACTGATATTAGCCTTTCGTTCTAGGAACGCCACCAAGCTATCAGCTATGATGTAAGCCTTCCTGCACTTTCCAAACTTGGTCTTGCATTACAACGATGCTAACTCGGGTGGACCTCACAGGAGGACGCAGGCACCTACAACTTCTCGAACATCCGCTTCGCCGAACCCCCTGTGGGCGATCTCCGATTCCGAGCTCCTGTGCCCGTCAAAGTTTCCAACACTAGTCACGTTGTTAACAATGGCTCGGTCGGCGCCATTTGCCCTCAGCCCTTCACTCTTTTCAACGATACGGCGGTAACACAGTGGATCCTATCCTACATCAGCGGCACGGTGCTTGACCTCGCAGAGTTGCAACAGCAGGCTGCCAATCAGACTGAACCGCCCGCCGACCCTCGCATCTCAGAGGACTGCTTGTTTCTTGATGTTATCGTGCCGAAGAAGATCTATGACAACCGCGGATCTGGCGCCGGGGCACCGGTGTTGGTCTGGATCTATGGCGGAGGGTACCTGATTGGAGAAAAGACTGGGTTGGGACTGCATGATCCAACTGGCTTACTGCAAGCCAATGATGATCTTGGCGAGGATGGCTTCATCTTCGTTGCCATGAACTACAGGGTCAGTGCATTTGCCTTCCGTTCTATTGCAATGGCGTGCTCTCTTTGACATGGCCATTCCACTGTTGGCATCTTTCTCGGCCCACTTCGCTCTCCCAAATCCACCTTTTGCTGACATCTGTAACCAGCTCGGGGCATTTGGCTTCTTGGGTGGCCCTACCGTAGAGGCTCAAGGGACGCCTAACGCTGGCCTGTATGACCAAAGGTTGGCCCTTGAATTCGTCAAGGAGAACATCCAATTGTTTGGAGGGTCTCCAGACCGCGTGACGGTGATGGGGGAGAGTGCTGGCGGCGGCTCTATCATCCACCAGTTGACAGCTTTTGGTGGTGAACAAGGACCGGCCCCTTTCCAGCAGATCATCACCCAGTCCACCGGTTTCGTGCCTGCGCGGTCAAGCCAAGCACTCGAGGATGTTGTCGAAACCGTGTTGAGCGTCGCAAATGTCTCTTCATTCGATGCCCTGCGCAAGTTGCCATCGGACGTCCTCGTCGCCGTTAACAACATCGTCACCCGCCAGCTGTACCAAGGCGCTTTCCACCCAGCTGTCGATGGTGTTTTTGTTCCCGAGGAGCCTGCGCGGATGTTGCTTAGCGGCGACTTCGACCACGTTCGTGCACTGATTGGCACCAACGCCAACGAAGGCATCCTTTTCGGTGACCCCAGAATCAACACCACCAAGGCCTACTCCGAGTACGTGCGCACCCTTGTTGCCGGCATCAGCAACGACAGTGCTACTGCCCTGGAGGACGAGGTGTATCCTCCCATTTTCGATGGTTCTCAAGGCTACACCAACAACTTCGAGCGGGCCTACCAGAGCTTTGGGGAGTTCTGCTTCACATGCAACCAACCCTTCACATCGCGTGGTCTGGGGAACGCCACGTACAACTACCAGTTTGCAGCCCCACCCGGTGTCCACGGTCAAGATCTTGGGTTCACTTTCTATCGTGGGGAAGCGATTGACCCAGCTGGAGCCCCTTTTCCACCTACCACAGACGTTGACGTTGCGGTTTCAAGGGTTCTTCAGTCTTGGATTGCCAGCTTTGTCACGAGCGGAGCCCCGACGGCACCGAACGTAATTGGGTTCGAGCCATACGGTAATGAGGGCAACCTCCTTATTCTGGGTGAAGCTAACAACTCGACGCATGTTGCGAGGGGCACTGATCCGACGCTCGCCCGGGGTAGATGTGACTGGTTGGCGAAGCGCATCATTGACGAGACTCTGCTCGAGGCCAATTGAGCAGGAGTTATGGAAGTTATGTAGATAGTTCCACGTTTAGTTGACGTAACTGAAACTTTTCAAACACCGAAACATGCGTAGTAGGGCGCCGTAGGCACATGTTTGACAAGAAGAACGAACGTGGGGTTCATCCGAAAGATTGAGCGCTTGGGCCCGAGATCGGAGGGGGCGTTCCCGGGAAGCGCTAAAAACGAGGTACCCGCCGGACCGAAGTGGAGCGCTGCCCCTCCAAAACGTGCCAAACGTCGGAGGCGCAAGGGCGTTATCGATAAGCCGATTGTCGAGTCACTCGCTGCTGCTGGTGCTTTTCTGTTAATCCCGTCGATCCATGCGCGAACCGGCCCAAATTTTACCTCTGCCCTCCTCCTTCAACACCACCTTTGTTTTCCCACGGAGTCGAGTCTGCCCTCCAACTCACCATAATGGCGTTCCGTGCCCCTCTGCGACTTCAATTGGCCAAGTGCCAGCCGCTCCTGGCCGTCTCTTCGCGTTTCAACGCCCGTGCGCTCTCTTCTGCGACCGCCGCCGCCTCCAGCATCCCCGAGAGCATCAGCGTAAGTCGTTGTACGCGGAGATGGAGTCATGATGTTTGTTCTTGGGGTTTTTGGACTGACAAGACCTCACAGAAGGAAGCCTCCGTCCCGAACCCCGATCCCACCGAAGACTCCCCCAGCGCCGCTCTCGTCCGCGAACATGCGCCTTACATGGTGGCCACCTACGCCCGCCCGCCCCCGGTGTTCGTGAAGGGCCAGGGCTCTGTCCTCTGGGACGTCGAGAACAGGCAATACCTCGACTTCACCGCTGGTATCGCCGTCAACGCCCTGGGCCACTGCGATCCCGAGATCACAAAGCTCATGACCGAGCAGGTAGGTGGTAACTCCGAGCCATAGTTGAGTCATTTTGCGCAAAGTCACTGACACAGCCCGTCACGAACCAGGGTAGCACTCTCATGCACGCCTCCAACCTCTACTACAACCCCTGGACCGGTGCCCTCTCCAAGCTCCTCGTTGAGAAGACCCTCGAGGCCGGCGCCATGCACGACGCCAACTCCGTCTTCGTCTGCAACTCCGGCTCCGAGGCCAACGAGGCCGCCATCAAGTTCGCCCGCAAGGCCGCCAAGGTCTCCAACCCCGGCAGCGACAAGTTCGAGGTCGTCTCCTTCAGCAACGCCTTCCACGGCCGCACCATGGGCAGCCTGTCCGCCACCCACAACCCCAAGTACCAGGAGCCCTTCGCCCCGATGCTGCCCGGCTTCAAGCTCGGCAAGTTCAACGACGTCTCGGCCATCAACGCCACCGTCACCGAGAAGACCTGCGGAGTTATCGTCGAGCCGATCCAGGGCGAGGGTGGCGTCACCCCCGCCTCCGACGACTTCCTCATTGCCCTGGCCAAGCGCTGCCGCGAGGTCGGCGCCGTCCTCATCTACGACGAGATCCAGTGCGGCCTCTCTCGCACCGGCACCTTCTGGGCGCACACCCACCTGCCCAAGGAGGCCCACCCGGACATCATCACCACCGCCAAGGCCCTCGGCAACGGCTTCCCCATCGGCGCCACCGTTGTCAACAAGAACGTCGCCGACAAGATCAAGGTCGGCGACCACGGCACCACCTTCGGCGGCAACCCCCTCGCCTGCCGCCTGGCCCACAACATCGTCTCCCGCCTCGCCGACCCCGCCCTGCAGAAGGGCGTCACCGCCAAGGCCGCCATCTTCAAGACCCGCTTCGACGCCCTCCGCGAGCGCTTCCCCGACCTCATCCAGGAGGTCCGCGGCCGCGGCCTCATCCTCGGTCTGCAGCTCACCCAGGACCCCACACCCATCGTCAAGGCCGCCCGCGAGCGCGGTCTGCTCATCATCACCGCCGGCACCAACACCCTCCGCTTCGTGCCCCCTCTGACCATCACCGAGAAGGAGATCCAGCAGGGTCTTGACATTTTGGAGGAGGCTATTGCTGTTACCCGCTCATGAAAGAGGCTCTTTTTTTTGCGACGAGTCTTTGATTCCCATGTAATTAAAAATCACTTTATGCCGGCGTTCAAAACTTTATGAACATTAGACGTAGATTCCACGTACGCAAGCAGCGAAGCGTTCGTTTTCAAGAAGGGGGGAATGAGGAGAGAGCTGGCAATTAGGCGGCACAACAAGGCATGTTAGTGTGTTGTGCCCGAATAGATAAAATGTCCATGAACCAAGCCTCCGTCCAGGAATATGAAATACAAAGAAACTAACGTGGACCGCCTTTGCCTAATTCCTCCGCGCGAATAGTATCAATTCAAAGAGATTCAAGTTAGGTCATGAGCAAAGCTTGGTCCGCAGCAACAATCTGTCCTCCTCTCCATGCATTGGCAATGCAAACATTACTGACTTCCAGCCGCAAAGTCATCAGGTACAGCTTGAGTGCTTCTATGTGACCGTCCAGTACCCTCAAGGCAACAGGGTCAGTCATGGTCCCGCTGTCCCTCAAAGCTTCCAGCTTATCCAATAACAACCGAGAAAGCCCTCCAGGGGTTCCCAAAGTTTGCGGGCCGACGTACTCCTCGTAACGTTTGAAGGACATCTTTCGAAACCAATCCCAATCCTGCGATGGCTTAGTGACGATGAGGTCGGCTAGGTTCCGCACAAAGTGCTGGCAGTTGTTGCGTGTTAGATGGTAATCTCCAATTCCCTTTCAACTTTCCGGAATGCCTCGTCAACTTGGTCTTTTGTCTTGTTCGTCCATCCAATGAGCACCATGATGACGAGGCCGCCTTTGGTTTGGACTTCAGGTTTTGCCCGAGTCCCAATTGACTTATCTCGCTGCTCCATATCTGATGCGTAGTTTGAGTACTGGCGGGTGGCGGCTTCGTAGAACTTGCCGAAGCCCGATGTATTGGTTACATCTTCGATAGGTTCAACGAGGCCTTCGGTCTCTGTTGTCTCTTCCATGGCAGAAGGTCTACCGTTACCAACTCCTTCTTCAGAGGTCGGATTGGGCCGTCGCTTCCTCCTCAATTCATACTTGTATCGATGCGCAAGAAGCAGCCAGTGCCGCAGCTCGCCCTTGAAGGCCCAGAGTGACAGCCACACGGGTTCGCCATGCGCAGTGTTATTCTCTTCCGCCAGTCGCTCTTCTGCCTTCTTCTTGAGATGTTCTTCCCACGTCTTGTTGATCGTCTCGAAGGTCTTCTTAGGGTCCGAGGCAGACGGGATGTCGTATCGGGTGAGGTCGGTCATGTCAAGTTCCTCGACCACTTTTCTGGATTTTCGCGAGCGATGGATTTTGAACAAGTAGGCAAAGAAACCTAGCCAACCGGTGATGATGCTAAGCACCAAGATTGCCGTTCTTTTCTCATCATTGTTCATTATGCTGAACTATGACGTCGTTTGGGGTACCTTGGAGGAGCCTCATCTAGCAGAAAATATTGCCGCTCGATGAGCCCATTAGGAAAGTCTAGAATTCAAATGGAAGACGTTCTTGACCCATCTCTGGCTTTTATAAGTCTATCCTTTTGAGACAGGCCAGACGTGCCAGAGTCCGAAAATTCGTGAAAACCGCACTGAATTGGCATTCGACCTGACTAAATGACACGTTAATCCATTTTGAATGATGGTGTGTAGTTCCCTTTTAGTAAGCAAGGCTTTAGCCAGGCGTTCAACAATAGGTGCAGAAAAAGAGGCTTCGCCGCAATCAGGCAGGACTTCCCTAGGCAGACATTTTATAAAATGCAGAAAGTGACATTTTTGATCTTTTTGGTTGTGTGTTCCAGACCACCTGATCCAGATAATTTATGTAACAATTGTAACATTCTAGCCGCTAAATCAATCAAGTGAGGTGAACGCGTCATTCCTTCAAGCTTTGATAGAACTTATTCCATGTTTCTACCGTTTTCAGCCTTTAAGTCGAATGTCAGGAAACCCAACGAGATTCGCCCTATCATTATGAGCGATCAAAATGGAGAAATCGAGATGACGCGCCGGGCTCAGGTAGACGAACCCTTTAGATGCCGTGGAAAGCAGAAGTCTAACTGAATATCAACAGCCGAGCCCATTCCACACTTCTATACTAAGCAATAAAGACTGGGGTCGATAAACTAGACCTTGACGATATTTATGCTTCATTGCTACCAGCAGTTTACCGGGACGCACACGAGAACCTGATTGATCCAAGTGCTTCCGAAACAATTATGCTCGAATGTATCGATAAGGAGCTCCACCTCAAGCGTCTAGCCGATTTTCATGACTGGCTTTGGCTTGCTGGCAGACCAATGATCCCGCGACCATTGCACTACCAGAACTTGGCTGGGCGTCAAAGACAAGTCACTGAGCAGATGGATATGCATCTCGTTTCGAGCAAGCCTAGAATCTGGATCACACCTACACCACAATTCCTCATGGAGCCTCGGTTCTCGCAGGACTATGTCTTGCAAATCAGACCCTTCTGGGAGCATTGGTCACGTCGATCAAGAGTCATGTAGCTGCAGCCTTCGAAGACGGCCAGCTATCGGCTTTCTCTTTTCTTATGCAGCGCTTGTTTCTCATCAGAGCGATTTCATCATCGCTCACGAGAAGCACCTGCTCCCCCAAGAGGTTGACTGGCCGGCATGGAAGAAATTCGTCAAAGAGCTGCTAGACAATGAAAGCATCTACCGCGATATTGATTCGCGTTTTCACTATGGCGAGCTGCGCTTGAACCGCCTCAATGAGCTTTACTATCTACGGAGGACGCCATTACGCGCCTACAGGTCTTACTGGAATCATTACGGCTCATTTTTCGAGGCAACCTTACATGGATGGCCAGCTCGACCATTTACTTAGTCGTTGTTCTGACGGCTATGCATGTTGACCTTGGCACAAATAGGCTCAAGGAAAACCACGCTTTTCAAAGGGCATCGTATGGGTTTACTGTCTTCTCCATTCTCGGACCTCTGATTATTGCTGCAGGTGTTGTCGTGGTGTTTGTTTGTTTATTTATGAACAATTGGATAGCGACACTCAGGCTCAAGCGGACTCGCTTGAGGCATATCGATCACGACATTAGACGGGAAATGAGTCTGCTTTCAGCGACGCTGGGCACGACGGTCCCAGGATCCGCAATGGCAGCTTCCTGTAGCGATACGCCTGCTGCAGCCGCCGTCTGATGTCATTTTAACTATTAATTAACCTCATTTGCGTTCCAGACGCTTTCTCACAGCAATTCGTCTTTGAAACAAAACGCGAACCCAACTGGCTATCTCGGGTAACCGATTGCTGCCGAGAGTTGCGACCATCGTTGGCGAGTTAGCATGCCCTCAACGTTTGTACTTTGATGATGACTTTTTCGACATTAACTCATGATATTGAGCTCTATGTAAAATATACACTTTATCTGTATCGGTTCCTGTTGTTTCTCATTGAACGATCGCTGCTGGCATGTGTTGTCAGACATTCAACATTTGCCTAAGCTGGGGCTGGCGTCTCCGCCTTAAAAGGCTTGCGACCCATGATAAAATAACTAGAACACGCAAGTCAGCACGAGGTTTGCTCTGTTAATCCCAGCAATTCAACACTTACATTGGCCAGTACGCGTGAACGTCTCTGTTGTTGATCTCCTTGCGCACATCGATGAGGAAAACGTTGACCTCATCCTTCTTCCAGTCTAGCGCACGCGTGAGAGGGGCCATTGTAAAACCCTCGAGTCCTTCCATCATGCTTTGGTTTTGCCACATTCCCAGCTCTTTGAACTTCAAATCCTTGGGCCAGCTGTTCGTGGGCCACTTATGCATATAGATGCTCACGTCTTCGAAGCCGATCTCGATCATCATATCCTTGAGAGGAGGAATTCGGACATATGGGCGCCCAAATTTTTCAGATGCATCAACGAGAAGATCAGCCCATTTGTTAAGGGGGCTTTCCGGAGTAAGGGTTCCGTCATCGGAGCGCGGCACACAATCGAGCTCCTGGAGTTCGAGCCATCCACCGGGCTCGAGGTTACTAGGCCATGAGTGATTAGCTTTGCCGCGAAGCTTCAAAATGGAACCTTGAGATTGCCCTTACTCGAAGCATCTGCGTAGGTAAAGGCGCCAGTCGCCGATGCTGGAGGTCATCACTCTGCTATGGATGTAGCTGAATGGACGAGAGAAAGTCCACTCGTCTTCGACGTCGTCGACCTCAAACCGAACGTTGGGCGGCACACTACACAAAGAATGTCAGCTCTGAATTGAGCGAGGGCATTTCATACAAATTTCAATAGCGGTTCTTACTGGCCCGGCTGAACCGGAGAAAGATCATTTCCGTAAACCTACAGCCGATAGCAATGTTAGAGCCTCACATGTCATTATCAAATAGATAGCGAGCAACATTACTTCAGCTTCCGGGTGTTCATCACCGTAATTCAAAGCCCAAATTCCCGTTCCCGTCCCAACATCGAGGACTCGGCCGACCTTAGCGTTCGGCTGGCACGGCGGGGCGAGACCGAGCCTGTCGTCAAGGCTAAGCAGCCATAACTGGTGCTCCAGATCTACATTTTCGATCAGTGACCCGTAAAGAACGCAATCAAAATTACGCACCCTGCCTATCTAGCTCTCTGTCGTCATTTGGAAGATTGTATTCTGATATAGCAATTAGAGAACTATACTGCTAGACGGGGGTAGATCACGCACTCCCATCCTTGTATTGGTGGTAGGACCGGCCGTTCTCCTCGCGATAATCCCGGAGTGACGGGCGAAGACTGGTGATTGAAGGAGCGACGCTCTGTGATTCACTGTATCAATTACGACGCTCTTCGATATTTGAAAGCATTTCACGGAGGATGAGTCGAAAACATTGGTGAGATGGCGGCTTACACTTCCGATTTCCGACCGAGAATCATCGTCTCCAGGCTACGGCCAATATTAGATTCATTCAAAATATCTTGGGTGGATTCACCCGTACCGCTTCGTCGATGGCGACCTGGACTTCGTTGCTCTCAGGAGCTTGATACATGACAGCGATGTGTGGCTGTGGATCCCCGAAACGGTGCAGTTGGCTGTTGAAAAAGATTGCTAAGAAAGAGGAAACAGTTCCAACAACCAGGGTCGAGGAGAGATACAGCACAATTGAAATAGCCCGGGGGTCACACGGGACCGGCCTTCATGTCCGGTCCCCTTTTCTTGGCTGGCAACTGCGTGCGTTCTGTAGCCTGCACCAACCTGCATAACTCGTTCACAACAAGGCCACATTTTGTGGATCAACTGCATCCTACGCGAATAAAAATACAGAAAACAGGCAAGCAAACATCTCGGATATGTACCACCGGCCCTAGCTCGCATATTGGTGACATGTCCCCCTGCATTGGGATAAGAAGCCGAGGGGCGCGGATATAGGATCTAGCCCTCGGTTGGTAGCCCGACGATTCTTTACCCACGTTGTCACGCTGCCCGCGCTGACGAGCCCCTGATGGGCCGAGCACCGCGGACACTTCGGATCATTCCCGGTCACCTAGACGCAGAGGGTAACCAAATCGTTGCGCCATGGTTCCGAAGCGTGCACTCGTGGGAAGACACAAGTCTCTTCTGAGATACTGTGGTTGATAAAAAAAAAAAAAACTAGATGCGGCTGAAGATTCTACATCTGAAGTAACCTTGTTCTAGCCACTCAATGGCTTCCGGCCAACGACGAAGTATCTGAGTTTGTTAGCTGAGATCATCTTTTGACCAAGGTGCAATGAAATATCTTACACTAGCCAGTATGCGTGAATGTATCTGTTCATAACATCTTTCCGAACGTCGACCAGAAAGACTGTTACTTGCGCGGGTTTCCAGTTGTGAGCGCGCGTTAGGGGGGCTAGGCTAAACCCATCGAGCCCAGTGACCATATTTTCTCTCTGCCACAGCCCTAGCTCTTTGAATCTGACATCTCTGAGCCAATCATTTGATGGCCACTTGTAAGTGCTAATGATGACGTTTTCAAAGCCAGCCTCAATCATGCTTTCTCTCAGAGTAGAGAGTTGCAAGTAGGGACGGCCGAATTTGACCGAAGCGTCATACATCAGGCCAGCCCACTCCATTAATGGACTGTCCTGAGCGAGGCTTCCATCGTCTGACGTAGGAAAAAGATCCGTTTCCTGAAGCTCAAGATAGCCGCCGGGTTCGAGATTACTGCGGTCTCTTAGATTAAGTGTTGTGAGGAAATAAAGGGTTATAAGAGGGGTAAACATGAGCCTACTCGTAGCATTTCTTCAGATATTGAGGCCAGTCAGCAACACTCGCAGTCATCACCCGGCTATGGATGTAGTCGAATGGTTGTGAAAACGTCCATTCATCCTCTATATCATCGACCTCGAATCTCACGTTGAAGGGGACACTGCATGCTCGAGGTTAGTCCTGTTTCAGGCTTGAACGCTTCAAGTCGGGGTGCAAACCACTTGCCTCTCTGATTGAATCGGGGAAAGATCATTCCCATAAACCTTATAACTGTTAGATTTCATAATGGATAGGTTGACAGTGAGTTTAGGTGCGCATGTAGCAAGGCAAAGAACCTACCTCGGACTCAGGATGCTCCTCTGCGAAGTCAATCGCCCATATTCCCGTGCCTGTGCCAACGTCAAGAACTCGACCGACCTTCGCATCACTATTGCATGGCGGAGCGAGGCCAAGTCTGTCGTTGAGAGTGAGAAGCCACATGGCATGCACCATATCTGACGTTATAGTCAGTCGGCTGGTCAGAGGAGGTCGCGCGCCAGCGTTTACCTGTTCTGTCATTCTCTCTCTCATCATTGGGCAGATGATATTCTGAGAACGTTAGAAGATGTACACAGGCAGAAATCATTAACATACTGCCTTCCTTATATCGATGGTAGATTCGTCCATTCTCCCTAAGGAAGTCCCTCAATGATGCCCGAAGGCTGATCGTTGATGAGGCGATGGTCTAGTGAACCGAGTAAGCTAGAAGCTCGGCTAGTTCATCTTATTCGCAACGAGCGCTTACGCTTCCAATATCACTGCGAAAAGTATCCGGCTGTGATCCTGCGTCAGATCGAAGGCGGGAAAGTAAATGCGGCAAATGCACAAAATGAATTTACCTGCTCGTCGGCAGCGACTTGGATTTCAAAGTCGTTCTGGCGATAGTCCATGGTCATCGATTCGGTTTCAATCGGCAAACGCGGAGAGACCGGTTCTGGGAGATAAAGAGGGAAGGCAGGAAAAGACAGCAGACAACGGCAATCATGGGCATGTCATTGGCTTTTGTACGACCAATCCCCATCCCTTGTTGGCTGACCGTCTTCTTGCACCAACGTGCATAAACACCCATGCTGGGTGGTCGATTTTGTGGACATGAAGAGCTGCGCACGAATAGCAAAACGGGGAACCGGGGCAAATGCAGCGTTTGTCATAAACAAATCTGCTGGGTCACCATTCCAACATGCGCAGATGGAACCTACAGCCAAGCAAGCGCTGGTGCCATGATCCCGGCTGTCGGTTTCGACAAGGCAACGGCGTAAAGTTGATTTACAACATTGAGCTGTAAATTGATAGCGACACATGTTAGGTTGTCATCAATGTGATGTTTACAACGTGGATTCAAATCTATCTAGTACAAACGAACCCGATTTCAGGTCAATGCTGGCGTCTCCTCCATCTTGTGCGGCTTGCGACCGGTGATAGCGTACCTGTTCGAAAGTTTAAAATACAGCTCCTTCTGGTAACATGTAGATGTAAGACTTACTGAGGCCAGTAGGCATGAATGCTTCGATCCTTAAGGTCCTTGCGCACATCAATGAGGAAGACGTCGACCTCTGCTGGCATCCAATCCAGAGCGCGCGTCAAGGGAGCCATCGTGTAGCCTTCCAGGCCCATCATTGTATTTTCGTAGTTCCACAAACCAATCTCCCTGTATCTCGGGTCCTTAGGCCACCCATTAGTTGGCCACTTATAGACGTGCATTGTGACATCCTCAAATCCTGCTTCAATCATGAGCTGCTTCAAATTTGGGATCTCCATATACGGCCGCCCAAGCTTGATTGACGCCTCCAGAAGGAGGTTAGCCCACTTCATGAGGGCATGCGCGGGATTGAGGGTGTCGTCGTCGGAACGAGGAATGATGTCGGTTTCTTTCAATTCGAGGTAACCGCCAGGCTCCAGATTACTTCATGGCCACCCCTTCGTTAGCTCCTGTACATGATCAAATCGGGAAAATATGATCTCGATATTGATCAAGGCGAACGTAGAATGACTTACTCGAAACAACGTCTCAAGAACACGGGCCAGTCGCTGAGACTGGAAGTCATGAGCCGGCTGTGGATATACTCAAATGGACGAGAGTATGTCCACTCGTCTTCAATGTCGTCAACTTCAAACTTGACGTTCGGTGGTACTCTGTGAAGAATGGTCAACACTCTCTCAATCTTGACTATGAATGTTTCCTCACAGGGTTGGCTGTACGGCGGATAGGTCGTTCCCATAAACCTGCGATGCAAAGTTAGTCCTGTATCCATAAGTCTTCGAGGCTCATTAAGATGTGCCGTTGAATAGGTACTGACGTCGGCTTCCGGATGTTCGTCTCCAAAGTCAATAGCCCAGATACCTGTGCCAGTGCCGACATCAAGTACTCGACCAAGAGTCGCATTCTTTTCGCAGGGCGGGGCGACGCCGAGTTTGTCGTCAAGAGTAATCAGCCACAGCTGATGGTTTGAATCTGGTTGGAATTTGGAGTCAGCATCAAATTAGGTCCACATCGTGAGTTATGGTGTTTAAGCTCACCAAGTCTGTCGTTTTCTTGTTCGTCGTTTGGGAGATTGTATTCTGGAGGATCTCGTCAGAACCCATGCTGATTGTTCATGCAC